TCTGCAAAAATTCAAGAACAAGGGCCTAGCGAGTGCACAAATTCAAGAACAAGGGCCTAGCGTCTGCAAAATTGCAAGAACAAGGGCCTAGCGTCTGCAAAATTGCAAGAACAAGGGCCTAGAGTCTGCAAAAATTAAAGAACAAGGGCCTAGCGTCTGAAAATTTTCAAGAACAAGGGCCTAGCGTCTGCAAAAATTCAAGAACAAGGGCCTAGCGTTTGCAAAAATTGAAGAACAAGGGCCTAGCGTCTGCAAAAATTCAAGAACAATGGCCTAGCGTCTGCAAAAATTCAAGAACAAGGGCTTAGCGTCTGCAAAATTGCAAGAACAAGGGCCTAGCGTCTGCAAAATTGCAAGAACAAGGGCCTAGCATATGCAAAAATTCAAGAACAAGGGCCTAGCGTCTGCAAAAATTCAAGAACAAGGGCCTAGCGTCTGCAAAAATTCAAGAACAAGGGCATAGCGTCTGCAAAAATTCAAGAACAAGGGCCTCGCGTCTGCAAAAAATCAAGAACAAGGGCCTAGCATCTGCAAAATTCAAGAACAAGGGCCTAGCGTCTGCAAAATTGCAAGAACAAGGGCCTAGCGTCTGCAAAAATTCAAGCACAATGGCCTAGCGTTTGCAAAATTGCAAGAACAAGGGCCTAGCGTCTGCAAAAATTCAAGAACAACTCTCACGACTCCCCCACTCGCCGGGTTTAGTGCGGCGTAGCCTCTCGCCTCCCCGCCAAATGCGAGCCCCCGCTCTGCGTCACACCCAGGCCGTGCGACCTCCATTGCCGCCTCGTCTCCTCACGGCCGCCAAAATGGCAACCTCGCCTTCTCATCGCCACCACAACACCGACTCGTCACGGCGCGATTAAATCGCGCCCACATCGCCGCCTCGCCACTACGCTTCCATATCGCCGTCGTGGCGCGCCGCCACATCGCGAGCTCTCCGTGCCGCCACCGCGTTGCCGCCACATCGTCGCATCGCCGGCACATCGCCTCCTCGCCGCCTCGCCTCCTCAACAACGTGCCTCCTCCAGCTCGCCACCTGCTGCATCGCCGCCTCAAACGCCCTCGCTTACACCGCCGCCTCGCCGTTGCACTCATTTTCCTCGATCCCCCCCTCCTTCCCCCCGTGTCCAATCTCCTCACCCCGCTACACGTGCTCCGTCAGCTCCCTCCGTACCCTCCCTTCCCTCTATTTAGCTGTTCCCATGCCGAAACTTTACCTTCCTTTTTTTTATCACCTTCTTCCCATCTTGCCCCACCTGGACACCCTTTTTTTTTCACCCTTCTTCCTCGTATTTCCCCCCCTTGATTACCCTCTTCTTCCCCCCCCCCCCCCCCCCCCCCCCCCCCTTCTTTCCCGTTTTCCCGCCCATGGTTCCCCTCTTTTCCCCCCTTCCTTCGCCACATTTCCCACCCTGGTTCCCCTGTGACCCCCCCTTCTTCCCCTCATTTCCCCCCCTTCTTCCCCTCATTTTCCCCCCTTCTTCCCCTCATTTCCCCCCCTTCTTCCCCTCATTTTCCCCCCATCTTCCCCTCATTTCCTCCCCTTCTTCCTCTCATTCCCCCCCCCTTTTCCCTCATTTCCCCCCCTTCTTCCCCTCATTTCCTCCCTTCTTCCCCTCATTTTTCCCCATTCTCCCCTCATTTTTCCCCCTTCTTCCCCTCATTTTTCCCCCTTCTTCCCCTCATTTTCCCCCCTTCTTCCCCTCATTTTCCCACCTGCTTGCCTTCACAGTCTCCTTGCTCCCTTCCTGTTCCCCCGCCCGCAGTATGTGTGCACCTCCGAGTACATGGTGCAGTCACTGTGCTCACCGCCGTTGAGGTGTGTAGATGTGCGTCCGTGTGCATGTTTGTGTGCCTGCACCTATGTGCATGAATGCTCCGTGACCACTTTCTACACCCCTCTCTCCTCGGTCCCTCCGTCCCTCCCTCCTGCTTCCCTCGACCCTCTGCCTCGTGCATTCCTCCCCTATCATCCCTTCCTCCCCTATCATCCCTTCCTCCCCTATCATCCCTTCCTCCCCTATCATCCCTTCCTCCCCTATCATCCCTTCCTCCCCTATCAGCCCTTCCTCCCCTATCATCCCTTCCTCCCCTATATCATCCCTTCCTCCCCTCTATCATCCCTTCCTCCCCTCTCTCACCCATTCCTCCCCTCTCTCACCCATTCCTCTCAAGCTCATGTTGTCCTCCCGTCTCTCATCCCATCTACCCCTCTCTCATCCCTTTCTCCCCTCTCTTATCCCTTCCTCCCCTCTCTCATCCCATCCTCCCTCTCTCCTCCTTTCCCCCCTCTCTCGTCCCTCCTCTCCTCTCGCATCTTGTCCCCCACTATCCTCCTCTCTCCCCCCGTCCTCCTCTCTCCCTTTCTCCCCCGCTCTCCCCCTATCCCCCTCACTCATCCCTGCCCTCCCTTCTCCCTTCTCTTCTCCTCATGTCCCCGCCTCCTTTCCCTTATTTCCCCTTTCCAATCCAACCCCTCGTTCCCTTCCCTCCGCCCCCCCGTTTCTCCCTTTTCTTCCCCATTGCTCTCGGTTTCCCCCATTGTGTGCCTTCATTTCCCCCACTGCTACTCCTCTTTTCCCCCCCTTCTTCGCCTCCTTTTCTCCCTGTTGCTTGTCCTCTGTTTTGCCTGTGCCTTTCATCAATCTTCCCCCTGCTTGCACCCTCTCAATCCCCTGCGTTCCCTCCCTTCCCTGTTTCTGTATTCCCACCTTCCCTCACGTGAGTTTTGCTTTGCAGCATCCAACGGCATATTACAGTACGAAACTTTGAGACTACTGAAGCTGCTGTCATGGTGGCCTCTGTTAGTTTTGTGTGTGACGCTGTACAAAAGAACAGTATTCGAATCAGGCGATAATATGTAAACCTTTTAGAACCATATATTTTTTTGGGTGTTGTGAATACACATGATACAAGCATGCCGTATCAGCATACAATACAAGCTCAAGCATTTGCTCGAGGCTTGGATATACCATTTTAAATCTGCAAAGCGGTCCCTTTACGCAGTGTAGCTCATTTATGCCTCTGCGACGCTGAAAGCAGGGGCAAGGGTAGGCGGCACATCCATGCGCCTCGTCTGAAACTTGCCTGGGATGACGAGGGGTGAGGGGATAGGACAGGGAGGGGTGAGAGAGAGGAAAGGACAGGGCGGGGTGAGAGAGAGGAAAGGACAGAGGAGAAAAACTCCGCTCTTTGTTTCGAAGACCTCACGATCCCCCCTTCCCCCTCCTACCATAGCCAGCCGTAAACCAATCTTTCCCGTCTCCCACTTCCCCTCCTCCCCACTTCCCCTCCTCGCCCTTCCCCACTCAGCCCCATTTTCCCCCTTCTCCCCCCCTCCAGCTCACTCACCCGCAGGCGCGACCCCTCGCGCATGGCCTGCGCCAGCTTGCGCAGCACCATGCAGTCTGCCAGCACACGATCCTCACACATCTGACGGGAGGGGAGGAAGCAGAGGGGCAGAAAGGGCACGGTGAGAGGGCAAAAAGGGAAATGTTATGAGTTGTTCAAAACAAGCACTAAGAGGTCTGCGGGTCTTCGCACACGTGGGTGCTGGTGAAAGGGGACATGAAGGGGAACGAGTATGGAGACGAGGGGAAAGGGCGGAGAGGGCAGTGAGGGGGAAGGCTGGGGTTTTCGAGATGCCCCTAGACTAGCTTGTGCTGCAGCATGCTGGCCGCGCGCATGCAGTCCTTGCACCACTGCAGTCTGCAGGAGCAGGTGGGGGTTGAGGAAGGGGGGGGAGAGGGGTAAGGGCGCATGCGATGCCGAGGGGAACGGCGCATGCGACGCCGAGGGGAAGGGCGCATGCGACGCCGAGGGGAACGGCGCATGTGACGCCGAGGGGAACGGCGCATGTGACGCCGAGGGGAAGGGCGCATGCGACACCAGACACCGAGAGCACAACACCATCAGAACAGCGGTATGCGAAGACAACGCACGCCGACTCGCCTGACTAAGCTACACACATATGCTGCACACGTCAAACCAAAATTCTCGGAACTGCGCACACATGGTTTCATACCTCCGGCGTCAACCGGGCGCGGTGCGTGTACCGAACGGCCACCTTGCGCGATGCCGCCCTCCCCTGCCTGCGCTCGGGCCTATCGTACGGCTCTAGAACCACCAGAGGCACCGCGGAACAACTCCCCATCGCGTTGTAAAGAATGCCGACGCTGACAATACGCTCCGTCGCATTGCGCTTATCCGGAATGTATGTCTTCGGCAGCCGGAGTGGAAGAAAATTAATCTCGTGGAAGCAGAACACGTCGTCCGGGTGCGCGGTAGCCAGCAGTCCCTTCAGGTCACCCATTGTAGCACTCTGTCACCCAGGTAGGCAATTATGCGTTGAAGGCCTGAAGACCCCGTACTATATATGTTTCACTCTACCGGAACGTACCCCCATATTGCCCCTATGCGCACACTACGTACAGCGGTTGACATGCGCCACACAACCAACCTAACACTACCCCTGCTCCGCTTGAAGATAACGCACACATGTGAAACGGCAACCTGTAACGTTCAGATAGGCCATCTCGCACCCTCAACGCCACGTACGCGTCACCCATATCCGACCAGCCAACGGCCCGTTCTCGGTCGTTCACACCACCACACATTGAAGCGCGTCATCCTCGACCGCACAAACGTCAACTGTACCAATACCCGTTATGGACCGGATATTCCAACTGCTACCAACATGATCATTCTGTTGAAACACCAACATCTACACTTAGCATATGACATCTGTGCGCCATACCCATGCACAATTGGCCATAATACTGACATGGACATGCGTGCATATTATATCATCCGTGTCTATGGCGTTTCACCAACGGCAGCACACCATACCTACAAAACCAACTATTCCCATCACCCTATCGTACACCTACTGCAATCCTGTACCCATCAAACCTGCCTTCCATACCGCTAAAACGTATCAGGGTTTGTTGTTTGCCAACTCGTGGATCAGCACTGCCCTTCCACCCAACCAACATGCATCGTCACTCACATAGAAAAAACCTGTTCACTAATTGCACCTTATTGTTGCTGTACGAAGGGCACACGTGCACAACTCTCTGCAGGCTGCCCAGCTCCACCACCGAGTACCTCACCTTCTCCACTTTCTTGTGCAGCTGCGTGCACCCTGTGAGCTTGCAGCTTCCCGCCTTCTCGTAGTACCTCACATATGCGTACCCCTTCCACTCGCCATCACGGTCAACCGCCCTGAAGATGCACATACATCTTGCATACCAGTCCCCCTTCTTGTTGTTCAGCAGTGCCACGTCCGAATACCACCTCTCTCGGGGAGACGCCTTCACAAATGACCCTTTGGCCACCAGCTCTCCGCCTCTTGTGCGCGGAATGGCCACCGCCGTGTGGACCTGTCACAACAGGGTACCCAATCCAACGTCACATATCATCATTTGTTTGTGACAACCAACATGTCAACCCCGGTTACATCATGTTACGCTACAACATAATCACCTCACCTGCATGTTGTTGGTAGCCAGACCCAACGCCTTAAACTCATCGGCCATCCCCTTCATCTCGTCTCCAAGCGCGGCGGTGTACTCATCGTACACCGGATCCGACACTCCGCCTATTCGCATGATCCGATACTTCTTCGTAAGCACCGGTTTCCTCGTCTTGATTGCCTGCAAGTGACTCCCACATGCACACAACAAACCGCATACTGTGTGATGCAAGGCTCGTCCATGGTAAACCGCGCTACTGTATACTCTCAATGGCCATTATATTACCAAAGACACCCACACGCACCTCGCGCAAGGCGGACGCGTACTGTCGCCCACCCCCTGCGTCTGCAGCCACTTCACGGTACACCTCTCGCTGCACCTCCTCCTCCACAATTCGTCGTGGAATGTCGCTCCAGTTGCTCCCTCTTACTGGACCCTTAACCGTGCCCTTGTGCGTGTGCTCCCACATTTCAGTTGAAGAATGGTGCGGCATCCCACGGTGCACAACGTTGTCCAGTAAATGTCTTATCATGTGTATCTTTGGGAGTCTCCAGTGGGATGCCTGCTTTGGAAATGCTCTCGGTAGCAACTCCACCAACCTGCCACAACGTCCACGGAAACAGACAACGCGCGATGCATCATAGTGTATTACACCACATTGGCAATAACACAATCAAATAGCATACACTCCCAACAACCCGACCAACCACCCGGCGTACACGATTATGTACTCACGCTATCGCATGCTGCTAGGCAATAGCAATTGTTGTATGTGTGTGCATGTCCACCCCTAGAAACGCCTTGTAAAACACAGCAAACAGCCGGAACGCTTTGACCTGCAAAGCACGCAGCTCTCCCTCCACTCCACCCTTCAACGCACTCTTGTCAGCCACCAAGATCGGCATTATCTGCATCATGCTCCTGTGCTTGAACGCCGCGTAGTTTGCGCCGGAACTGAAGAACGATGAGCCCCCTGGGATTCGGAGGAGAACGCTAGGCGTGATGGCCTTGAACTCCTTCTTGCGTCTGCGCACACCACGGATTCGAGGTGCTCATGTAGCGGCACACATGGTATGCTCCAACCCAACTGACCCCCCCAAGGTAGAGCATGCCCTGCTCGCCCAACCAACTACACCCAGCTCACCGTTCAAGCAGCCGCATCTCAACCTTCCTGAGCGGTTCTATGTAGGTGTCCATCATGTGGATCAGCACACCGGAGTCCAGAACATGCAGTGTGTCTGCAAGGCATGCCAGATACACGTTGCCCCACTCTGTGTCTGCGAAATTCCACCTGTGAAGCACGCACTGCACGGTCCAACCGAAGACACGATGCTGTCAAAAAGTGCCCCCTGTAATAAAACACCAGCACACTACCCAACAGCTAACACACCTCGATCGGATGGGTTGACCTAACTTCCGCACATCGTCAGCGTCGCCTTTCTTTTTACACGCCAGGATCTGGCGGACAATGTCCCTCTGCTTCTCGGGGGTACGTGGATCGGCTTTCCCAACCATCATGGTCAACTCCCCCTTGTCTGCATAGCAGTTAGCGCAGGGTCGATGCGACCCTTGCTGAAGAGTCGCAGATGCTCTGCTGGATTCCGGGAAGTCGGCAGGGTATCCGTACAGGCAAGGGACCGCCTTGTGCACCTTCCCGTCTGCGTCTGTGCAGTAGATGAAGCAAACTGGCGCGCTGCGCAGGGTAGAGATGCACACATGGTGTGCAGTTAGGGATGGAACATATACACAACTCGCTACTTGCTGGGGTGCCCATCGGCCACTTGCACGTGTAGTGTATTCATCGCCACCCCTCTCCCCCCCCACCGGTACCTTGCAGACTCTCGCATGATGGGCGCGAGGATGATCTTTAGTGCCTCCTGGAACACGCGCGTCTTCTCCGTAGGCGATGCCCACTCAGGTGGGAATGGAAGCACCGCAGCCGATGTATGCCCAGGCTCCACTCCACGCAATTCAACTGGTATGTTAATAAGTGAGATCAGCACTGGCCACGCGTTCCTCCGACCATTCCGTGATGCATGGGTGCTATCACTGTATATCAGCACGCCTAGAATGAGTGCATCCTCGTCATTAATCTCTTTCTGCCATGTAACCCACACATGCCGGTGAGCTGTGGTTATTCAACCGCATCGAGTATGTTGTAATACACCGGAAATGGGGAGAGGCTAAACGATCCGCGTACCTGAGAAGAGTGCATCCAATCACCCGTCTCCGGTCCTTCAAATACCCTCTCGTTATTCTTCTTCCGATGAATCTTCCTAGGTTTCCAAACGAACCCCTTCTTCGATGAGAACGTCCGCACCAGCTTTTTCAGAATATGCAGGCATCGAGGTAGAATCAGGTGTGAGCGGGAGTATTCCATGGCAGTGCATACGGCCGACACTTGATTACGACGTCGCAGGCTGGGATGGCCTCCTATTACGAACCAGCTCTGTGTCGCGGAAGTGCAGTAGCAGCTTCATTTGCATTCCTTTGGGACCCCGCACAACTATTTCCTCCGTTTTCCAAGGGACCATGTCGGCTGGAGCTCGCGCCATGCCCCAGCGGCGCACGTCCACCCAGTTGCGCCATCGTCTGAGGGCCCGTAGGTTGAAGCGCGCGTTGCGGAAAATGTGTAGCAGACGGTTAACTTCCCTGTGCGAAAGATCGGCGTCACAGAAGAATAGGTACAACTCCGTCAGTGTATCGAAAATCTCCGCTCTCTCACTGTCTTCCGAGGAGTCGGCATTTCGTCGTCAGCTGCTGTATCCGCGTCGTCAACAAGGCTAACTTCGGGAATCGAAGCCGTTAGAGCAACATATACAAAACTGCCATTATTATCTTTAAGCCGGGATGCCGGTGGTGTGTTAGGTCTACTATCTCCGTCGCAGGCAATGGCTTCCAAATATGCCGCCAACAAAAGACTCTCTCGTTTCCTCTTCAACTCCTCGCGACAAATTGCCCCATTAGCGACATGAGACTGTAACCTGCTGTCGTCCTTTAACACCGTCTCGCACACCAGGCAACTATTCCCCGTCATCCTACAGCCTTGAAACCCTAGGGGGGCCAGCAGTAGAAACCCTGCTCAGTACATCATGTGCGCTCTAATACAACTCCGAGGACCAACTTACCGCACACCCATGTGCAGGAAGATGTGATCCGTGTGCAAGAAACAGCTGTTCATGTGTTACACTTAACGAATCTACACCCTACCTAACGGATTTACTATTTAATGAAATCAGGTTCTTTCAAGGATGGCATGTGTATAACACACACTGTTGAGCAACCGTTGTTAGCCGCTTGTTTATAAGTTCGAATAAAAGAGACGTACAACAGATAATGGGTTGATAGATTTTGGGGATTTCTACGGCTATTTCTTTGTGACGTAAACGCCTATAGCCATTTACATTTACAATATAAACACAATAAAAACGCCCAAGTTTACATTTGCACGTGAACACAATATACACATATATCAAAACATTGAAGAACGGCGTCTACCAGTACACGATTATCCCAACCCGGTGCACACTGCCAGATCATTATCGAGACCTGGCGCGCACTGGAGACACAACGACCCATGTACCCCCTACCGCGTACGGCGTTATCGGATTCCGCGTCATTCGGATCGAACAAGAAATATCGTATTCAACTGGCCAAACCACCATGTGTTCCATACACCAAGTTTGGTGAACCACCCAAACCTCGGACCACGTATTCCGAAACCCTAGACTTATCACACGTGGATCTGCATGGGACCTCACCATCACATCCAGTCGAGTTGTCGCATCACACCTGGACATCGCATACGATTCTGCGCCAACGGTGTAGATCATTGAGCATATGCATGATGTTCGCACCAGCTAAACACGATAGGCAAGGGTTACGCCTTGCTCTCCCCTTCGTTCCAAATAGTGCCATCGTCGCGAGATCCGTGAGTAGCTGTGCTCACCCAGTCATCCCCTCCGTGCTCACCTATTAATCGCCCTGTGTCTTCCGAATGCTAGTCAGTGTTCGTTCGTGATGGCGAATCCTAAACAGTTGGTCTCTAAGCGCAACCGGTTCGATGAACCGGAGACTAGCAGCAGCTCCGATGACCAAGAACCAGACCCGCCCGTCACCAGATCCAAGGCGTCGAACAAGGCCGACAATAATAATGCTCCCAGCCCACCGACGAAGGACTCCGGAAGGGCTTCTAAGTTCGAGACTCATGTGGTGGAAAAGGCCAGAGAGCCGGTGCCGGACGACATGGTGGCCGCTATCGCCCGGAATCATGTGAAGTCATCGTACATCAACATGAGGCTCATGAATCACCGCGGTGTCGGATGTGAAGTGGATAAGGACGACCTCATGTCCATCGAGGACGATCAGTGGATTACTGATGGTGTTATCGACTTCCACAACGTGTAAGTGCCGTTATGACAGCCTCACACGTTACGCGGGCTTTTGCGCGATTGACCAGGGCCGCATGTAGCCTGATGTGTTAATATGTACTTGTTCACCTCTTGGCAGGCTGCTTAGCATCCGGAAGCCAAAGCTCCGTGACGGGAAGACATGGGCCGCCATGGACTGCAAGGCTTACACACAGACGAATGCGTGTGGAGCGCCGTTAACTCTGGGAAATGGGCGGCCGCTTCTGGAACACGATTATCTGGCGGTCCCGGTGCTGGAGTCGTGAGTATCGTGCAGGGTCCGTGGTGTGCCAGGGTGTACTGTCTAAAAATGGGTCCGTTTAACCCCACTCCTATTGCGCGCAGTGAGCACTATTCCCTCGTCATCGCTATAAACCCATCGGTGCTCACCAAGTCGCCTAAATCTAAGGGCAAAGAGCACTTGACGTTGGTCTTGCTGGACAGCGCGATCAAAACTCGGAATAGCCGCAAGATTTTTGCAGGAACAAAGCTGTGAGTCAAGGTTCAGAGCACAACGTCTCCAGTCGTCGTACATGCTCTGTTTTCTAATACTCCTTTGGCCTGTTGCGTTCAGTTTGCTGTCCGAACTCGCAAAGGCGAGTACCCCAAACGCGAACATGGAGTTTGTGGACAAGACTCTGACGGAGGCGGAATGCATAATTCTACGGGTGAGTATGCGTAGATGTTTGTGGATACCAATGTGCGGTTTGCGTATGCAAGTTTACAGACTGATACCCTTGGTATGCGTTCCCTTATTGGCAGGAGGATAAGCTGCCACAGCAGCCTAACAAGGAGGACTGTGGGATTTTTGTTTGTCAGTACCTCAAGACCCTGGTGAATACCGACTTCGCCACGATTTTTTTGGGCCTCTGGTTTCAGGGGGTGACACCGCACCAATACAGGCGGGAGATGCGCCGCGACTTGTGTGCACACGCTTGCGGAGATCTTATGAAACTGCTGCAGGACCTGGGGATTGAAATCCCTCCGCAAGACGAAGGCTGGGTTACCGATGAGGGGACAGTGGTGCAGGTGAGGAACGTTGCTAGGGGAGATGGGAGGCAAGCACCGATCACTCGCCCTGTGGAGGACGCACGGGTTACGGAGATGATGAGGCGAGTAGCCTCATTGAGTAATGATGTTAGGTACCTGGACGCCAGCTTCACCGTGACCACCAACTTTGTAGGACTGAGGCGGGAAGAGGTGGTGTCCGCTGCAACCCAACTGCTGCTGCATGGGGGTCTCGCGGGTACCGGCACGAAAGCGGAGGCGGGTGGCAACAAGAATGCTCCACGCACACCACAGCGTCCGTCTGCCCGTAAGAGGCGGGATGACAGCAGTCCTAAGGAGGATGGCGTACGCAATGCCACTCGTGTAGCGCTGGCCTCCACGTTCGCTGCATGTGAGCCGACATCGAGCCTGCTGCAGAACCCGCTGCTCTCCCACGGGGCCATACCTCACTGGATGTTCACGCGCGGGAGGCAGCTGCTCGGGGCGGATGTGCCAGCTGGAGCTGACGCGTGGGGAGATACGCTTGGGCAGGAGACGGTGAAGGCCGAAGAGGCGGAGGATCTCGTGTCAGACTCAGACGATGATGAGGATGACGAGGATACGTGTGCCACCAGGTACACGGGTGTGAAGCTGGAGAAAGCATCCGGCAAGTACAGCGTGAAGATCCTGATTAAAGAACGTGGAAAGCGTACGCATCAGCGACTGGGAGCATACACGACGGAGGAGGAGGCGGCGTTCGCGTACGCCGCAGGTGCGTTCGTGCTGAGGCCACGTGACAAGATACCCAACACAGTCAGCCTGTCAGCCGCAGAGAAGGCGATGCTGCGTGGATGCACCAAGGAAGACTTGCAGATCCTGGTGGAAGCGAGGAAGTGGTGGAGGTGGCGGAGCTGGCGTGAGGCGCTGAAGAGCGTGAGCAGCAAGCTGAAACGAGGGAGGAAGCGTGGGGGTGCCACAGGTACGTCAAAGAGGCCTAGGGTGGTGGATAACAACAACACGACTACCCACGAACTGCATGCCCCCGACACTGCTGAGAGTGGGGGGACGGCCCCATTGAGCAACGAGCACGGCGGAGGTGCACAGAACAATGACCAGGAAGAGTGAGGGGAAGACACTGGTGCACACGAGAAGACGGTAGCCACTGCTGCATAGTGGATGTATAGACAAAGCATATGGGAGACATGTCCGTGGACGACATGCCTACTTTTGTATTGCACTTGCTGCTGTTCAGCGCTTGCTGTCGCGTGCATGTATGCATGTTTGATAAATGCTAACGATTGTGCTTACATGGTGTGACCGACAGGTTTTGTTAGCTGGTTATGTTATAGTGCAGTTGGTGTGCTACATGTCGAAGTAGGTTAGGGAATCACTGAAAACCGGAATCCGGTTTTAGAGCCTGATGGCCGCACAAACGCGGTATATGGATACGGTTGTGTCAACATGATGTGCGCAGTGTGTGGTTCTCCGGTGGACACTCGTCACCGGTAGGATGACGTGGGGTTCACTCATTAGTCGTTTTGGATTGCGGTCATCCAGATGGGTACGATATTGTGTTGGCTACCAAACTCCTCGTGTGAACGGTGCTGCGGTGTGTTTAGAGGTTGAGCTCCCAACTCTACGTAGAAAAATGGTACATAACGTCATTCTGGGCGCATCTCACTGGATACTTCAGTTGCTATAATGGAGACCTCGATTGCTTCGGAGGATACAAGGGCTGGAGACCGCTCCCGTCGTGTCTCGCTACCGCCGGCGTACCTGCGAGCGTCGTACCAGTTGACGATGCCGGGAGGTCGACTGTCGAACGGGAAACGTGGTGCGACCATTCTCAAGCGACAGAGCTTGTCCAAGAAGGGAAAGGAGGTGGCGCAGCCAGAGCAAGGTATGCAGACCGGGCTTGTGTGGATGAGTCACGACGTTTGTTACTGTTGTTGCACGCGATGCTGTACGACCTCTCACACTGGTTTTATGCAATATGCTAACTTGTGGTGTTGTGCTTTTCTGGTGTTTCGCGCACCCACAGATGACGGCACGGGTGCAAAGAGTGCAGATTCGTCTGAGCGTAGTGAGGAGGAGGACGAGGAAGGCTCAGACACATCGGCCTCAGGATCACACGAAGAATCCGCCGACCCTGCTACTGGGGGGAAGACTAACGAAGATGGATGTGCGGGAACATCCGCGGCCAATGCTGACATGCGCGCAAATCACGAGGCGCGGGACACGGATGTGGCTCGAGGTGACGGGCGAGGACATGGGACGGACTTATGGACCTCCCACGCGGGAACACATTGGACGCCAACGGCGATGACGTGCGCATCCCGAGCCGGATCCTCAAGCAACTCATACAGGCTCAGGACAAGAGCGCTAAGGAGAACGCGCGGTTGGAGGCGCTGTTCTTGAATGCGATGTCTCGGCCTTCAGGTGGCTCTCGTAAGCGCAAGGCTCAGAAGCAGAGAGACCCGGGGCAGGGTTGTATGAACCCGAAGCGTCAGCGTAGCGAGACGTGGAGTGGCGGGTCTGACGATGACGGCGAGGACGACGAGGACGACACGCATGGTTCTGGTGGCCGTCATATGCGTACCGCCAAGTCTCCTATTCTGCAACGCGCGTTGGAGCATTTGCCGACGGACAAGGCGTGGAAGGTGAGCGAGCATGTTTCCGTCTCCGGTCCAATGTTCCGTCGTCGTGGGCTGCACTGTGGAACCGCTGATGGTTACCTGTGTGCGCATATTTCATTCATCGTGTACACCATACGTGCGCAGAGGGTTTGCGAGCTGGCCAGGGTGTACTTGTTTCTCAACAGGCCGACGTCGACGATGACCTTCTACCCGAGCAGCGACGATAAGACTCACGGAGTGTGTGCGGTGCTGGACCGCCTGCCGCATAGCTTCGCCTGTTTGGCGTTGGCGGCTGACAAGTCGCGACGCGCGGATCTCAACAAGACACTCTCTGAGTGGAAGACAAGGGCTGCCGCACGCGTGCGAGACATTGCACTTCCCAAGCTCGGATTGTTCCGCGACGACAGGGACGCATCCAGCCCGTGGGCACCAGAGAAGGAACGCAGTATCGAGAAGATCCGGGAGCGCATTGGTCTTGGCGCTGACCCCCCTGGTGAGTGCCTTCTAGCACAGCAGCCAGCGATGCCTTTGTATAGTTATGCTGACCACCGTCATTCTGCTGGCGGCCGTTCACACTGGCAGTGCGCATGTGGTGTGCAGAAACCCTGGTGCTCACGAGCTGGGCCACAGACCGTGATGGCATGCCGTTCGCCTCTCGGGCGTTCGCGACATGTGCGAAGGCTGCATTCAGGCGTAAGAAGGCCGGGCTGGTGATGACTCTAAAGGTGTACCACCTGGCCTGGTTGGAGCATGTGGTGAGTTTGTGCGCTCTATGTCTGCCATGTTTTTGCGTTGTACTGTCGGACCATTTGAGTGACACGCTGGGTGGTGGCGCAGATATCCGACTGCGTCCTCTACTGGGAGGAGAGGAAAGGCCGGCTTTCCAACTCGGCCGGCGGAAACGCTCACGTTGTGGACGGCCTCAAGGTCCTGGTGAAGGAGGCCGTGGAGAGGGCGATCCGGATCCGCAACCCGGAGTATGTCGCGGAGCGGGAGGCGTGGATCTGGGGGCGCCATGGACTGCGCATCTCTGCGTGCGGCCTGGAGCACATGAAGCCCACTGCCGCAGCTCAGTCCGAAGACCTAGTGGGGGATGACGACCTTTCGGCGTCAGTCGGTGATGAGTAGATCAGGTGGAGTGGGGGGGCTTTTTAAATCTTGGTGCGGACCGCTCATCTGGCAGGTGGAGAGAGTCGTGAAAAGCATCATTATCGCTTATGTTTGTGGGTTTTAAGTAGCAGTTTAGTGCGCACGGGTTTTGCATGTGTGGGCTTGGAAGATACGGGTATTGATTGTATGCATGGTTGCGTAGTATGTGTGTGTGCGCGCGTATGTTTTTAATGGGAGAAGTATTTATTGGGGAAGGAATCCTATGAAACACTAGGTTGCGAAATGAATCGGGTAGGCCGTCAACCAGGTGTGCGGGATGGTGTGGAACGCGCCGCATGTTGCGGCCCGTTTCACGGATTGTGCCATCCGCACGTCGTTAATGTGTGGACGTATGTGTTTTCGCGGTGCGCACGCGTAGTCATCAGATAGGATCACAACATGGATAAGAGATGTTGTAGAACCAATTGCATACTAGTGGCGCACTAGATGAACTACGCGTGTCACCATCCAGTACAGACGCGTGGATAAGGTTGACGGTTAGGAACGCTTTGTGATATACTTGGAGTGCGCGACAGCTGTACGGGCGTGATTGTTTCGCGCAGATGACGCGAACGAACGGGACGATGAGATGGTTAACTGGTTACCTGATGTGCGAGACCACGATCTACCGGCAAGTGTACGGGGTAGATCGAATAAGTGTGCGTGACGTGGCAGCTCGGTGGGGGAGACGTTGTGTACAGATGGACGACGCAGATTGTGTCGTCACCTAATCGCGTGTGCAAAACTACTGGGTGGAAATAAATCTGGCGAAGCGTACGAAACGGTGGCGACGCGACGGATGTACGGTGATTATGCAATGTAGTGTAGGGTGCGGAAGGACGATGCGCAAGTAGAGTGATGCCACGTGGTAGCATGATAGTGGGCATTGAACGCGTGATATGGGGTCAGCGCACCAGTGGGTTGCTCCCAACTGTCACGTATGTACAGGGTGAGCAGCGATCAGATGTACGGTGAAGATACTAGCGCGGTGTTTGCGCGAGCATGTGCGAGTTGGTGTTCGCGAAGTCGTAACACGGTGTGCGAGTTTATGTACAGGAGACACGTGAACCGTCGCGATTGCGTGTCCCGACTGTTCATCTGACGGTTGGGGTGCGGGTACGTTTTGGTGCATGAACGCTTACGTGGACGTGCGGGTTGAAACTGGGTGCCATGTGGGTGGGCGCGTACGGAGTGGACGTTGGGGTTGCTTACTCGTCACTTTGTAGTTGGTTGGCACGGTATGGTAAGGTAAACTTTTGTGTGGCGCAGCCCGTGACTGTTTTGCAACTGCACGGATGCGGGTGTAGTGTCTAATTTGATGCACGCATATGTACAGAGTGCAGCGGGAAAGTGAACGCGAAGTTGCTTTGTAAGTGACTGTCGCCATGCAGTTCTAAAACCTTGACTCAAAAGTGTCGGGCAAAAAATATCGGGAAAGTTGAGGAAGAGTGTATTTCGAGTTGCTTTCCGAACTTCCCATTTTCGCGATGTTTTCGCGACGGCAGCGCTTCAGCCGCAGCCGCCGCGGCGTCTGCCGCTGCTGGAGGCAGCAAGCCCTTGGCGAAAAAGCCGGAGATAGTGAGTAAGTGTCTGCAACCCTGTGCCTTGCTGGATACCTCAGGGACTAGGAGTGACCTGTTTTCCTACCCACTGGCAAAAATGTTCAGGCCTCGTACTACGTTGAAACACATACAGATACAAACCATTTTCTACTGGATTGCTCATTCAAACATAGTCTATAAGGCCTCCAAGTCTTCAGGAGACCCCCCCGGATCGGTGTCCAGGATTGGTATACGGTACCATCTCATGTGTTGCATTGCTGCGTTGCATATACGGTTGTGCATTTCGCTCCATCCAGCGACCGCGGTCAAGGATTAATTAGAAGCCGTCAGGGGGTCAAAGTCCCTCAGGCTCCCGAATCCCTCAGCCTCTCACGTCCCTCAGGCTCCCACGTCCCTCAGCATGTCTCAAGCCGTCAGGGGCGTCTCATGCCAAGCGTGCTGTGAAGATAGTCGTAGTATTGTACTAGTCACTAGTACCGCCTCCTAACCCGTTGTCCTTGCACGTCCCTCCCCCATGCCACCATATACATCATGTATACGGCATGATGCTGTTCGCATTGGCAGTAAAGTACAAAGGCAAGCTGCGTCCTGCCAAGATCAATGGGAAAATGGTCGGTGACAGCAAGGCATGGGGGAAATTTGTCATACAGGCCGTGAAGTGAGTCTGTGCCTTTTTACCTGCTGCTTCCTACTAGGAAGATATATGTACCCGTTTTTGCTCTCTTTTTCGCATCCTCACCTCCCTGTCCTTCTCACGAGCATCTCCTTCCATGTCTTCCTGGCAGGCGCTCGGACGGTAAATACTATGGAGGGACGATAATCAAAGCCATGAACCTAAAAATGGTGGATCGGTGCCCGGCACAGCCATGGGCACTTCGTGCAACACTAAAGCTCCCAGATCTCCGTCATCGAATTGGAAAAACATTACCAGCACCAAGAGCAAGCGCAAGCGCTACAGCTTCGAGTACATATACTCATATGGGCCGGAGACTCTGGCTAATATCCGAAGCAATATCCAGCAGGTGTTCTCCAATGGTTACTACTATACTATTTTTGGAAATTTTAATGGCGCTCATCCATCAATCTGCGGGAAGTTGAAGAAAGTGAAGTAGTAGTGGGTGGGTAGCTCACCTTGGCTGCTTCTGGTTGGCTCACCTTGGCTTCTCTGGTTGGCTCTTGGCTACTTACAGTTGGCTAACTTTGGCTGCTTCTGGTTGTCTCGCTTTGGCTGTTTCTGATTGGCTAACTCTGGCTACCATTTGTTGGTTATGGGGATGGAAGTAAACCTGCGTGATTAGGGTGTTCTAGATTGGATTGTGGCATCATGCATCTTTACCTCTATGATTAGCATCTAACCAAATGTTGCAGGAAGTGGGAAGTACGGGTATATACGGTAGTTTGACATAACCTCACTACTGCATAACAATAGTTTTTATAGTTCGACAGTCCACTCAGAGCCTTGAAATGGCCTCACAAGACACAAATCCGTTGCGAAAACCCAGAGATCAACTTGGAGATAAGAGGGGAACTTCCTTGACAATAACTTCATCACTCTCATGTTTCATTCATGTTTGTCTAGATAGGCAATCAAATTCCTCTATTTTCATTGGGCTTGTCACAATTCATAGTATTTTTAGTGCATCTTGTTCTACACTATGTATCTCACAACCTAAGCAGACCAAGTCAACGGGAACGGAGTGTAGCTACGCCAGCTGCACCCTCCATTGGCCCAACCAACAAAAATCTTCCGCCTTATCTCTCTATGGCTGGAATTTCTAGGTGCCTCCCCTCCGCAACTGATCCGATCTTAGAGACGTATTTTTCCTTTTGTGACTGTTGCCCCAGCACTTAACCGTGGTGAGTGTCGGTTGTCTAGTTGCCGCCACGCTCGAATTTCGGCTTATTCAGTTATCGTCGTAGAAATTCTTCTTGATCTCATTTCAAGGTTGTTTGAAGATTATGTATTCGTCCTCATCAATTCGCGCGATCAGACAACCAGTTTGAGTTTCCTAGCATCACCGATTTAACAAAATTTTCTGTTAGTCTCATTCCTTTGGGAAGCTTATTCACTTCTCGCACTGTATATCGCTTTTATGCAGTGATAGTAGCGGAGACCTTTGTTCAGCCGCTGTACTCGATTTAAGCATGGCAGAGGAGGACCCACCGGTCAAAGAGCACGAGGAGGAGGAAGAGGAGGACGACGACGACGAAGAGAAGAGCGACGGCGGCGACAGCTCCAGCTCGAGCTCTGGTAGGTCCGACGACAAGGACGACGACGACGACGATCGCGATCCGGATCGCGAGCAGCAGCAGCGGCGGCGGCGGCGGCGGCGGCGGCGGCGACGGCGGCGACGAGGCGGAGATGAAGGAGGCGCGAAGCGACAGCGACAAGGACGACGATGACGATGACGACGACGACGAGAAGAAGGCGAGCGACAGCTCGAGCGACAGCGACAGCGATAGCGACAGCGAGTCGGATCGGGTTTCGGGGTCGAGCAAAGACGATAGCGAGGGAGGGGGAAGGGAGGAAGGGGGAGACGAGGCGATAGGGTCACCCAATCCGGATGAGAAGGAGGGAGAGAAAGAGGGGGATACCGTAAACGGGACGGACGGGACGCACGGTGGCGGGAAGGAGAATGGGAAGAGCGAGGAGGGTGCTAGTATGGATGTGGGGGAGGAGGGGAAGGGAGATGCGCGGAATGAGGAGGGGAGAGGGAGCGAGGGCGGAGGAGCGGAAATGGGGAAGGAGGAGGAGATGAAAGCAGGCGTTGCTGCTGGTGCTGGTGCTGGTGGTGCTGGTGCTGTTGCGGGCGATTCAAGTGCTCCGGTTGATGCTATGGAGGAAGAGGCGGAGCATGCGGGGGAGGTGAGGGCGCAAGCGGACGCGGACAAGGCGGAAGACTCGCGGGGAGAAGGGGAGGAAAGACAGGCGGAGGGATCGGCGCACAGCCCGCAGGCGGGTGGCGCGGACGGGGAGGGGAAGGACAGGCGGAGGGGAAAGGAAGGGGGGAAGGAGTCCGCGGAGGGGGATCAGGGCGCGGAGGAGGAGGGGAAAGACCCGGGGATGGAGCTAGAGATGAAGGCGGAAGAGGATACACTGGCGGAAGAGGCGGAGCAGGCAGCGGCGGAGGCGGAAGCGGAGGCGGAGGCGGAAGCCGCCGTGGCGGCAGCAGCCGCTGAAGCAGCGGAGGCGGATGAGAAGATGGGGGGGGGCGGGGAGAGGGGAGGAGGCGGAGGGGCAGGCGGAGGCGGAGGCGGCGGGGGAGGGGGAGGCGGAGGGATGGATGAGCCATCACAGAGGCCTCCGCATGGGTCGGAGGTATTCGTGGGGGGGATCACGAGGGATATTTCAGAGGAGGATATTCGGGAGCTCTTCTCTCAGATAGGCGACATATACGAGGTGAGTCGTGTGCGCGGGGAGGGGGCGGGGGGGGGGGGGGCGGGAGGGGGCGCGGGAGGGGGCGCGGGGAGGGGGCGCGGGGAGGGGGCGCGGTGAGGGGGCGCGGGGAGGGGGCGCGGGGAGAGGGCGCGGTGAGGAGGCTCGGGGAGGGGGCGCGGGGAGAGGGCGTGAGGAGGGGGCGTGGGGATGGGGCATGGGGAAAAAAGGGGCGAAGGCGTTGGGAATATAAGGGGGTGGAGGGGTGGCGAAGGTGGGGAGGAGGGAGGGGGGGGAGCGTTCGGGGTGGTGAGCCGTGAAGAGAAAGAAGGGCATGGCGTGGGACGGAGATATTGTCGAGTCGTGTGCCTGCTTTGGCTTGTGCATTCTGCACGTGATATCACTCAATTAATGCCTGCCTGCCTTCCTGCCTGCCTGCCTGCCTGCCTGCCTGCCTGCCTGCCTGCCTGCCTGCCTGCCTGCCTGCCTGCCTGCCTGCCTGCCTGCCTGCCTGCCTGCCTGCCTGCCTGCCTGCCTGCCTGCCTGCCTGCCTGCCTGCCTGCCTGCCTGCCTGCCTGCCTGCCTGCCTGCCTGCCCCTGCCTGCCTGCCTGCCTGCCTGCCTGCCTGCCTGCCTGCCTGCCTGCCTGCCTGCCTGCCTGCCTGCCTGCCTGCCTGCCTGCCTGCCTGCCTGCCTCCCTCCCTCCCTCCCTCCCTCCCTCCCTCCCTCCCTCCCTCCCTCCCTCCCTCCCTCCCTCCCTCCCTCCCTCCCTCCCTCCCTCTCTCCCTCGCTCTTTGACTCCCCATGTATGCCCCTGCATGTATGCCCATGCATGGTATGCCATGCATGCATGCCCATGCATCTATGCCCATGCATGGTATGCCCATGCATGGTATGCCATGCATGCATGCCCCTGCATGTATGCCCATTCCTGGTATGCCCATGCATCTATGCCCATGCATGTATGCCCATGCATCTATGCCCATGCATGTATGACCATGTATGGTATGCCCATGCATGTATGCCCATGCATGTATGCCCATGCATGTATGCCCATGCATGTATGCCCATGCATGGTATGCCCATGCATGTGTGCCTATGCATGTGTGTTCATGCATGTATGCCCATACATGCATGCCCATGCATGGTATGCCATGCATGCATGCCCCTGCATGTATGCCCATGCATGGTATGCCCATCCATGTATGCCTATGCATGGTATGCCATGCATGTATGCCCATGCATGGTATGCCCATCCATGTATGCCCATGCATGGTATGCCCATCCATGTATGCCCATGCATGTATGCCTATGCATGTATGCCCATCCATGTATGCCCATGCATGTATGCCCATGCATGTATGCCCATGCATGTATGCCCATGTCCGCCCGTGTGTGTGCGGGGTGGCTGGCGCACACCAGGTGCGCGTGTTAAAGGACCGGGAGACGGGCAACCTCAAGGGGTACGGCTTCGTGACATTCTTCAACCGCCAGCACGCCGACAAGGCCATTGACACGCTCAACGGCTCTGAGATCAAGGTGCGTGGTCGCTTGGTGCGGTGCGGTGGGGTGCGGTGCGGTGTTCTGTGGTGTTGTGTGGTGGAGCATTGTATGTGTGTGAGGGGGGAAGGGGGAGGGGGAGGTTGGGCATTCCTCAACCGCCAACACGCTGACAAGGCCATTGACACGCTCAATGGCTCCGAGATCAAGGTGCGTGCCTTCACTTGCGGTAGGGTATGGTGCGGTGCGGTGCGGTGCGGTGGGGTGGGGTGGGGTGGGGTATGGTGTGGTGTGAGCCCCCCCATCCCAGCCATCCTCCCCATCCCCAACTTCCCCGTTTTCTTCATCCTCCTACGCTCCTTGCTTGCTCCTTGCTTGCTCCTTGCTTGCTCCTTGCTTGCTCCTTGCTTGCTCCTTGCTCACATCGTATCCCCATGCACTGGTCGTCATCACCATACCCTGATAAGCCATGCGTTCCATTCGGCCTCGCCTCATGTTTTCAAACCTTACCCCGGTGACTAGACTCAATGCCTCTCTGCCCATCTCGCATTTCCTCCTGATCGCAACTCTCCAACTCTCTCCCCCTCCCTCTCTCCCCCTCCCGGCCTACACCCCGCCTGCCCCCTTCCCCCTCCAGTGCCCTCCCTTTTCCTCAAGTGACCCCCTCGCGCTTCAACTAACCCCCCAATAGAGTTGTCTGTTGTTCGTGCTGCTACTGTCGCGGACAACTCTCCCCCCCCCCTCCCCCCCCTTCACTCGCTCTCCCCTTGCCCCCTCCCCACCAGGGCAAGAAGCTGCGAGTGACCCCCTCGCAGTCCAAGTACCGGCTGTTCGTGGGCAACATTCCCAAGAGCTGGTCGCGGGACGCTTGAGGCCTTTGACCTCACTCCCCCTCTTCCGCTCCCCCCCCCGGTTCCATCAGGGCAAGAAGCTGCGAGTCACACCGTCGCAGTCCAAGTACCGGCTGTTCGTGGGCAACATTCCCAAGAGCTGGTCGCACGGCCCGGCCTCTCACCTCACTCCCCCGCCGCTTCCTTCCCCCCACACCCCCGCCGCTTCCTTCCCCCCACACCCCCGCCGCTTCCTTCCCCCCACACCCCCGCCGCTTCCTTCCCCCCCCCCCCCGCCAGGGCAAGAAGCTCCGAGTGACCCCTTCACAGTCCAAGTACCGCCTGTTTGTGGGCAACATTCCCAAGAGCTGGTCGCGGGACGAACTGCACACCACGCTGGAGGCGGAGGGCAAGGGCATCACCAACCTCGAGCTGCTCATGGTGGGTTCATTTCATGGGCGGGTGGGTGGGTTGCTGCATGTATGGGTGGACAGGCATCGAGGTTATTTGTAAGTTGCCTCGAGGTTTTGCCTTCAAACCATGCCAAACAGCACACCACGCTGGAGGCGGAGGGCAAGGGCATCACCAACCTCGAGCTGCTCATGGTGGGTTCATTTCATGGGCGGGTGGGTGGGGAAGGGAAGGTGGGTGGGGGGGGGGGTGGGGTGTGCGGAGGTGGCACTTTGTGACAGCACGTCAACACCTACCTATGTCCACCGCACACCACCTCCTCTTGCTCCCTTCCCGGCAGGTCTCCAAGCTGCCAGGGCGCAATCGCGGGTATGCCGTAGTGGGGTATCACTACCACGCGTGTGTGGAGGTGGCACTCTGAGGCAGTGCCTTAACACTCTGCACCACGTATGTCCCAACGCACCCCCCCTCTCTTTTGCTCCCATCCCTTCAGGACCCCAAGCTGCCAGGGCGCAATCGCGGGTACGCCTTAGTGGGGTATCACTATGGCGGGTACAACCACCCGTGTGCGGAGGTGGCACTCTGGGTCACCACATTAACACCTCTCAACGCCCTTTCCCGCTCCCCCCGGCCTCCATCCCCCTTCCCCCCCGTTCCCCCCAGGATCCCAAGCTGCCGGGGCGCAACCGCGGGTATGCGTTCGTGGAGTATCACAACCATGCATGTGCGGAGGTGGCACGGCGGCACATGACAGCGCCCTCCTTCCGCCTGGCGGGCAACGTGCCCACCATCAGCTGGGCTGAGCCGCGCTCTGAACCCGACCCTTCAGCTATGGCGCAGGTGCGGAACGGGTGATGAGGCAGGCAGGTACGGGTGCTGGGGGTACTGGGACAGGCGGGGCAACGTGCCCACCATCAGCTGGGCCAAACCGCGCTCCGAGCCCGATCCCTCCGCCATGGCTCAGGTGTGGACGGTGGGGGTGGTGAGGGTGGTGGGGGTAGTGGGGGTAGTGAAGGTGGTGGGGGTGGTGGGGGTGGTGGGGGTGGTGGGGGTGGTGGGGCGCTGAAGCCAACCCCGTTCGCTGTAACTCATGGGAGTTTGATTCGGTGTCCACTCACAATGCGCCTGGCGGGCAACGTGCCCACCATCAGCTGGGCCGAACCCCGCTCTGAGCCCGATCCGTCTGCTATGGCTCAGGTAAAGGGCAATGGGGTTGGTGGTGGTGGTGGTGGTGGTGGTGCTGCTGCTGGGGCTGAGTGGGACTGGTGGGGCTGGTGGGGTAACATGCCCACCATCGGCTGGCCTGGCGGCACATGACAGCGCCCTCCTTCCGCCTGGCGGGCAACGTGCCCACCATCAGCTGGGCTGAACTGCGCTCTGGAACCGACCCCTCCGCCATGGCCCAAATGCGTGTGCTGGGATACGGCTGCTTGGGGTGGTGGGGATGGTGGGGGTGCCGTAAGTGCATAGATTCGTGAGCCAGAACTTTTGAGTCGACTCAAAGTCAGCCCGTAAGTGAATAGGTTTTTGAGCCAGAATGGCACTGTTGATGGGGGCCTCTGTATATGCGGTATACGTGAAGGGCATATCGGAGGTGGTCACAGTCAGTCACAGAGGTCGACCTGAAGGAAGGAGGCGTTTCATTCTGGGACTAGAATGCCTTTCCTGCTCCTCATGCTCTCGCCCCTCCCTGCTTTTTTTTTTCCCCCCCTTCCCCCCCTCCCTTCCCTTCCCCCTGCTTCTCACACCTCCTTCCCTTCCTGCCCTCCTGCAGGTGAAGGTGATATACGTGAAGGGAATTTCCGAGAAGGTGACTGAAGACGATCTGAAGGAGGCATTTCAGCGCTTTGGCGAGGTCACGCGCGTCATCCTGCCTCCTGTCCCCCCCCCCCCCTCCTTTCCCTGCTGCTCACAACCACCCTCCCCTCTGTAGGTGAAGGTGATATACGTGAAGGGAATTTCCGAGAAGGTGACAGAGGAAGATCTGAAGGAGGCGTTTCAGCGCTTTGGCGAGGTCACGCGCGTCATCCTGCCGCCGCCGCGCCCGGGGCAGCCGAAGCGGGACTTTGGGTTTGTGCACTTTGCAGAGAGGGCGGACGCACTCAAGGCGATCGAGACGCAGGAGAAGGTGCTCGTGGATGGTGAGTGGTGCTGAGCGGTGCTGGGTGGTGAGTGGATGGTGAGTGGTGCTGAATGGTGCTGGTGGGTGGTGAGACTTAATCACCAACTTACTGTTACTTCTAACAATACAGGAGGAGGAAGGGAAACTGCATTTAACAGAGTTCCACAACCAACACTCCCAAATCATCCTAAGCGAAGCACTCTATACGGCCACCCCCATCCCATCCCCCCTCTCCTTCCATCCCATCCCCCCCTCCTTCCTCCATCCCATCCCCCCCCCTCTCCTTCCATCCCATCCCCCCTCTCCTTCCATCCCATCCCCCCTCTCCTTCCATCCCATCCCCCCTCTCCTTCCATCCCATCCCCCCTCTCCTTCCATCCCATCCCCCCTCTCCTTCCATCCCATCCCCCCTCTCCTTCCATCCCATCCCCCCTCTCCTTCCATCCCATCCCCCCTCTCCTTCCATCCCATCCCCCCTCTCCTTCCATCCCATCCCCCCTCTCCTTCCATCCCATCCCCCCTCTCCTTCCATCCCATCCCCCCTCTCCTTCCATCCCATCCCCCCTCTCCTTCCATCCCATCCCCCCTCTCCTTCCATCCCATCCCCCCTCTCCTTCCATCCCCCCCCCTCTCCTTCCATCCCATCCCCCCTCTCCTTCCATCCCATCCCCCCTCTCCTTCCATCCCATCCCCCCTCTCCTTCCATCCCATCCCCCCTCTCCTTCCATCCCATCCCCCCTCTCCTTCCATCCCATCCCCCCTCTCCTTCCATCCCATCCCCCCTCTCCTTCCATCCCATCCCCCCTCTCCTTCCATCCCATCCCCCCTCTCCTTCCATCCCATCCCCCCTCTCCTTCCATCCCATCCCCCCTCTCCTTCCATCCCATCCCCCCTCTCCTTCCATCCCATCCCCCCTCTCCTTCCATCCCATCCCCCCTCTCCTTCCATCCCATCCCCCCTCTCCTTCCATCCCATCCCCCCTCTCCTTCCATCCCATCCCCCCTCTCCTTCCATCCCATCCCCCCTCTCCTTCCATCCCATCCCCCCTCTCCTTCCATCCCATCCCCCCTCTCCTCCATCCATCCCATCCCCCCTCTCCTTCCATCCCATCCCCCCTCTCCTTCCATCCCATCCCCCCTCTCCTTCCATCCCATCCCCCCTCTCCTTCCATCCCATCCCCCCTCTCCTTCCATCCCATCCCCCCTCTCCTTCCATCCCATCCCCCCTCTCCTTCCATCCCATCCCCCCTCTCCTTCCATCCCATCCCCCCTCTCCTTCCATCCCATCCCCCCTCTCCTTCCATCCCATCCCCCCTCTCCTTCCATCCCATCCCCCCTCTCCTTCCATCCCATCCCCCCTCTCCTTCCATCCCATCCCCCCTCTCCTTCCATCCCATCCCCCCTCTCCTTCCATCCCATCCCCCCTCTCCTTCCATCCCATCCCCCCTCTCCTTCCATCCCATCCCCCCTCTCCTTCCATCCCATCCCCCCTCTCCTTCCATCCCATCCCCCCTCTCCTTCCATCCCATCCCCCCTCTCCTTCCATCCCATCCCCCCTCTCCTTCCATCCCATCCCCCCTCTCCTTCCATCCCATCCCCCCTCTCCTTCCATCCCATCCCCCCTCTCCTTCCATCCCATCCCCCCTCTCCTTCCATCCCATCCCCCCTCTCCTTCCATCCCATCCCCCCTCTCCTTCCATCCCATCCCCCCTCTCCTTCCATCCCATCCCCCCTCTCCTTCCATCCCATCCCCCCTCTCCTTCCATCCCATCCCCCCTCTCCTTCCATCCCATCCCCCCTCTCCTTCCATCCCATCCCCCCTCTCCTTCCATCCCATCCCCCCTCTCCTTCCATCCCATCCCCCCTCTCCTTCCATCCCATCCCCCCTCTCCTTCCATCCCATCCCCCCTCTCCTTCCATCCCATCCCCCCTCTCCTTCCATCCCATCCCCCCTCTCCTTCCATCCCATCCCCCCTCTCCTTCCATCCCATCCCCCCTCTCCTTCCATCCCATCCCCCCTCTCCTTCCATCCCATCCCCCCTCTCCTTCCATCCCATCCCCCCTCTCCTTCCATCCCATCCCCCCTCTCCTTCCATCCCATCCCCCCTCTCCTTCCATCCCATCCCCCCTCTCCTTCCATCCCATCCCCCCTCTCCTTCCATCCCATCCCCCTCTCCTCCTTCCATCCCATCCCCCCTCTCCTTCCATCCCATCCCCCCTCTCCTTCCATCCCATCCCCCCTCTCCTTCCATCCCATCCCCCCTCTCCTTCCATCCCATCCCCCCTCTCCTTCCATCCCATCCCCCCTCTCCTTCCATCCCATCCCCCCTCTCCTTCCATCCCATCCCCCCTCTCCTTCCATCCCATCCCCCCTCTCCTTCCATCCCATCCCCCCTCTCCTTCCATCCCATCCCCCCTCTCCTTCCATCCCATCCCCCCTCTCCTTCCATCCCATCCCCCCTCTCCTTCCATCCCATCCCCCCTCTCCTTCCATCCCATCCCCCCTCTCCTTCCATCCCATCCCCCCTCTCCTTCCATCCCATCCCCCCCTCTCCTTCCATCCCATCCCCCCTCTCCTTCCATCCCATCCCCCCTCTCCTTCCATCCCATCCCCCCTCTCCTTCCATCCCATCCCCCCTCTCCTTCCATCCCATCCCCCCTCTCCTTCCATCCCATCCCCCCTCTCCTTCCATCCCATCCCCCTCTCCTTCCATCCCATCCCCCCTCTCCTTCCATCCCATCCCCCCTCTCCTTCCATCCCATCCCCCCTCTCCTTCCATCCCATCACCCACTCTCCTCACCCCTCCCCCTTCCCCCTCTCCCCCGCCAACCCATACACCAGTCCACCAGGCAAGGAGGTTGAGGTATCCCTAGCCAAGCCCCCCCCAGAGCCCCGCCCGGGCCATACTCAGCCCGTCCCTCTCTCCTTCACCCTCTCTCCTCTTCCGTTCCCGTTCTCCCTCCCTTCGCCCAACCCCCCACCCTTCCATACACCAACCCACCAAGCAAGGAGGTTGAGGTATCCCTAGCCAAGCTCCCCCCCCATAGCAACGCTCGGGCCATTCTTAGCCAATCCCTCTCTCCTTCACCCTCTCTCCTCTTCCGTTCCCGTTCTCCCTCCCTTTGCCCAACCCCCCACCCTTCCATACACCAACCCACCAGGCAAGGAGGTTGAGGTATCCCTAGCCAAGCTCCCCCCCCATAGCAACGCTCGGGCCATTCTTAGCCAATCCCTCTCTCCTTCACCCTCTCTCCTCTTCCGTTCCCGTTCTCCCTCCCTTTGCCCAACCCCCCACCCTTCCATACACCAACCCACCAGGCAAGGAGGTTGAGGTATCCCTAGCCAAGCTCCCCCCCCATAGCAACGCTCGGGCCATTCTTAGCCAATCCCTCTCTCCTTCACCCTCTCTCCTCTTCCGTTCCCGTTCTCCCTCCCTTCGCCCAACCCCCCACCCTTCCATACACAACCCACCAGGCAAGGAGGTTGAGGTATCCCTAGCCAAGCTCCCCCCCCATAGCAACGCTCGGGCCATTCTTAGCCAATCCCTCTCTCCTTCACCCTCTCTCCTCTTCCGTTCCCGTTCTCCCTCCTCTCCAACCCACCAGGCAAGGAGGTTGAGGTATCCCTAGCCAAGCTCCCCCCCCATAGCAACGCTCGGGCCATTCTTAGCCAATCCCTCTCTCCTTCACCCTCTCTCCTCTTCCGTTCCCGTTCTCCCTCCTCTCCAACCCACCAGTCCACCAGGCAAGGAGGTTGAGGTATCCCTAGCCAAGCTCCCCCCCCATAGCAACGCTCGGGCCATTCTTAGCCAATCCCTCTCTCCTTCACCCTCTCTCCTCTTCCGTTCCCGTTCTCCCTCCTCTCCAACCCACCAGGCAAGGAGGTTGAGGTATCCCTAGCCAAGCCCCCCCCAGAGCCCCGCCCAGGCCCAACCCATTCCTCTCTCCTTCACCCTTCCTCCGCGTCCATTCCCCTTCTCCCCCCCCCCCTCCCTCCCCCCTCCCCAACAACAACTTACCAGGCAAGGTTGAAGTCTCGCTAGCCAAGCCCCCCCCAGAGCGCCGCCCCAGCCCCTCTCACCCCATCCCTCACTCCTCACTCCCCTTCCACTTATCCCTCGCCTTCCCCTCCCAACAAACCCCCCACCAGGCAAGGAGGTTGAAGTCTCGCTAGCCAAGCCTCCCCCAGAGCACCGCCCCATCCCTCACTCCTCTCCACTCCCATTCCACTTATCCCTCGCTTCCCCCTCCTTATATCAACCCACCAGGCAAGGAGGTCGAGGTGTCCCTAGCCAAGCCCCCCCCGGGGCGCCGCCCCAGCCTTTCTCACCCCATCCCTCTCTCTTCCCAACACACTCTATCTCCATCCGTTCCCCTTCCTCTCCCCGCCCCACCTATTTCGCCCACCAGGCAAGGAGGTCGAGGTCTCTCTAGCCAAGCCCCCCCCGGAGCGCCGCCCGGGCCCTGGGGAACCCCCCTACCCCCCCCCGCTCCGCCCCCGGGGGGGGAGGGGGCAGCGGGGGGGGTGGTCCGGGGGGAGGCAGCAACACAGGGGGCGCCTCAGGCCTCCACCCCCAGTACCGCTCCGGATATGGCTATGGGGACATGGGCGGGGGAGGGGGAGGTGAAGGGAGGGGGTATGGGGGAGGCGGTGGGGGGTATGGGGGGAGGGAGAGGGGCGGGGAGGGGGCGTATGGGGCTTATTCGAGGAGCCTGGGGGAGAGGGGCGGGGGCGGGGGCGGGGGCGGAGGGGAGGCGGCGGGGGAGGCGGGTTTGGGTCGCAGGTGCCGTTTATATATGGGAGGGGGCCGGCGCCTGCTGGCATGGTGATGGTGCCGATGATGCTGCCCGATGGACGGCTGGGATACATCCTGTGAGTGCTGCCTGTTGCCTGTTGCCTAGGGTGGCTTGATGGTTTGGTTCAGTGTTCCCCTCTGGGTGGGTGTATTCGTGCGTGCATGCGTGCGTGCGTGCGTGTGCAAGTGCGTGTCTGTGTGCTTGCATATGTGCATCTCTGCTTATCATTCTTTTGCGCTTCGTCCCTCTGTGTGCTCCTTTGTGCAGGCAAAGAGAGGGGGAGGGTGGGGGAGGGGGGTACGGCGGGCGATATGCTGCTGGGGGAGGGGCGTACCGAGGAGGGGGAGGGGGGGGAGGGGGGTACTCAAGGGCGGGAGGCGGAGGTGCAGGTTACGGGAGTGTGGGGGGTGCTAGTGCTGGTAACTCACAAGCTCGCCGTTACAGACCGTACTGATTGTCTTGAGCGTTGGATTCTTAGTGGGAACGGGGTGGTTTGTATGGATGGGGAGGGGTGTTTTGAGGGAGGAGGGGATTTTAATGGCTAGATTGAAATGAAATGCAGGTGCAGGTGGGCAAACGGGGACAAGTTTTGGAAATCTGCTGTATGAGTGGGGATTGTTTGTTGGCCGAGGTACACATACCAGTACCTATTTTGTGTTTGCAGAACCAGTAGCCACCTTGATTTGGCCGTTTGCTTATAATGGGGATGAAACTCTCCTACTCTACACCACGTGTTGACGCAACGATTGGTGCTTACAATGCGAATCCTTGAATCTAACAAAGAGGTGTTGTATTCTAGTGAGTAGTCCGACTCTCACCGTTTTATGCGATCACTCTGTATCGCGCCTTCTCCCAATCAATACCACCCGCCCGCCTCTGCTCACGTTTCTCCTGCTCCATCCCTCGCTTCGCCGCTCGCCGACACTGACATGTCGACGAAACAGAGTGGCATCCAGTAGCATGTAACGCACTAACATCTAACGAGGACAATATCAGGCGACTCCCTAATGGAGCGATTAAGCGTGGTAGCGGCTGGGCCGTTCAGAGAATACTGGTGCTGCTCGTTCCGCATTACCACTAGTGCCACGAATGCCACCTGTTCTACTAATGCTTCTCTTAATGCTACTAGTACAACCCTCCACCGCCACCGCAGCCCCCTGGTTCCGGCCCCCCTTGCGCGCAGCTTCCGCGAGCCGGTCTCCCGCCAGCCGTGCTTCCGCCAGCCGTGCCAGTCAGTCTACCGCGCGCGGCGGCAAGGTCGCGGGGGGAACGCTGCGTTAGTGGGTGTGGGTGCGAGAGTGATGTCCACAGACGGACACGTGGCACGACACGTGGCAGGACACGTGGAAGGACACGTGGAGGAGGACAGCGAGGGGGTACATTCGCGAGGCGGCAGGTGCGTGGAAGAAGGCACAGGGTAGCTATATTTGTATGACTTTTGAGAATTCTCAAATGCCACACTATGGGGAGAGAGGGGGAGAGGGGGGAGTGGCATGTGTGGCAAGAAGGAGTTGGCTTTGCAACAAGAAGCACAGGGCTAGTGTAAACCCGAACCTCACTCAAGCGCACCCAACCACCCTCAACCGCATTCAACTGCTCTCACCCCCCACTCCACCCCTCTCTACCCCATTCTACCCGACCCCACCCACCCCTCCCGGCCTGCCTGCAGCGTGGAGCGCAACGACAGCAGCAGCACAGGGCCCCTGGTGAAACCATCTCCCCAGGTGAGACCTGGACCAATTCCCAAGAAACGATCCTAGATTGTGTATATGAATGCATATTCTTGAGGGGTCATAGCTTGGATCTTAGAATCCCATGAGTGAGGTTCACAACTGCCAGTGTGCCGTGCCAAGCCAAGCCGTGCTGCTGCAGCACTTGGCACCTGGCAGCTCGCGTACACTCTCCCAACTCTCCTCTTCCCCTTCGCTCTTGCAGTTGGCCTTCGCCTTCTGTCGCTCGCTTGCTCGCTCGCCCGGTCCCCTTCCAACCTTTATAATTCAACCTCCCCATCCCACCCCTTCCTCCCTCCTCTCCTACCCCTCGTGCAGATGCTAACATTCTTCCCCCTCCCCTGGCCCTGCCCCTTTCCCCCGTCCTCCATAACCCCCCCTTCCTCCCCGGGACCCCCGTCCCCCTCTTCCCCCCTACTGTCGTGCACCAACAGTTGTCAGTGCGGCAAGCAGTGGAGCTGCAGATGTCAGCACTCGCTCACAACGACACCCCCCGCACCGACCATGGGCTTGAGGTGGGTGGGCGCATGAGGTGGTGCGTGCATGGGGGTGGAAGTGAAAGAGTGAAATGGACGCTTGAAAATACGTTTTTGTTTTTGCTTTTGTTTCGTTTTCTTCTTTCTTACTTTCTTTCTTTTCTTTTCTTTTCTTCTCAAGGGAGTGATGCATCATGCACTCCACACCCTTCCTCGTCCCTGTCCCTGTGCATGTGCCATCAGGTTCTCTACTACTTTGCCAACGCTGAGGGAACTCTTGCGGACCCTGCTGTCATCTCCTCTTCCTCCTCCTCCGCTGCGTCGCTGCTCTCCCCCCTGCCGTGCTACTTCGGGTTTGCAGCAGACCTATACCACTTCGGCCATTTCGCACTCAAGTTCAAAACAAGGTCAGCTGCTGCTGCTGCCGCCGCCGCCGCCGCCGCCGCTGCTGCTGCCGCCGCTGTTCCTCCTTTCGTCAAAACCCTGGACTCGCCTCTCATTTGCTGCCTCATGCGCATTCTGAGAGGGATTTATTCTCTCGAATTTCATCCGCTTTTAAACCACAACCGAGCTCACTTCCACTCCTCTCCGCTCCACTCCTCTCCTCTCCTCTCCTCCCCCAGGTACCGACGGCTGTTGAACCACGGGGGTGCGCGCATTCTCTCCCTGCGCCCCCTCAACAGCGCAGGCTCCTGTGTGCAGTGCAGGGTGGCAGTTACACACCTTTCCCATTCCTCCCTCCCTAACTCAGCTCCCGTCCCTCCCTCTCTTCCTGCCTCATCCATGCCGCACCCCAAACCCACTCCTCCCACTCTCTTTCTCCTGCTTCCCCGCTCTCCCTTTCCCCCATATTCTCCTACCCTCCTGCTCTGTCAAACCCCCCAGGTACCGGCGGCTGTTGAACCACGGGGGTGCGCGCATCCTCTCCCTGCGCCCTCTCAACAGCACAGGCTCCTGTGTGCAGTGCAGGGTGTCTGTGAGGGTGGCTCCTCTGCAGGCCCAGATCAAAGGAGGAAAGCCGGATGTGCATGGGAGGGCGATGGGGAAAGAGGTGGAGGATGAGAGGGAGGGCATGCAGGGGAATGTGGGTGATGGAGGGGGGATTGAGGGGAATGTGGTTGAGGGAGAGCAGGTGGAGGGAAGTGTGGGGGAGGGAGAGGAGGAATGGGTGATGCAGTTGTCGCATGTTCCCAGGGGTATTCAGCCTCCCTGCTGGCTTGTTGATTCCCTCCTGCCCAGTAGCTAGTACTGTAGTGTATTTAATACAGTAACAAAGCAAATATATGGTGAGTTTAAGACACGGTACAGTACTAGAGATGTGCTTCATGTACTTGTACCTACAGTTGTGCAATGTCATAGCATCATCGCTTCTACCAACCTACTATTCCGTACGTCACAACAAATGTCGGCAAATCAATGTTCACTTCTAATAAACTTCCTCCCATCTACGCCTACCGTACATACCCTAAATCAGCACCACCAGCCACCCAACCAAACAGCCACGCTGCCATGCCACACATCCGACCAGCCACCCAACCCAACCAAGCACAATCGGATGCCAACCAAAGAACCCTCCAAGTCTCTTGACTCCTGACTCGTGACTCCTGGCCCACCGGCACCGGACCGCTCCTCACACTCATTCCAACCTATGGTAGTGTTGGTCCCACCGACCCTGAATCCTGAATTCCCCCAGGCACCCGACAACCTGAACCACAGCATTCTATCCGCTCTCTGATGTGTAAGTTGAAACCAACTCCTTAACTCTAACGAGCTGCACCGCACTGCACCACATAGCTAACTAACCAGGCAGTCAACTTGACTGTAGAGCTGCACCTACTCAAAAGTCGGGCCGGGCTCTATACAGCACCACAGAACCAGTTGACGGAGCAGGATAGACATTTCTGATGTCCATTCTGTTTCCCTACCCAGCTCTACTCCCCTGCTCCGCTGCCTGCTCCTCCTCTACGCATCTAAGCCAATCAGTGATATCCCCCCAAAAGGAGGATTTTGCATCCTCTACTGTCACCTGTTGACAGATTGACATGCTTCACATCACAGCCTGTCATACCCATCAGGGTTCCAGTCCATTCCATTCCATTCCATTCCATTCCATTCCATTCCATTCCATTCCATTCCATTCCATTCCATTCCATTCCATCCAAGCGCTTCTTTTCATCCGCCTCTGAATCTCCATTGCCTTCCCATACAAACGGTTTGAAACGCGTGACTGCAGCAAGAAAAGGGGTGGCGGAGAGGGGTAAGTGCGAGAGGGAGTGGGAGAAGTGGGAGAACGAGAGAACAAGAAACATAGGTGAGTGCATACACATGATTTGAGAAAAGAAAGCAGTTTACTCCTCCTCCCTTGAAGCCCAAGCGTAACAAAGCATTGCATCTTGAACCTTTCTATCTGACCTCCTTCCATCCCAATCCCTGCGTAGTCAAACAGAGATTAATACAAACATCTTACCTGCTGCTACTACTTCTACTGCTGCTACTGCTTCTCCTCCTCCTCTTCACTAGACCGCCCCTTCTTCTCCTCCCCTCCCCCTCCTCCTCCTACCCCTTCCTCCGGATCCTCTGATTTCACTCTCTCCCTCCTCTCCTCCTCATCATCACTCCCAGAATCATCATCTCTCCTTCTCCTCCTCCCCCTCCTGCCAGAATCCCTATCCTCCTCATCATCCTCCTCCCTCTCTCGCTTGCCATCCTCCCCGCCTTGACCCCCACCCTCCCGTCTCCTCTCGCGCTCCCTCTCCTCGTCCCGCCTCTCTCTCTCCTTCCTCTCCCTCCTCTCCTCATCGGTCTCATCCCTCCTCTCCCTCTCCCCACTCCGCCCACGCCCCTCCTCCTCTCTCCTCCTGTAAGTCTCATCATCCCGCCTCCTCTCCCTGCTCCTCTCCCTCTCCCTTCCCCCCTCCCTCTCCCTCTCCCTCTCCCTCTCCCTCTCCCTCTCCCTCTCCCTCTCCCTCTCCCTCTCCCTCTCCCTCTCCCTCTCCCTCTCCCTCTCCCTCTCCCTCTCCCTCTCCCTCTCCCTCCCCCTATCCCTCTCCCTCTCATAATCACGCCCCCTATAATCACCTCCCGAGCCACCCCTATGCCCTCCCCCTCCTCTGTAATCCCCACCACCCCTATAATCCCCTCCCCTGTAATCTCCTCCCCTATAATCCCCACCTCCTCTGTAATCCCCACCCCCCCTGTAATCTCCCCCACCACGATAACCCCCCATCATCCCCCTTCCATAGTCACCCCCGCCCCCACCACCGTATCCCCCCCCTCGTCCCCCCCACCCTCCCCCCATACCCCTGTAATCGGGCCCTCCCCTACCATCAAAGAACGGTGGGGGCCCGGGAAAAGGACCGCGGTCATAGCTGGGGGGAGAGAGGGGTGGGGGAATGGGAGAGAGAGGGGTGGGGGAAGAGGGGAGAGAGGGGTGGGGGAAGGGGGGTGAGGGAATGTAAGGAAGATTGAGGAGGTCGGGAGGGGAGGCAGAACGGAAGGAAGAGGGGAGGAGGAAGTGAGAGTGGGGTGGACAATCAATTCCAATGAGCAGGGAGCAGGGAAAGAAGAGCAGGGAAAGAAGAGCAGGGAAAGAAGAGCAGGGAAAGAAGAGCAGGGAAAGAAGAGCAGGGAAAGAAGAGCAGGGAAAGAAGAGCAGGGAAAGAAGAGCAGGGAAAGAAGAGCAGGGAAAGAAGAGCAGGGAAAGAAGAGCAGGGAAAGAAGAGCAGGGAAAGAAGAGCAGGGAAAGAAGAGCAGGGAAAGAAGAGCAGGGAAAGAAGAGCAGGGAAAGAAGAGCAGGGAAAGAAGAGCAGGGAAAGAAGAGCAGGGAAAGAAGAGCAGGGAAAGAAGAGCAGGGAAAGAAGAGCAGGGAAAGAAGAGCAGGGAAAGAAGAGCAGGGAAAGAAGAGCAGGGAAAGAAGAGCAGGGAAAGAAGAGCAGGGAAAGAAGAGCAGGGAAAGAAGAGCAGGGAAAGAAGAGCAGGGAAAGAAGAGCAGGGAAAGAAGAGCAGGGAAAGAAGAGCAGGGAAAGAAGAGCAGGGAAAGAAGAGCAGGGAAAGAAGAGCAGGGAAAGAAGAGCAGGGAAAGAAGAGCAGGGAAAGAAGAGCAGGGAAAGAAGAGCAGGGAAAGAAGAGCAGGGAAAGAAGAGCAGGGAAAGAAGAGCAGGGAAAGAAGAGCAGGGAAAGAAGAGCAGGGAAAGAAGAGCAGGGAAAGAAGAGCAGGGAAAGAAGAGCAGGGAAAGAAGAGCAGGGAAAGAAGAGCAGGGAAAGAAGAGCAGGGAAAGAAGAGCAGGGAAAGAAGAGCAGGGAAAGAAGAGCAGGGAAAGAAGAGCAGGGAAAGAAGAGCAGGGAAAGAAGAGCAGGGAAAGAAGAGCAGGGAAAGAAGAGCAGGGAAAGAAGAGCAGGGAAAGAAGAGCAGGGAAAGAAGAGCAGGGAAAGAAGAGCAGGGAAAGAAGAGCAGGGAAAGAAGAGCAGGGAAAGAAGAGCAGGGAAAGAAGAGCAGGGAAAGAAGAGCAGGGAAAGAAGAGCAGGGAAAGAAGAGCAGGGAAAGAAGAGCAGGGAAAGAAGAGCAGGGAAAGAAGAGCAGGGAAAGAAGAGCAGGGAAAGAAGAGCAGGGAAAGAAGAGCAGGGAAAGAAGAGCAGGGAAAGAAGAGCAGGGAAAGAAGAGCAGGGAAAGAAGAGCAGGGAAAGAAGAGCAGGGAAAGAAGAGCAGGGAAAGAAGAGCAGGGAAAGAAGAGCAGGGAAAGAAGAGCAGGGAAAGAAGAGCAGGGAAAGAAGAGCAGGGAAAGAAGAGCAGGGAAAGAAGAGCAGGGAAAGAAGAGCAGGGAAAGAAGAGCAGGGAAAGAAGAGCAGGGAAAGAAGAGCAGGGAAAGAAGAGCAGGGAAAGAAGAGCAGGGAAAGAAGAGCAGGGAAAGAAGAGCAGGGAAAGAAGAGCAGGGAAAGAAGAGCAGGGAAAGAAGAGCAGGGAAAGAAGAGCAGGGAAAGAAGAGCAGGGAAAGAAGAGCAGGGAAAGAAGAGCAGGGAAAGAAGAGCAGGGAAAGAAGAGCAGGGAAAGAAGAGCAGGGAAAGAAGAGCAGGGAAAGAAGAGCAGGGAAAGAAGAGCAGGGAAAGAAGAGCAGGGAAAGAAGAGCAGGGAAAGAAGAGCAGGGAAAGAAGAGCAGGGAAAGAAGAGCAGGGAAAGAAGAGCAGGGAAAGAAGAGCAGGGAAAGAAGAGCAGGGAAAGAAGAGCAGGGAAAGAAGAGCAGGGAAAGAAGAGCAGGGAAAGAAGAGCAGGGAAAGAAGAGCAGGGAAAGAAGAGCAGGGAAAGAAGAGCAGGGAAAGAAGAGCAGGGAAAGAAGAGCAGGGAAAGAAGAGCAGGGAAAGAAGAGCAGGGAAAGAAGAGCAGGGAAAGAAGAGCAGGGAAAGAAGAGCAGGGAAAGAAGAGCAGGGAAAGAAGAGCAGGGAAAGAAGAGCAGGGAAAGAAGAGCAGGGAAAGAAGAGCAGGGAAAGAAGAGCAGGGAAAGAAGAGCAGGGAAAGAAGAGCAGGGAAAGAAGAGCAGGGAAAGAAGAGCAGGGAAAGAAGAGCAGGGAAAGAAGAGCAGGGAAAGAAGAGCAGGGAAAGAAGAGCAGGGAAAGAAGAGCAGGGAAAGAAGAGCAGGGAAAGAAGAGCAGGGAAAGAAGAGCAGGGAAAGAAGAGCAGGGAAAGAAGAGCAGGGAAAGAAGAGCAGGGAAAGAAGAGCAGGGAAAGAAGAGCAGGGAAAGAAGAGCAGGGAAAGAAGAGCAGGGAAAGAAGAGCAGGGAAAGAAGAGCAGGGAAAGAAGAGCAGGGAAAGAAGAGCAGGGAAAGAAGAGCAGGGAAAGAAGAGCAGGGAAAGAAGAGCAGGGAAAGAAGAGCAGGGAAAGAAGAGCAGGGAAAGAAGAGCAGGGAAAGAAGAGCAGGGAAAGAAGAGCAGGGAAAGAAGAGCAGGGAAAGAAGAGCAGGGAAAGAAGAGCAGGGAAAGAAGAGCAGGGAAAGAAGAGCAGGGAAAGAAGAGCAGGGAAAGAAGAGCAGGGAAAGAAGAGCAGGGAAAGAAGAGCAGGGAAAGAAGAGCAGGGAAAGAAGAGCAGGGAAAGAAGAGCAGGGAAAGAAGAGCAGGGAAAGAAGAGCAGGGAAAGAAGAGCAGGGAAAGAAGAGCAGGGAAAGAAGAGCAGGGAAAGAAGAGCAGGGAAAGAAGAGCAGGGAAAGAAGAGCAGGGAAAGAAGAGCAGGGAAAGAAGAGCAGGGAAAGAAGAGCAGGGAAAGAAGAGCAGGGAAAGAAGAGCAGGGAAAGAAGAGCAGGGAAAGAAGAGCAGGGAAAGAAGAGCAGGGAAAGAAGAGCAGGGAAAGAAGAGCAGGGAAAGAAGAGCAGGGAAAGAAGAGCAGGGAAAGAAGAGCAGGGAAAGAAGAGCAGGGAAAGAAGAGCAGGGAAAGAAGAGCAGGGAAAGAAGAGCAGGGAAAGAAGAGCAGGGAAAGAAGAGCAGGGAAAGAAGAGCAGGGAAAGAAGAGCAGGGAAAGAAGAGCAGGGAAAGAAGAGCAGGGAAAGAAGAGCAGGGAAAGAAGAGCAGGGAAAGAAGAGCAGGGAAAGAAGAGCAGGGAAAGAAGAGCAGGGAAAGAAGAGCAGGGAAAGAAGAGCAGGGAAAGAAGAGCAGGGAAAGAAGAGCAGGGAAAGAAGAGCAGGGAAAGAAGAGCAGGGAAAGAAGAGCAGGGAAAGAAGAGCAGGGAAAGAAGAGCAGGGAAAGAAGAGCAGGGAAAGAAGAGCAGGGAAAGAAGAGCAGGGAAAGAAGAGCAGGGAAAGAAGAGCAGGGAAAGAAGAGCAGGGAAAGAAGAGCAGGGAAAGAAGAGCAGGGAAAGAAGAGCAGGGAAAGAAGAGCAGGGAAAGAAGAGCAGGGAAAGAAGAGCAGGGGAAGAAGAGCAGGGAAGAAGAGGGGAAGAAGAGCAGGGAAAGAAGAGCAGGGAAAGAAGAGCAGGGAAAGAAGAGCAGGGAAAGAAGAGCAGGGAAAGAAGAGCAGGGAAAGAAGAGCAGGGAAAGAAGAGCAGGGAAAGAAGAGCAGGGAAAGAAGAGCAGGGAAAGAAGAGCAGGGAAAGAAGAGCAGGGAAAGAAGAGCAGGGAAAGAAGAGCAGGGAAAGAAGAGCAGGGAAAGAAGAGCAGGGAAAGAAGAGCAGGGAAAGAAGAGCAGGGAAAGAAGAGCAGGGAAAGAAGAGCAGGGAAAGAAGAGCAGGGAAAGAAGAGCAGGGAAAGAAGAGCAGGGAAAGAAGAGCAGGGAAAGAAGAGCAGGGAAAGAAGAGCAGGGAAAGAAGAGCAGGGAAAGAAGAGCAGGGAAAGAAGAGCAGGGAAAGAAGAGCAGGGAAAGAAGAGCAGGGAAAGAAGAGCAGGGAAAGAAGAGCAGGGAAAGAAGAGCAGGGAAAGAAGAGCAGGGAAAGAAGAGCAGGGAAAGAAGAGCAGGGAAAGAAGAGCAGGGAAAGAAGAGCAGGGAAAGAAGAGCAGGGAAAGAAGAGCAGGGAAAGAAGAGCAGGGAAAGAAGAGCAGGGAAAGAAGAGCAGGGAAAGAAGAGCAGGGAAAGAAGAGCAGGGAAAGAAGAGCAGGGAAAGAAGAGCAGGGAAAGAAGAGCAGGGAAAGAAGAGCAGGGAAAGAAGAGCAGGGAAAGAAGAGCAGGGAAAGAAGAGCAGGGAAAGAAGAGCAGGGAAAGAAGAGCAGGGAAAGAAGAGCAGGGAAAGAAGAGCAGGGAAAGAAGAGCAGGGAAAGAAGAGCAGGGAAAGAAGAGCAGGGAAAGAAGAGCAGGGAAAGAAGAGCAGGGAAAGAAGAGCAGGGAAAGAAGAGCAGGGAAAGAAGAGCAGGGAAAGAAGAGCAGGGAAAGAAGAGCAGGGAAAGAAGAGCAGGGAAAGAAGAGCAGGGAAAGAAGAGCAGGGAAAGAAGAGCAGGGAAAGAAGAGCAGGGAAAGAAGAGCAGGGAAAGAAGAGCAGGGAAAGAAGAGCAGGGAAAGAAGAGCAGGGAAAGAAGAGCAGGGAAAGAAGAGCAGGGAAAGAAGAGCAGGGAAAGAAGAGCAGGGAAAGAAGAGCAGGGAAAGAAGAGCAGGGAAAGAAGAGCAGGGAAAGAAGAGCAGGGAAAGAAGAGCAGGGAAAGAAGAGCAGGGAAAGAAGAGCAGGGAAAGAAGAGCAGGGAAAGAAGAGCAGGGAAAGAAGAGCAGGGAAAGAAGAGCAGGGAAAGAAGAGCAGGGAAAGAAGAGCAGGGAAAGAAGAGCAGGGAAAGAAGAGCAGGGAAAGAAGAGCAGGGAAAGAAGAGCAGGGAAAGAAGAGCAGGGAAAGAAGAGCAGGGAAAGAAGAGCAGGGAAAGAAGAGCAGGGAAAGAAGAGCAGGGAAAGAAGAGCAGGGAAAGAAGAGCAGGGAAAGAAGAGCAGGGAAAGAAGAGCAGGGAAAGAAGAGCAGGGAAAGAAGAGCAGGGAAAGAAGAGCAGGGAAAGAAGAGCAGGGAAAGAAGAGCAGGGAAAGAAGAGCAGGGAAAGAAGAGCAGGGAAAGAAGAGCAGGGAAAGAAGAGCAGGGAAAGAAGAGCAGGGAAAGAAGAGCAGGGAAAGAAGAGCAGGGAAAGAAGAGCAGGGAAAGAAGAGCAGGGAAAGAAGAGCAGGGAAAGAAGAGCAGGGAAAGAAGAGCAGGGAAAGAAGAGCAGGGAAAGAAGAGCAGGGAAAGAAGAGCAGGGAAAGAAGAGCAGGGAAAGAAGAGCAGGGAAAGAAGAGCAGGGAAAGAAGAGCAGGGAAAGAAGAGCAGGGAAAGAAGAGCAGGGAAAGAAGAGCAGGGAAAGAAGAGCAGGGAAAGAAGAGCAGGGAAAGAAGAGCAGGGAAAGAAGAGCAGGGAAAGAAGAGCAGGGAAAGAAGAGCAGGGAAAGAAGAGCAGGGAAAGAAGAGCAGGGAAAGAAGAGCAGGGAAAGAAGAGCAGGGAAAGAAGAGCAGGGAAAGAAGAGCAGGGAAAGAAGAGCAGGGAAAGAAGAGCAGGGAAAGAAGAGCAGGGAAAGAAGAGCAGGGAAAGAAGAGCAGGGAAAGAAGAGCAGGGAAAGAAGAGCAGGGAAAGAAGAGCAGGGAAAGAAGAGCAGGGAAAGAAGAGCAGGGAAAGAAGAGCAGGGAAAGAAGAGCAGGGAAAGAAGAGCAGGGAAAGAAGAGCAGGGAAAGAAGAGCAGGGAAAGAAGAGCAGGGAAAGAAGAGCAGGGAAAGAAGAGCAGGGAAAGAAGAGCAGGGAAAGAAGAGCAGGGAAAGAAGAGCAGGGAAAGAAGAGCAGGGAAAGAAGAGCAGGGAAAGAAGAGCAGGGAAAGAAGAGCAGGGAAAGAAGAGCAGGGAAAGAAGAGCAGGGAAAGAAGAGCAGGGAAAGAAGAGCAGGGAAAGAAGAGCAGGGAAAGAAGAGCAGGGAAAGAAGAGCAGGGAAAGAAGAGCAGGGAAAGAAGAGCAGGGAAAGAAGAGCAGGGAAAGAAGAGCAGGGAAAGAAGAGCAGGGAAAGAAGAGCAGGGAAAGAAGAGCAGGGAAAGAAGAGCAGGGAAAGAAGAGCAGGGAAAGAAGAGCAGGGAAAGAAGAGCAGGGAAAGAAGAGCAGGGAAAGAAGAGCAGGGAAAGAAGAGCAGGGAAAGAAGAGCAGGGAAAGAAGAGCAGGGAAAGAAGAGCAGGGAAAGAAGAGCAGGGAAAGAAGAGCAGGGAAAGAAGAGCAGGGAAAGAAGAGCAGGGAAAGAAGAGCAGGGAAAGAAGAGCAGGGAAAGAAGAGCAGGGAAAGAAGAGCAGGGAAAGAAGAGCAGGGAAAGAAGAGCAGGGAAAGAAGAGCAGGGAAAGAAGAGCAGGGAAAGAAGAGCAGGGAAAGAAGAGCAGGGAAAGAAGAGCAGGGGAAGAAGAGCAGGGGAAGAAGAGCAGGAAAAGAGCAGGGAAAGAAGAGCAGGGAAAGAAGAGCAGGGAAAGAAGAGCAGGGAAAGAAGAGCAGGGAAAGAAGAGCAGGGAAAGAAGAGCAGGGAAAGAAGAGCAGGGAAAGAAGAGCAGGGGAAGAAGAGCAGGAAAGAAGAGCAGGAAGAGCAGGGGAAGAAGAGCAGGGAAGAAGAGCAGGGGAAGAAGAGCAGGGGAAGAAGAGCAGGGGAAGAAGAGCAGGGAAGAAGAGCAGGGGAAGAAGAGCAGGGGAAGAAGAGCAGGGGAAGAAGAGCAGGGGAAGAAGAGCAGGGGAAGAAGAGCAGGGGAAGAGAGCAGGGAAAGAAGAGCAGGAAAGAAAGAGCAGGGAAAGAAGAGCAGGGAAAGAAGAGCAGGGAAAGAAGAGCAGGGAAAGAAGAGCAGGGAAAGAAGAGCAGGGAAAGAAGAGCAGGGAAAGAAGAGCAGGGAAAGAAGAGCAGGGAAAGAAGAGCAGGGAAAGAAGAGCAGGGAAAGAAGAGCAGGGAAAGAAGAGCAGGGAAAGAAGAGCAGGGAAAGAAGAGCAGGGAAAGAAGAGCAGGGAAAGAAGAGCAGGGAAAGAAGAGCAGGGAAAGAAGAGCAGGGAAAGAAGAGCAGGGAAAGAAGAGCAGGGAAAGAAGAGCAGGGAAAGAAGAGCAGGGAAAGAAGAGCAGGGAAAGAAGAGCAGGGAAAGAAGAGCAGGGAAAGAAGAGCAGGGAAAGAAGAGCAGGGAAAGAAGAGCAGGGAAAGAAGAGCAGGGAAAGAAGAGCAGGGAAAGAAGAGCAGGGAAAGAAGAGCAGGGAAAGAAGAGCAGGGAAAGAAGAGCAGGGAAAGAAGAGCAGGGAAAGAAGAGCAGGGAAAGAAGAGCAGGGAAAGAAGAGCAGGGAAAGAAGAGCAGGGAAAGAAGAGCAGGGAAAGAAGAGCAGGGAAAGAAGAGCAGGGAAAGAAGAGCAGGGAAAGAAGAGCAGGGAAAGAAGAGCAGGGAAAGAAGAGCAGGGAAAGAAGAGCAGGGAAAGAAGAGCAGGGAAAGAAGAGCAGGGAAAGAAGAGCAGGGAAAGAAGAGCAGGGAAAGAAGAGCAGGGAAAGAAGAGCAGGGAAAGAAGAGCAGGGAAAGAAGAGCAGGGAAAGAAGAGCAGGGAAAGAAGAGCAGGGAAAGAAGAGCAGGGAAAGAAGAGCAGGGAAAGAAGAGCAGGGAAAGAAGAGCAGGGAAAGAAGAGCAGGGAAAGAAGAGCAGGGAAAGAAGAGCAGGGAAAGAAGAGCAGGGAAAGAAGAGCAGGGAAAGAAGAGCAGGGAAAGAAGAGCAGGGAAAGAAGAGCAGGGAAAGAAGAGCAGGGAAAGAAGAGCAGGGAAAGAAGAGCAGGGAAAGAAGAGCAGGGAAAGAAGAGCAGGGAAAGAAGAGCAGGGAAAGAAGAGCAGGGAAAGAAGAGCAGGGGAAGAGAGCAGGGAAAGAAGAGCAGGGAAAGAAGAGCAGGGAAAGAAGAGCAGGGAAAGAAGAGCAGGGAAAGAAGAGCAGGGAAAGAAGAGCAGGGAAAGAAGAGCAGGGAAAGAAGAGCAGGGAAAGAAGAGCAGGGAAAGAAGAGCAGGGAAAGAAGAGCAGGGAAAGAAGAGCAGGGAAAGAAGAGCAGGGAAAGAAGAGCAGGGAAAGAAGAGCAGGGAAAGAAGAGCAGGGAAAGAAGAGCAGGGAAAGAAGAGCAGGGAAAGAAGAGCAGGGAAAGAAGAGCAGGGAAAGAAGAGCAGGGAAAGAAGAGCAGGGAAAGAAGAGCAGGGAAAGAAGAGCAGGGAAAGAAGAGCAGGGAAAGAAGAGCAGGGAAAGAAGAGCAGGGAAAGAAGAGCAGGGAAAGAAGAGCAGGGAAAGAAGAGCAGGGAAAGAAGAGCAGGGAAAGAAGAGCAGGGAAAGAAGAGCAGGGAAAGAAGAGCAGGGAAAGAAGAGCAGGGAAAGAAGAGCAGGGAAAGAAGAGCAGGGAAAGAAGAGCAGGGAAAGAAGAGCAGGGAAAGAAGAGCAGGGAAAGAAGAGCAGGGAAAGAAGAGCAGGGAAAGAAGAGCAGGGAAAGAAGAGCAGGGAAAGAAGAGCAGGGAAAGAAGAGCAGGGAAAGAAGAGCAGGGAAAGAAGAGCAGGGAAAGAAGAGCAGGGAAAGAAGAGCAGGGAAAGAAGAGCAGGGAAAGAAGAGCAGGGAAAGAAGAGCAGGGAAAGAAGAGCAGGGAAAGAAGAGCAGGGAAAGAAGAGCAGGGAAAGAAGAGCAGGGAAAGAAGAGCAGGGAAAGAAGAGCAGGGAAAGAAGAGCAGGGAAAGAAGAGCAGGGAAAGAAGAGCAGGGAAAGAAGAGCAGGGAAAGAAGAGCAGGGAAAGAAGAGCAGGGAACCAGTTGAAAGGAAAATAAAAGAAGCAGCAGCAAAGCAGAGAAACGACGGGAGTCTAGGAGAGGGTAATGCGGTGAAATAGCTGAAATGGGAGCAAAGGGTGGGTGGGAGATGGAGCAGCGTGAGAGGGGATGGTGGATGCAGGGAACAAGACAAAGACCAAGGAAATAGCTGGGGTACGGGGCATGGGGCATGGGGCACGGGGCATGGGGCATAAGGCAGGGGGCATGTTGTATGGTGCACGGGGCATGGAGCATGGGGCACGGGGCATGGAGCATGGGGCACGAGGCATGGAGCATGTGGCACGGGGCATGGAGCATGGGGCACGGGGCATGGAGCATGGGGCACGGGGCATGGAGCATGGGGCACGGGGCATGGAGCATGGGGCACGGGGCATGGAGCATGGGGCACGGGGCATGGAGCATGGGGCACGGGGCATGGAGCATGGGGCACGGGGCATGGAGCATGGGGCACGGGGCATGGAGCATGGGGCACGGGGCATGGAGCATGACCACTCACCGAGGCCCATGGTGCATGGAGGGCGGGGGAGGCGGACCAACATCAGTGATCATGCCCTTATCTCTGCCATCGGCATGGGAGCATGTATGGGCATAGGGACATGCATGGGCATGGGGGACGGGATATGCACAGCAGCAGGGCATGAGCACCTATCCCCGGCCCCACTCTCACCCTTAACCCCAACACATGACCCACGCCCAGCCCCACCCCCATCCCCAACCCCCAACCCCAAAACCCCATGCCCATCCCCATCCCCATCCCCATCCCCATCCCCATCCCCATCCCCATCCCCAACCCCATGCCCAACCTCACCCCCACCCCCGTGCCCACCCCCATGCCCACCCTCATCCCCCCCCCCACCCCAACCCCACCCCCACCCCCATCCCCAGCCCAAGGCATGGGCCGCATGGCAGCTCACATGATCTCCTCGTTGGGCCCGTACTTGGCGAATTTCACCATGATCTCGCGCCCATCTACCCAACCCTAGTATCAGTTACCCCCACAACACCCCCCCAACCCCAGCCCCAACCCCAGGCGAGAGTGCAAGAAGAGTGGCGGCTCACATGATCTCCTCGTTGCGGCCGTACTTGGCGAATTTCACCATGATTTCACGCCCATCCACCGTCGTGCCTGTCGCCGCGTGGTGGGGGGTGAGGAAGGGGGGTGGGGAGGTGTGTGTGTGTGGGGGGGGGGAGGGGGAGAGGTTGGGCGTGGGGTGGGGCGAGGTGTCAGTGTGGTGGGCAGGATACCAGGGCAAGATACCAGGGAGGAGAGGGATGAGTGAGAGAGATGTGTGGGGAAGGGGGAATGTAAGAGGGGGAAGAGGACAGTTGGGCATGTATAGGGATGACAGAAGGAAGAAGGGGTAGCAAGCAGGGCAAATCAAGGAGAGGAGAGAGAGGGAGAACAGGAGAGCACAGCACAGCACACCCAAACAGCAGCAGCAGCAGCAGCAGCGGCGGCAGCAGCAGCAGCAGCAGCAGCAGCAGCAGCAGCAGCAGCAGCAGCCACCCCACTGACCATCAAGGCGTTCCACGGCCTTGGCTGCCTCGTCCTCGTGCTTGAACCGCACAAACACACAAACGCGAAACCCCCCGTGACGTGCCCGTGCTGCACCATAGCATCCCATGCAACAGCAGCAGCAGAGCACGCAACAACAACACAACACACCACACCCCACTGACCATCAAGGCGTTCCACAGCCTTGGCCGCCTCGTCCTCGTGCTTGAACCGCACAAACGCGAACCCCCGTCTTTTGAGGCGCCTCAAAAGGCGACAGCAACAGCAGCAGCAGCAGCAGCAGCAGCAGACCTACTCGCCATCCTACTCACCGTCAAGGCGCTCCACAGCCTTGGCTGCCTCGTCCTCATGCTTGAACCGCACAAACGCGAACCCCCGTGACGTGCCCGTGCTGCTCCCTCGCATCCCATCCCATTCCATTCCATTCCACGCGCGCACGCGCCCATGCGTTGAATAGAAGGGAACGGCGGATAGGGCCGTTGAGGGTGGATGGGGGAGAGGAAGGGGGTGGGGGAATTAGAGGGGAAAGGGGAGATGGGGAAGGGGGACAGAGAGAAGGGAGATGGAAGACGGGGCGAGAGGGGAGGGAAGACGGGGGGAGAGGGGAGAGGGGAGGGAAGACAGGGAGAGAAAAAAGGCGGGTGAGAAAATAAGGGATCAGATGTGCGAACGGAAAGGGGATGACGTAGCGGTGACGGTAGAGGAGTACGCTCAAGCAGGGGCAGGTGCAAGCAGGGGCAGGTGCAAGCAGGGGCAGGTGCAAGCAGGGGCAGGTGCAAGCAGGGGCAGGTGCAAGTAGGGGCAGGTGCACGCAGGGGCAGGTGCAAGTAGGGGCAGGTGCACGCAGGGGCAGGTGCACGCAAATCAATCAAGGACGCCATCGGAAAAACAAAACTTTCATGTGACGGTGGGAGGGAGGGGAAGTAAGGAGACGGGGTTGGGGAAGAGGGTGGGGAAGAGGGAGCCGTAGGGGGATGAGGGAGAAGGGCTGAGGGGGGGGGGGGGGGGAGGAGAGGAAGAGGGGGGGTGTGGGGGGGTGGGGAGGGGGGGGGGGGCGAGGGGGGAGGGGGTGGGGGGAAGAGAGAGAGGGGGGTGCAAGCATGGAACGGGTGAAGGACAAGGCGGAAACTATGCTCGCGAGCTGTGCCACGTGGTGTTTCAGCTGAATGATTGGATTCTCACCGGATTCTCACTGGATCCCCACTATATCCCTGCCACCGCATCCCATCGCCTACCACCGCGTTCCATCGCGTACCGCTTGTCCTTTGGAATGAAAATGTCAGAAATCGTGCCGTAGCGCTCGAATAGCGGCATCAGGTCCTGCGCCGTGGTTCCTGGAGGAGATTAAAGACGTATGCGATCATTCGGAGAAGAAAGGTAGTAGCGGGGGGAAGGAGGGAAGGGGAGGGTGAGTGAAACGGAAGGGACGGCGGGAAAATGGAAGGATGAATATGCATGGGAACAGTGAGATGGGAAAGGACAAGACGGCAGTGGGGACGGAAGCGAGTATCGAAAGGGAATGGGAACGGACGAGATCACTCCGAGGGAAAAAAAGAAAATGAAAAAGAAACAAAAAATCATACATTTTGACCACACGGTTATTCTAGAGTTGCCTTCTACAGTACGCTTGCAAAAGCAAGCCGATCCGTCAGACTTGAGCAATTTACACAAGATGGCTTCTATTCAAGGTAGCTGCAGCTGATCCAGAACCCGAGGCAGTCGAAATGGCAATCATACACACCAAAAGAAGAGCAACGGGAATAAGCGACGAGTCGGGCTCACGGAAAGTGATGTTGAGGACGAGCAGCGAGTACGTGTTGCGAATATCGGGAGGCGGTCGTCGCATCATGGTGGCACGCGGCGATCGATTCTCGCGAGCGACTGGTAACCAGGCGACTAAGAGAGATCGAGAGATAAAACTCAATCGAGGACCAGATCGGCGGCTTGACCAGGCTTCGCCTTTTCGACGCGTAAGCAGGAAGAGAGATGAAGGTGGATGAGAAAAGCTGGGGAAACGGCCAGGAGGAGAGGTGGGGACGAATCGAGTCGAGTTGAGTATGTGGGTTGTGCTAGAAGGAGGTGATTCTCTTAGATCGATGATCCAACGGTTGTGGCACTGTACTACTCGGGTTGAAGGTCAACAGATTCTTTGTCCGATAAATTGTTCGGTTTAGCGCAACTCATTACCAGATAGCGTGCATACGGTTCCTAGAATTTCGCATGACATCACCTCACCAAAATATGGATTCAATGAAATATTGTTATTAATACTATGAACACGTCGCACAATGACCAAATCCCACAATCCGAGCAAGAAACAAACAGAAATATGAAGCACCATACAAATCTCTAAACCTGAAGTATCATGAACCCTCTCCCCACGAAACCCCATCCACACAAGACACCATAACACAGTATGGCTGCTACATTACACTCAAGGCATGTAGTGCAGGCTCACAGCCGAAGCTGACCCAACTGAGTCGAATAGATATCAAATCGAAGCAACCAGCAAAATGCTGCTGGTTCCCCGCGTACTCAGCTCTCCACTCCCACATGTCACCCATTATTCCCCCCATCCCCCCATCACACATCGTCCGTCCTGCATCCACCATCCCTCACAGCTTCTGCTGCTAGCCACCACCGCACACTCCACTCCACTCCTCGACTGACCAACCCCAGGTAACCGCATTCCACCGCTCACCACCCATACGAAGGCCGTTGCGCCCATGGGGGGGGCAGGCCCAGGTCCTTGCACATCTCCTCGTCAATATGCATGGTGTTGGGGAGAGCACCCGAGGCCAGGCGAGCAGGCTCTATCCCGGAAGCCATGAAGTGCGAGAAGGACAGGAATCGGTCCGTCAGGTCGGTAAGGTCCGGGGCAGATACGGAAAGGGAGAGAGAGGCACTGGGGAGAAGCGTGTTGCGCGAGCGGGTTGCTGCCTGGGAGGGGACATGGGCCTGGTTGGCCTGGTTGGCCTGATTCTGGTTCTGGTTCTGGCCCTGGTATTGGCTGTTCCAGGCCTGGGTGGTGCTGCTGAGGAGAGAGTCCTGTGGCAGGGCAAGGCTGGTGGAGAGTTGCGCCTGCGGCTCGTCAAAGGCGTAAGAAACCACGCCGTTGCTGCGGCTGCTGCTGCCGATAGCACTGCTGCCACTGCTGGTGGGAGCAGAGAGGTCAAACGCCGACGTGCTGTGTACCATGCCGGCGGCAGCAGGCGAAGCAGGAGGAGACGAGGCAGGAGAAGCATCAGCAGCAGTGAGGTCGCCACAGCTGCGGCTGCGAGTGGACAGGCGAGCAGACCCATCAGCAGCAGCGGCAGCAGCAGCAGCAGCAGCCGCAGAGGGGGTGGGAGGAGTCGAGCAGTCACCAGCCGCAGCAGTCGCACCAGCAGGGGCAGTGGTCAGCGACAGGGTGGAGGGCGAGCGGGAGAGAGCAGCAGTGGAGGGAACAGCGGAGGGGAGGAGGTGGGAGAGCTCGTGCTCGATGCCTGAGGAACGGAGGAATCGCTCTGTGGCAGCCTCCCAGGAGAGCATGTGGCGCTGCTGGTCTGAGAGGGGCTGTGGCTGCGATGCCATGGCCTGCTGCACCTTCTCCACAAACTCCTGAAGAGGGAGAGAGAGCGAGAGAGGGAGGGAGGGAGGGAGAGATAGAGAGAGGGGGAAAGCGGAGATGGCAAGGGCAGCGTTAGTTATACGTGAAGGAGAAACAAGCAATGACAAGGAGGGGTAAGAGTGACGAGAGGGAACGGGAGAGGGGAGAGGGTACAAACATGAAAAACAGAAAGCTAAAGCTTGGTCTACACACCCTCTCCGTCTCCCGTCCCCTCTCTGTGCAGACCCCACCAAACACCAACTCGGATGCCAGTCTTTCTACTCCACCACCTGCCCTCCCCTCCCCTCTCTTGCACCCTCTCCTTCCCCCCATACATCCCCCCCTCCCATCGTCCACCCATCCACACACCTGCTGGTTGCGGTAGATGAGGCAGTTGGGGAAGGCGCGGAAGAAGTCATTCGAGGGGTGATCCGCGCACACCACGATCTTGCCCATCGCCAGCGCCTCCGCCGTGGTCGTACACACCACGTCACTCAGACTCGGGTTGATGAACACCTTGAACTTGTGCAGGCTCGCGTCAGCATGGTCCCTCCCCGCGTGGAACTTCATGCTGAGACCCTTTGCTTTCGCCTCCGCGCGAACGGCCTCGGAGTCCTCCCCGCTGCCAAACACGTCTACCTTGAGCCCCCCCAGCGCGCCCCTGTTCTCCGCGAGTAGATCGACCAGTTCGCGGTACCCCTTCCCCCAGACCATCTTCCCGAGGTAGTACGCGCCCTGCGAGAACGGCTTCCCGCCGTCCTGCATCTCCGCGGCTACCCGCTGCCCGATGTTGAGAAACTTCACGCCGACCCCGTGCACGTTGCACACGGACGCGCGCGGAAAGTCCTGCGTGGCCGCGGAGAGGCGGACCACGTTGTTGCAGTAGCAGCGGACCATCCAGTTATTCACATGCTCGAGCAGGAAAGCCTGCATGGGGCCGTTCTTCTCGCGGCGAACATACTCCAGGTAGTTGGTGTGGATGATGCCTACCACGTGCTTGAACTTGTCCGTCCAGCGGCGCCCGTGGTAGTACCAGGTAAGGTGCTCGGGTTCCTCTAGGACTGCCACGTCAGCGTCGCCGTCCGGGATGAAGGAGGAGATGTCGCCGACGGCCAGGATGCTGCGCTTCTCCGTGGAGAACTGGCGCGCGGGACATCAGCGGCGAGTGGGGGAGGATGGGGGCAGGAGGGAGAGAGAAGGGGGGGGGGGGGGGGGGAAGGGCGGGGGATGAAGAAGGATTGGGAAGAATGAGTTGAAAGAACGAGAGAGAGCGAAAGAGAGCGAAAGAGATTGGAGGCGACAATGAATACGAAATGGAGGAACGAAGCATGCAGCAGCGGGACGAGGAAAACGAAGGGAGGGGAGAGGGGGTGGGGGAGGGGGTGTTGGGGGAGGAGGGGGGGGGGGGAAAGAGGAGAGAAGAGAGACAGGAGCCACAGCGCGTTGCTTTGAAAACGAAGCAAACCAGCTAAACCAGCAAACCAGCAACACTACAGCCAACACCTTCCAAGCTCCAGCGTCTTGCTCGTACTCACCCGTCCGGGATAGAAGGCGATCTTCATGTCGGGCTGGAAACCCACGCGCTCCAGCAGCCACTTGCGCATGTACGCCTCCTGCTCCGCGGGGGACTCGAACGTCAAGTTGCGCGGATACACCAGCCCCTGCTCCGCGCGCGCCAGCCACGGCACCAGCAGCGTCACCTCCACGCCCTTGCCCAGCGCCGCGAGGTACGCCGCGCGCAGGAGCGGGTTCACGGCGGTTCCCGTCATCCACGGGAGGCTTGCCGTCGTCACGATCGCAAACTTGCGCTGCTTCGGCTGCGCCGGCTGCGGCTGCTCCTGCTGAATCTCCCCCTGCGCTTCCCCCTTCTTCAAAACGCCCGCTTTAACCGCGGACTTTCCGCCTGCGCCAACCTTCCCCTGCGCCTGCGCGGAACCCTGCGCCGCGCCGTGCTGGCTGGACGCGTGCGCGAGCGCGAGCGCGCTCCACCAGCCCGCGTCGCTCTCGTCGAGGCGGTACCCCGTGCTGCGCATGATCTCCTCCACGCGCGCATCCACGTCCGCCGCCGCGTCGGGGGCTGCGCCGGCGTTGCCCGCGCGGAGCGTGCGGATGGTGCTGCGAACCTTGGTCGCCACGGCTGGCGGAACGGAGGAAAAACCGGGAGGAGGGAGGGGAAAGGGGCGCGGGAAGGAGGGAGAGAGTAGGAAAAGGAGGGGAAGAGGGGAGGAGGGGACCACCTTAGCATTCAACAAGGATACGTAGCACGACACGGCACAGCACGGTGTGAAACGAATCAGTACGGCACGACAAGATACGGTGCGACACGGCACGGTACGGTAAGGCGCTCACCCTTGTCCATGCCGAGGTGGTCGAGAAGCACTTCGGAGTTGCGCGCGAAGGACTCGAGCAGCTCAGGCACGTCCAGGGGCAGCACGTCGGGGTGCTGTGGAGGAGCAGAAGAGAAAACACAGGAGAGAACAGGAGGAGGTGAAGGCCGTCAGATGAAATACATGGTGAATAAGAACCACAGTGAAACTCGGGAGTGCGGCGTAACGGCCGAAAGGGGGAGTGAGAAGGGCACACAGAGCGGAAGAGCGGCAACGGAGACAGAGAGCGTAAGATAACGTGGAACCAAACGCGCGGCAAACTAGCGCGAGGAAAACCAACGGAGAGCACACTGACGGCGAAGCACTCTAGCGGCGCACGCACCAGCTCTGACGAGAAGTCCTTGGACGCCGAAAGCTTCAGGTTCTTCTTCACGGCCTCCAGAAACTCCGCCGGAGACCGCGGGCCGGCAGCCGGCGGCGAAGCAGCGGCAGCGGCGGCAGCAGCCGCAGCAGCCTCCTTCATAGCGCGCTGAAGCGGAACCGTCCAGTTCTCTCCCAACGGCCACTTGTGAGCCTTGACGGCCTTGTTCCACTCGTCCAGGTTGATAAACTGACGGCCGTCAAACGGCTTCAGACTGACCGGCGCGCGGCCGGCGTTACCGGCATCTTGGAATTTCTTCAGCTTGGAAAGAGCTGGCGGAACGTGCTGCTCCCAGTTCTTGAAAAACAAGTCGAGCTCGCTATCGATCGACAACGCGCGCTCACCCAGCGGCTTCGTGATCTCCAGGCTCCGGTCTTTAATCTTCCGGATGAGCGTTCCGGCCGTGACGTCCTTGTCCTTGTCTTTGAGCGGGAAAACGGCGGGTAGTTTGATGTTCTCCCAGTCGTCCAGTTGTTCGGCGATCTTCTTCAGGCCCTGCGTGCGCGTGCTGATGAGCTTCAGGTCGCTCTCCGCGCTCTTACGCACGTCGAGTAACGACTTGGACAGAAACGCCATGGCACGGTCCGCCGGGACTCCAGGGACTGCCGGGAATCCTCCGGACGCGTATTCTGGCCCCGACTGCGTGCAATCGAGCGGACGAGGAACCATCTTGACTAACACTGATACGACCCAACAGAGTCCTAGAGAAGTCTTATACGACGACTAGAGGAGATAAAAGCAGCGAGATTTCGCTACTTACGAATTCCCGCTGGACTGGACCGAGCAAACGGAGGGTAGCGAGGGTAGCGAGAATAACGAGGATCGGCTATGCGCGAGTCAGGAGACTGAGAGTGGCGGAGCCTGGCACAAGCTAAGCTGATGTCGTGTTTTCACGAAGACGCCAAAGCAGAAACGCAATGGATGTACACACAGCACCCGAAATATACAACGGCGGTTTCTGCTTATACGAGGCTAAACAATCAGCAAGCTTGAACCAGGAAGCTCGAGGCTACCAGAAGCCAGATTGAGGTATCACAGAGCAGCACCAACTTATATGGATGGACGGAGTACGTTCATGCCCCTCCGAGCTTATTGCGAGAAAACTGTTGGCTGAGGTGAGGCGAGGAAATGGTATGGCGATGACTGCACAACGGGGATCTGCTGCGGGAATTCCGCAGCCAACAAGCGGAGAGGGGAAACGGGGGAGTTTGGGCGGGAGACAACGGGAAGATAAGGGGAAGCGCGGATGAAATCAGACCACTGAGGGAGGTGAGAATCTGCGCGAATGGTACATGAATCACGCGGGAAACCCCGAATGAGGGGGGCGCGCGCTACTGGGCGGGAAGGGGGAAGGTTCTCCGCGTGAGCAACAAGCTACGAAGGGGAAGCCATCAAGGTTGCGCACGGCAACGCGGGGTTTCTTCCGCCCGTGATGCACGTTGCGTGTTCCATCACACACTTACTGCGGCCAGGCTCCGCCAAAGCGTTCTGACTGGACTCTGACGTGTCCCGTCCCGTTCCGTCCTGTCTCAAGGGAGAAGAATCACTAAAAAGATGCCGACACATAATTGTACTGTAGTAAACAATTGAGACATACAAACTCGTTCAAGAGGCTCATTTCACAAATTACTCAGGATTTTCCACTTTCAGTTTCTGACCGCTCCTGGGTGATCATAAGTGTTTGATTTTTTAAACACGTTCAGAAACCGAGTCGTGCTGCTTATGAAAGGGAAATGGGTTGACGAGCTGAAAATTGCTTCCAAACATGTTTCAAGGGTAAGTGAGATTGGATCGAAAGCAAATTGAGTTTGTACCCCCATTCCCACACAAACGAGGTAATTGCTCCGTTCCTCCAACCCTCGATCAAAATAAACGAATCGGCGTGAATGCGGGAGGGCGAACGGAAACTCGCTTGAGGAGACGTGAGATTTGCGCGCCGAGCAAAGGGCGAACAATGGACGGCGGAAACGGATGTGCTAGATGGACGGACGGACGGATGGGTGGGTTGGGGCCCAAAAAGCTCGATTTGGGTGGTGGGCGTTCTGTGGGCTGAGCCAACGGGGTGGTTGGGGAATTTGCTTTTGCGGAATGGTGTAGCACGCGGGTGGTCGGGAGGGAGGTTCGGGAGCCTGACATTTGGCGACGTATAATTCGCCAAGTGGTGACTTCTGGGCGGTTTGGACGTGTTAACAGGGGGGAAAAGATCAACCAGGGGCCGAACAGTGCCAGAAGGGTGATCAAAGTAGGGCCGGTAAATCTCGACCGTAGGATTTCAACCCAGAGCTGCCTAAACGACTAGGCGATTACGCCGAACCGTGAGTAAAAGAGATTTGCAAGAAGAACCAACAATTGTATTCATCTTATTTTGTTCTGGTTTAGACCTCCGTCTACTACAACGCGCGCGTCGCCTTCTTCTGGTAGATCGTGAGTACGTATAACATATTATATTCTGGAATATATCTTGCACTGCCTGCGAAAGCAGGCAGTGCAATGAGTCAGCGCGGGCAAGAAAAAAAAATAAACCCCAGTCGGCGGCATGCCATCCGAGGGAGCCTCAACCCTAAAATTTTAGGGTTGAGGCTCCCGAATGGCATGCCGTAAGCCATGGGGTTTATTTTGTTTTGCCCGCGGGCAGCGTGCTGACTCAGTCAGTAACGCTACCGGGCGCTACATATTATATTCTGGGGGATACATATCACCTACCCGATAGTAAACGCACAAGAAAAAAAATATATTACCCACTCGGAAACGGATGCGACTCGAGAGGCATCAACCCTAAATACCAGGAAGTTTTTCGTTTTTAGGGTTGATCCATCCCAAAAATGCATCCACGTTCTCTATGAGTTTTAGGGTGCGTTCCTGGCTGGTGTCAAGCTTCAGGCCTTTCCGGGAAGACCCGAAGCTTTGGGTTAAACTTCCTGTCAAACTTTGTGTTTTCCGGAAACAGGGGCAATTTTTGGCCGGAAGACCCGAAGTTGGTCTCGGATGACCCAAAGTGGGTCTAACTTCCGGTCATCCGCGGATGACCGGAAGCTTGACACGCGCCAGGAACGCACCCTTAGTTATTTTGGCTGCCCTAATTGTTCCCAGTGGAGTCGGCCCGCTAAACGACACGAGGGCAAAAATGCGAGCCGGTACACGCCACTATTGACATAAATTTGCGCAATAAACAAAGACTCTCTGTTAAAAACTCCTCTAGCAGCGGTCTGGTAAGTTCCGAGCCTTTCGGCCCCTGGTTGATCACCCCTCTGCCACTGTTCGGCCCCTCGTTGATCTTCTCCCTTAACAGGGGGGGTCTCTAGAACCTCCAACAGTAAAACAGGGTGCTTGAACCACATGATTCGTTCCCGAACAATCTAGTTTGACCCCAAGGTGGATGAAGGTGCTGCTGTGCTGACGCAGATGTCAGGGAAGATACAGCGCATTGTCCAATCAGGTGTCGTCCGCAATGTCGTCTGGGGACCACTCACGATACGGCCACTGTGTCAGCCAGGCAAATTCACCATGCAACTGGGGCGGGATGCCACACGCCAGGCTGCAATTCGTCAATACACGTCGACACAACCAAGGGCGTCCCTTCCCACAAACCTCAAAGGGCACGCTTCCGACAATACGGCAGCCAGTGGGGGCTCTCCAGTCCAGTCCTCTAGCATTGCCGCAATTTTTGTTGGGTATGTGCACACTATATTCCCCCTGAAAGATGCTAGAGGTTGTACAGTTATAACTTTATCATGAGGGTGTTACGGGGTACTTTCCTATTCAAGGGTAGCTTACCCTAAACAGTCCTCCAACCTTATCCCAACCCTATCTTCATCCAATCCCTTTGGGATTTCCTTGGATTTCCTAGATTTTCCAACCGCCACGTGGCACTCTACCTTTCTAGCATTCCAATTCCTTGTCCCACAAACTACTTTCCAACATTCTCTCTTGTTCGCTATATAAACCTTGCTTGTACTTGTCATTATCAACCAATTCACATTCAACTCTTCGCCAATTACTTAGTAACTTCTTCGCCTATTTCGCCAATAGTCTTTTCACCAAAGTCTCTTGCCGCGTTTTCATCCTCGACTTAGTCGACCCCGCTATTCTTTAGCGGACTTAGGCCGTCGGGCCTAACACTTGGTATCAGAGCCTTCGCGGGGAGCGACTTCCAACGAGCGGCCGTCGACGACGAGACTACGACGTCATCGTTCTGCGGTGCCGACTTGCAGACTTGGAGTCGTCGAGCGAACATGGACGAATCCATGAACGCTTTCCCCCACGACATGGGCAACACCGTCACGCTTGCCGAGCTCATGCGCCAACTCGAACAACTGACGTTGGAAAATCGTCAGGTACGAGCCGAAATGCAACAGCTTCGCAATTTGGCTTCTAACCCCCATGGTCATGCCGCACCATCTCCTGCACCCACCACGTCGACTGGCGCGGAAGCGCTGCCGGAACGTCGCAGCGCACTCAAGCCGCAGAAGCCCGAGTCGTTCAACCCGAGCAAACGCGACCCGAGCCAACGCGACCCGAGCGTGCGGACGTGGCTCTTCATGCTCAACAACTACTTCGCCGCGAGCGGGGTGCAAGAGGCGGACGCGCAGCAGCGGATCGAGTACGCCGTAACGCTGCTGAGGGGCCCGGCCTTGGAGTGGTGGCGCCAACTTACGCAGACTGCTGTTAGAAGGGCTCAGACGGACGGGCATCAACAGGGCGTGGGGCATGCAGCTGCAACTTCGAGCCTAGAGAGTTTGGCTTTAGGTGTTACCACGGTTCCGACGACATGGGAAGGATTTGAAGCGGCGCTGAAAAGTAGGTTCGACTTGGTGAACGCCTCCGAAGCTGCTAGGAAGCGTCTGCGTCATTTCCGCCAGATAGGGAACGTCGGTTAACACACGACGGTTCTTGAGCATCTGCAACGAGATAGACGACATCACGGAAGCAGAGATGCGCGATCGCTACCTCGAAGTGTTGAAGCCAGACATAGCGGAGTTTATAGCAATTCACGGGTTGTCCACCTTCGAGTCGGTAGTCGCAGCAGCAGAACGCGTCGACGCAGTACGAAGCCGACGGGGTCGTGACGATCGCGATAGGGGATACAACAGACCGATCAACGACGCTCGATCGAGGGACGGACCATCGCCCATGGAGATTGGTGCAGTTAACAGTGACGGCTCACAGCGTAGCGGTTTTAGGGGGAACTGTCACTACTGCAAAAAGCCGGGACACATGAAGCGGGACTGCCCACAGTTCAAGGAGCGGCAGCAGGGAAACGGAAACCGCCAGTAGATAGCGGGTCGCTAGCTGGTGTGGAGGTTCCCGTACCCTCCACCTCTACCAACGTAGAGGAGACGGCCTTGCAGCAGTCATCTATAGAGAACTCGGTAGACACTGTTGATCGTCCAGTCGTGCTTCTAAGAAAGCTTCGCGCAGTTCCTGTTAAGATTCTTATCGATCGCGGAGCTAGCCACTCTTTCGTGTCTTCATCGCTAGTTAGTCGTCTTCATCTTGAAGCAGATTCTGCAGTTAATTTCAAAGACGCTCGCATGGTGGATGGGACGCCGCTCCACATAGGACCGATCATTCGCAAGTTGCGCGTAGTGCTAGGACCGATCACAGTTAGACACGATTTCGACTCTGCGACGCTGGACGGATACGATTTCATCTTCGGGAGAGATTGGCTACGCACGGTTAGTACTCAGTTCGATTGGGCTCAGGGAAGCTGCAGCGTCAAGGTAGACGGGGAGTTCCGGGAGCTGCCACAGTGGAGCGATGGGGCCACATCCTCCACAGCTATCATTAATGCTGTTCGTGTGCGACAGTTAGTGAAGCGTGCGGCACGGATCTTCGCGGTTTTCCTTGAGGAGGTGGAAGCCGAGGAGGGGAAAGGAGAGAGTGCGCAGCAGTTAGTGAGAAGGCGACTCTTCCTGCTGAGGTGAGTGCACTGTTAGCAGAGTTCGCAGACGTCTTCCCCGACGAGTTGCCCCCAGGGTTACCTCCCAGCCGAGCAGTAGACCATCGAATAGAGTTGGAGCCGGGGAGCAGGCCAGTAGCGAAGCCGCAGTGGAGGTTGAGTCCAGCAGAGACAGAGGAGATGACGCAGCAGGTTAGGCACTTTCTTGCGCAAGGTTTCATACAGCCATCTAGATCGCCATGGGCCGCACCGATCCTGTTCGCGCCTAAGAAAGACGGAGGGTTACGGATGTGCATAGATTACCGCGCACTGAACGCCGCCACCGTCAAGAATAGATTCCCGGTGCCGAGAGTAGAGGATCTTCTCGATGCAGTGCAGGGCGCTAGAGTCTTCTCCAAGATCGACCTTCGTTCGGGTTACCACCAGATTCGCGTAGTTCCAGAGGACCAGCACAAGACGGCGTTTCGTACGAAGCAGGGGTTGTACGAGTTTAAAGTTCTACCGTTCGGTTTGACCAACGCCCCAGCGACGTTTCAGACGCTCATGAACACCGTCCTCTCAGAGTTCCTAGGTTCGTTTCTTGTCGTTTACCTAGACGATATTCATATCTTCTCCAAGTCGAAAGAGGAGCACGTGCAGCACTTGCAGAAGGTCTTCGAGGTCTTGCGGAGGGAGAAGCTGTACGCGAAGCAGTCGAAGTGCGAGTTCTTCCTCCTCGAGGCCGAGTTTCTAGGTCACGTCGTTTCCGCTAGTGGCATTAGGACCGACCCGAAGAAGATCGCAGCAGTACAGGATTGGATAGCACCGACCTCAGTCAAGGAGTTAAAGAGCTTCATCGGATTCGCTAATTATTACCGCCGTTTCGTTCAGGGTTACGCTTCCATCGCTAGTCCACTCACCGACCTACTTCGGAAGGGCGTAGAGTACGTTTGGGGTCCAGCGCAGCAGCAGGCGTTCGAGCAGATGAAGCAGTCGTTCACGTCTTCACCGACACTGTTATACCCTGATCCCACTCGCCCGTACGTTGTAGTGACCGACGCTTCAGATCAGGCCATAGGTGCAGTGCTTCTTCAGGACCAGGGCCGCGGGTTGCAGCCGATCGCGTACGAGTCGCGTAAGCTTAGGGGAGAGCGGAGCTGAACTATCCGATTCACGACAAGGAGGCGCTCGCGATCATCCATGCGTATAAGGTGTGGAGGTGCTACCTAGAGGGGGCAGATAGTGTTATACGCACGGACCATTGCTCGCTTCGTTTCCTCAAGTCGCAACCGCAGCTGAGTCGTCGCCAGGCTAGATGGATGGAGTTCATAGAGGGGAATTTTCACTACAGGATACCAGGCGTTTGCAACCCAGCAGATCCGCTCACTCGCCCTAGTTGCCAGCTCGCTAGTCTCACAGTCACTGCCGGCCATCCACTTCTCACAGCACTCTTCGAGCACGGTTACACAGTAGATCCCGACTTCACACCGCAGCCGCCCGCAGGAGCAGAGGTGCAGGGTAGTGTCTACATACGGAAGGGTACAGCACGGATTTGGGTTCCAGCCTACCGCCCTCTTCGACAGCTCCTTCTTTCAGAGGCGCACGATGTAATTAGTGCAGGTCATTTTGAAGCAGATAAGACCGTTAAGACGCTTAGTCGCACGTACTACTGGCCAGGGCTTACAGCAGACGTAGAGGATTACATCCGCCCGTGTGACACGTGTCAGCGTACGAAGTCCTCTCGCCAGCGCAAAGCAGGACTCTTGCAGCCGATTCCACCGCCCGACCGCCCTTGGCAGGTAGTCACCATGGATTTCATCATGGCTTTACCGCGCACATTTAGTGGTCACGACGCCATCTTCGTGGTAGTGGATAAGTTTTCTCGAGCAGCGCACTTCATCCCCACGCACGGCCAGGTCACAGCAGAGGAAGCCGCGACGCTGTTCGTAGATAACGTAGTCCGACTTCATGGGGTTCCAGATTCCATCATCTCAGACCGCGACCCTAGATTCACCTCGAAGTTCTGGAAGCAGCTTTTCGCACTGTTTGGGACTCGCTTAGCCATGTCGTCTGCGTACCATCCAGAGACAGACGGACAGACCGAGCGTGTGAACCAGACCTTGGAGCAGATTCTTCGTAGCATCACGATGCACGACGCAGCAGCATGGGACAAGAAGCTGAGCATGGCAGAGTTCGCATACAACAACACGCACCACTCCGCCACAGGCATGTCACCGTTCTTCGCACTGTACGGTCAGCACCCCAATGTCCCCACTCGTGTCGATCTCACACCCACTGTCCCTCGTGCGGACAATTTCCACCAGCACCTCACTTTCATCCATGACCACGTGAGGAAGCACCTTGAGCTCGCAAATGCACGCATGGCACGCACCACCAACCGCAGTCGTCGTAAGGTGTCGTTCACAGTCGGTGATCGTGTTCTTTTGGATAGCCGCAACCTCCGACTGCCACAGGACAGCAAGCTTCGCCCACGCTTCATTGGTCCATTCGTCATTGAGCGCGCACTTGGTCCAGTCGCATACCGCCTTCGTCTTCCCGCTCATTTCCGCATGCACCCATCATTCCACGTGTCTCTCCTTCGGCCTTACACCGATCCCAACGCCACCTTCTCGGGCCGTGATCGCACTCCACTGCCGGTAGCTGTTGACACCGACGAGCCCGACTACCAGATCCAGCGCATCCTCAGGCACCGTCGCCGTCTCCAGGGGGGTGTCTCTTTCATCGACTTCTTGGTTCGTTGGCGTGGTTACGATGCAGCCGACGACAGCTGGGTTCCTTCGTCCTCGCTGTCTCCTGACAACGCTTGCCTCAAAGCGTACCTTCAGTCTGCAGGCGCCGCGGACGTCGCCTCCTTGGGAGGGGGGTAGTATTTGTTACGGGGTACTTTCCTGTTCAAGGGTAGTTTACCCTAAACAGACCCCCAACCTTATCCCAACCCTATCTTCATCCAATCCCTTTGGGATTTCCTTGGATTTCATAGATTTCCCAACCACCACGTGGCACTCTATCTTTCTAGCATTCCAATTCCTTGTCCCACAAACTACTTTCCAACATTCTCTCATCTTCGCTATATAAACCTTGCTTGTACTTGCCATTATCAACCAATTCTCATTCAACTCTTCGCCAATTACGTAGTAACTTCTTCGCCCTTTTCGCCAATAGTCTTTTCGCCAAAGTCTTCCGCCATGTTTTCGTCATCGACTTAGTCGACCCCACTATTATTTAGCGGACTTAGGCCGTCGGGCCTAACAAGGGGGTGCGATTGGTTCTTCTTATATCCAGGGCTCTGGTTAGGTTTCGAACTTCTCTTTCACGTAAGGCCAACACCCCACTTTCACTTTTTCTGTAAGGGTAGATCACAAGAACTACTCTTTCTGGTAAGGGTGCAAACATAAGACAGTTTTCGAGTACCAACAAACTCTTTCAATGGACAGTTGCTAGTGAGTTGTGGCGAGGAACTCTCTGCAGAAAACCCGAGATCGAGACCCAATGTGAGCACAATTTTGAGGGATTTTGCTATACTCCGTAAGATCTAACTCAATATCATCAGTGTTACTACACCACCTAGCTCTGAAATATCAGTGTAGTATAACCGAACATTTTTTTTTGTAAGGGCAAAAAGAACGACCACTCTGATAAAAAAGGGTGCATAGTTAAACCCAGCCTTATAGTAAGGGTCATAAGGGTGAATCACCCTGTTAACCAGAGGCCTGCTTATACCCCTTCTAACAATGGAAATTATAATAAAATATTACATTTAGAAAGCTTGCTTTCTTGTGTTTGCAATGGCAACGTGCTTCGTTTCAAATGGGCATTACAACATCCTCGTCCGGCTAAGTATACATACCTACATTACAACATGCAGTTTTTGCTAGGGTGGGTGGGTGGGAAATAATGCAGTTGAAATTTCAAATGAAGACGTGGGTGGAGGCCATTTAGAAGAGCGAAGAGCGTAGAGCGAAGAGCGTCTAGCACTTCGCGGTTGCCATTGCTGCATTACAAGCAGCTTCGCTTTCAAAATATGGGAGATGAGAAGATGTCAGCTTCATAACCATATATTAGGGTGAACACGAGAATACTGTGGTTGCTCAGGGTAAACAAGATAATATTGTGGTAGCATAGAATTATATAGGTCAGATTTTACATTACACACTAGATGGTTGGTATAGATAGTGGCAAGTTAACAATGAGAACCATTGAATTGAGTTATTAGAAGTGGAGGATTCAGAACAAAACGATCACTTCGTTAACCCCACGTGGGATACGTTATATCGCAGTTGTCGTCAGGATGACGCTGTGTGATCTCCAACTTTTCGAGATTTGAATATTTGAACCGACCGAAGAGTTCTGAAGAGTTTCCGACTGAGCACGGCTGAGTGGTAACCTCGAAGGTCGACCCCAGCGAAGCCCTGGTTACCGTCAAATTCTCTCGACCATGTTTAGCGCAAATAATTTCGTTGGTTACTAGGCCATTCGAGCAGATTTCGCAATCGCCGTACAAATCGAGAACGCGATGGAGAATGCCACTTTTTTCCTTACGTTTCTCCAGATGTGTTCACAATCGGGAACTAACTAGCAGCAGTCTGTCTCTCATCTCGCCTCCTGCTTTTCATATATTCCCGTAGATCGTTCCTGGTCTTCATATCGTGAACCAGTCCACGAGTTAACGTAAATTCGTCTGGAAAATCTAGCTAAATATTATCCATTCTGAAAAAAACTATCTGATCTATTACTCTGTCAGCCATGTACGGAGGAGGTGACTTTGGCGGGGGTGATTTTGGCGGTGGCGGAGCCAGCCAATTTGGAGGCGGCGGCTTCATGCCTACAACCCCGGGGCCGCCTGGGGGGGCAGGAGGAGCAGCTGGAGTTTACTCTCCCAACGCAGGTGGACGGGTGCGTATCATAAAGGGTGGATAGATTGTTCAAAACCTGGTGTCCTGTTTTCCGTGTTTCATTCGTCGCTGCTTGTCCCGTGTTATTGTTTTTACTTACCAGTCGTTTATTCCCTGGCTTGTCCTTTCTCGATCCCTTTCTCTCCTTTATTCTTACAGTTGCCGCTACTTTGTCCGTGCTTTTCAATGTCGCCTTTCGTCCCTTGTCCGTTTTACCACGTACCTTGCATCGTCATCTACCTTTTGCCGCGCCGTCTTCCACGCCGGCCACGTCACGCCACGTCACGCCACGTTCATGCAACGCGATGACATGCCGAGCAGAGACCCAACAACGTCAACACGCTCTTCCCTGTGACCGTGCGGGAGATCGCCAACGCCGGAGTGCGCGACACGACGGAAAACTCGCTCTTCATCAACGGCCACGATGCGACTAACGTGCGTACCTACCAACGGTTCAAACGGCGTGCTCACTTGTGTTACCTATTGACCAAGAACCACCGTCGTTCTTTCCCTGTGAAGGAGGTGGCCGTGCCGGTGTCATTCGGTGCCTTCTCAATATACCACTGGCTGTGCCAATATGTGTACCTTAATGTGTTTTTTACCTGTTCCACGTGTCCCGCGTTTGCCTCCACGCGCGTTTATTTTTTGGGCCACGTCAAATCAATCTGCGGTGCTGCCTCTCTGTTCCACGTGTCCCCATGTGACCTGCACGCGTATGGCAGATGGTGCTTGTAGGCAAGGTGACGAGGCGTGACGACCACGAGACAGACGTGTCGATAGTGCTGGACGATAGCACGGGCAAGATTGAAGTGCGCCGATGGTGAGAAGGGGGACCAGGGCAAGGGGGGATCGGTTAGGGGGGAGAGGGGGAGGGGAGGGGGGAAATCGTTGATGCACCTCATTCGTGTTCGAGGGCCTGGAAGATTGACCACGAGGCGGACGTGTCGTCAGTGCTGGACGATAGCACGGGCAAGATTGAAGTGCGCCGATGGTGAGAAGGGGCGAGGGGAGGGCAAGGGGGAAGGAAGAGTGGGATGGAAAATTTGGGAGGGGGAGGTAATGGAGGGGGGGAGTTGGTGGGGGGGAAGAGGGGGGGAGTGCATGTGTGCACGCTGTTGCTGCTACAACCTGCCGCTCTCTTACTGCTCCTTACAATATATATGCAGCGATGTTTTTGCTGTTTGCCTCTGCACTCTGCCGTTTTTAATGTAGGTTGACTATTTTAAGAGGTTGCTCGCCTGCTTCTTGATTCTTTCTTCACACACCTTCCCAACTTCATTTTTCTTTCCTTGCATGGAACTTTACCTGCCCTTGTGCTACAGGATTGATCGTGACACTAACGAGTTGGCTACCTTGGAGACCGTGCGGTAAGGTTTTCTGCACACTCAGGATCACCTACCATTAAGTTACTTTAACCCAATGTTATTTGCAGGTCATTTGACAACAATCCTGTAATTTCCTGTATTCCATGTGTTCGCTGTATCTTCTGTTTTTGAGCGTCCTGGCTGGGTTGATTATAGGGTCCTAGTGAGTCTCGTGCTACTGTGGCAGTCGTGTGCATGGACAGTGCCTGGTTCCTTAGTTGTATCCAAGTGCCAACTCAAGGCGGCTTTTAGTTTTCCATATTCGTTTTTTGCTTGCTCTTCTCCCCATGGCTGTGCGTCCTTATCCTCTCTTGCCGACCAATCACAGCTCTGGAGTGTACGTGCGAGTGCATGGCCACGTGAGGCTGCAGAACAACAAGCGATACGTCATTGCACATGCTGTCAGGTGCGCCCTTGCCTCTCATGTCTTTTGAGTTTACTCTCCTCCTCATTTTCCCCCGGTCTCCTCTCTTCCAGCTCGTGTCTGTCTGCATTTTTTTTCAGAGTAATCAAGAATCTCCTTACCTCCCTTTCGTGTCTGTGTGTGCAGGCCTGTCACGGATTTCAACGAGGTCACATTCCATTTCTTGGATGCCATTTTCGTGTATCTGCACACACGCAAGACGGTACGGAAAACAGGGAAGGTGTATCTACGTTACCTTCCCACCAGTCGACTGTTACGCTTTTCCTGCTAAGTGGAGGCTTCTTGCATGGGGAGGCGTTTTACAAGCTGTACTGCTTCGTTCATGGCAAGAATAATGGGATAGAGGCGGCACAGGAATGTGTTCGAAGCCAAACTAACTCTTATTCTCGCTCACACTCACTCGCTCGCTCACTCACTCACTCACTGCCCCTCACTCCTCCCTTCTCTCTCTCTCCATTGGTCTTACCCTCCACAGGGGGGAGGAGCAGATGGCACAGAGGCATCACCTCACCAGCCCCCACAGCGGCCGCAACAACCTGCTTACAACCAGGTAGGGATTCACTGACTAATGTTGCCACCGTCACTGCTTTTTTCTAGGCGCCCCAAGAAATTACGGCACAAAACATCACCCGTCCAACAGCGGCCACAACAGCCTGCTTACAACCAGGTAGGGATTCACTAACTTCTGCTGTCACTGTCACTGCTTTTCTCTAAGCGCCTTAAAAAAAAATGGAACACTGGCATCACAGAGATGCCACCAGTCCCCACAGCGGCCACAACAACCTGCTTACAACCAGGTAGGGATTTATTAGCTTCTGCTGCCACTCTCACTGCTTGTAGCCCCTGCTGTTTATGCTGCATATTGCCCTAGTTGCCATGGGTGCAGCAACTGCTGACAGGCACATTGTGCAGTGCCAATATATTTGTCTTGTCCGCTTCCTCCGTGCTTGTCCTGTCTCCCCCACGTGCGTTGCCTTTCGAACCACTTGGCAGTATGTGCCACCACCAGCACCGGCAGCAGCAGGAGCAGGAGGGGGGATGGGCGGCGGCGGCGGCGCGTTTGGTGGTGGTGGTGGAGGGGCAGGGGGCGGGCGGGGAGTGGAGCTGCGCGACAGGATCCTGCAGTTTTACGAGAGCCCACAGAATGCGTGAGTGCGAGTGCGGCATGTGATGTGGGAAGGTTTGTTCGTGAATTGACACGAAATATATTTGGGAGGGCGGGGAGTGGAGCTGTGTGAGAGAACCATGCAGTTTTACAAAAGTCCACAGAATGCGTTATTTGTAATGTGATTTGTTGTGATGTTGTATGCGTTGTTTTCTGTGTGCTGTTTTGGGTCCTTAAAGTAGCCTTTTTTCTCTGTATCCATCCACGTTTCTTTTCACTCTCTGCAGGGCCATTCAACAAGGCATTCACCACCAACAAGTTGCTCAGAGCATGCCAGATGTATCTCCACAGGAGATCCGGTCAGTAATAATTTTTTTTGTTTGATTGATATTCTCTGAAGAATTTTGTTTCCTTCTTTGTTGTGGTGCGTGGCTTTGCTTTGACTGTAGGATTGATGTTTCTAGTATTGTTTTGCCTGCCCCGCTTGGTGCTACTTTCGTTACAGGAGCACTGTGGAGTTTCTGGTTATGGAAGGGCTACTCTATTCTACAATTGACGAAGACCATTTTAGATCCACAAATGCATGAGAATAGGACTGATGGGACTCACTTACCTCACATGCTGCGTTGCATGGTTTTCACTGTCAGATTCTCTGTTGCATGATTTTTGCACCAATTTGTAAGTGACTTTTATAATGTTTTGTACGGTTTGTATGTTTAAATCTGAATTTGCTTATCTGCTACACCGACGCAATATGGGTCTGAGCACGAAGTTCCAAAGCATGTGATCTGAAGGCAACGCGGCATGTCTGAAATGCATCGCGACTGAACCCAGGCGAATCTTGTTTCTCACGTTTTTGGGCCTTCAACTCTCCATCCCCCTTCCGCCTTCCGTCTTCCGCTTTCCGCCGTCCGCCGTCCGCCGTCCGCCGTCCGCCGTCCGCTGTCCGCCATCCGTCTGTACGCTCGCGCCGTCTCCGCCAGTCGCCATGAACGCGTGCGTCCTGCGAACGCTGGGCGCCTCGAGCGCGGGCTTTCTGACGGGATCTAAGAGGTATAGATAGTTACTGATCACGGCCGAGATATCAATTAAGATTCTCTACGTTCGCGGTTTAAAAGTCTTGCTACATTGTAGCAGATTACAATACCGATATAGCGGGATTGAAATTCTCAATCTAGCGTAATCCCCGCCGGGTATGTCACCGATCCCTGCCTGCCACGTGCATTCCCTCCATTCCCTCTCGCTCTGCCGTTCCCTCCCTCTCCTCTGTTGCCCAGGCTCATGGTAGCTTCGGCCACGTCATCCCGATCCGTGCTGACGATGCGCCCAGCTGGCCAGCGCGCGTTCCACGTCAGCGCGATGATGGGGGAGGAGGCGCGGCGCTTCCAGTCAGGCGGTCAGGGTCAGTGCTGGGGGGGGGGGGGGAGGAAAGGAAGGGGAGTGGGAGGAAGGGGAGGGGGAGGGGGAGGGCGAGGGGGAGGGGGAGGGTCAGACTGTCTCAGGGTCAGAGCAAGAGGGGGAGGAGCGGTTGAAGAGGGGAGGGGGGAAGAGGCGGAGGGAAGTGGGGGGTCTGAGGTGGGACGTATATATGCACATGGTATCATTGTTTTTCCCCTTCTTGCGCTCATCACTCTGCTGCCTCCTCCCTCCTCTGCCTCCGCGCCCCCCTTCCCACCCCCACACTCCACCAGAGCCCTCAGCGCGTGTATTCGTGGACCATACCGTGTACAAGGGCAAGGGCGCTCAACATGTCACTGCTCCCCCCTCTTGCACTCAGCCCTCTGCTGCCTCCTCCCTCTGCCTCCCCCTCACCTTTGCCAGAGCCCTCCTCGCGTGTGTTTGTGGATCACACCGTGTACAAGGGCAAGGGAGCTTGATAGCAGGCACGCATACCTTCCCCTTCTTGCACCCCTTTCCCCCCCCCACCACTCCCACCACTCCCACCTCCAGAGCCCTCCGCGCGTGTGTTTGTGGATCACACCGTGTACAAGGGCAAGGGCGCTCTCAGCTTCGTGCCCATCGCCCCTAAATTCCGAGTCACCCAGGTACCCCTTTCTCCCCCTCCTCCCCAATTCCCTCCCCTTCTCTCTTCCGCGTCTCTCCCCATTCCCTTCCCCGCCTTTTCCTTCTCACCCCCCAGTTCTCTCCCGCCCTTCCCCCTCATCCTGCTTCCCCCACCCTTTTCCTCCACCATTCTTCCCCATCACTCTTCTCTCCCCTTCTCCCCTTCTCGCTAGCTCATCACCATTGCTACACCTTGCTTGCAAGTTTCTTCCAGGGAGGAAGGATCGGCAGACTCACGGAGGATGTGAAAGTTTATCCATCCATTCCTTCCCGTCTTCCTGTCGCCTGCGCCGTTGAACATGGTAGTTTTAACTAGTCGTCCTGCTGCTCCCCTTCCTTCCCAACCCACCCCGTCCCTCACCTCCCTGCCCCCCGCCCTACCATTCTAGGTGAAGCGAATGGTCTTGCGCAGATGAGTGCACTGCCTCACTCCGCGCCCCTTTCAACTTCCCCTCTCCTCTCTCTTTCCGCCCCGCCCTGTCCAGACGGGTGCATACGCGTTGGCTCGCGAGGGCTCCGTGCTGCTTAACTTTGCCAACGCCATTGGCACGCGCAAGTATGACTGGGACAACAAGCAGGTGTGTACGAGGGATCGAAAAACGGTGGAAGGTACAGGAGGGGGTCTGGCACAAGAGCGTTGGGGAGCGAGCCGAGCAATGCTGGCAGGTTTAGTAGGGGGGCCTGCCGGTTACAAAAATCGGGTTCGGTTGTGGGGGTGTGGTGATCTCTCAAAAGCTTCCTCTCCTTCCAATCCCCCCCTCCCTCCCATCCCCCCTGCAGAATTTCTCCCTGTCAGTGTCTGAGATCGGGTCAGTGCTGGGGCTGAACCCAGAGGACAAGCTGGACTTCTACCATGACCCCGCCAAGGGCAGGAGGTGAGGGATGGAGAGGGGAGGGGAGGGGAGGTGAAGCGATGTGGGAGATGGGATAGGTGGCGTACAGTGGCCTGTACCAGAGAGTCAGTCAGTGCTGGGGCTGAACCCAGAGGACAAGCTGGACTTCTACCATGACCACGCCAAGGGCAGGAGGTGAGGCCAGGGGAGGGGCGGTGAGTTGGGGGATGGGCTGTGGGTGCTACAGGGGCTGATTGATGCAGTTCGGCTCGTAGAAGCCAAGTTCAGAGGTTCACTCAGTGCTGGGGCTGAACCCAGAGGACAAGCTCGACTTCTACCACGCCCCGGCCAAGGGCAGGAGGTGAGAGGGGTGGAGGCGAGGGGCGTGGAGGGGGAAAGAAGCAAGGTGGGGAATGGGCCAGCGGGCACACTGAAACCTGCACTAGGGGGTGCTGGGTCTGTAACCCAGAGGACAAGCTCGACTTCTACCACGACCCCGCCAAGGGCAGGAGGTGAGGCACGGGTGAAGGGGCGGGGAGGGGAGGGAGTGGAGGGGAGCGGAGGGGAGGGAACGGGGCGGAATGGGACGGGAGGGGAGGGTAGGGGAGGGGAGGGAACGGAAGGGGACGGGAGGGGAGGGGAGGGAACGGGAGGGGACGGGAGGGGAGGGGAGGGAATTTGAGTTGACTATATCGCCCATACTTAATCCATTTCATGCTTGTCTCTAGAGTTATCCACTGAATCTATTATGTGGGATAACTTGCTGCAGACATGGTATTCCTCCGTCTCTCTTTGCGTTTCATTCATCTCTTCCTCTCTTGCTTCTCTCCCACTCCTCTCACACACACACCCCCACGCCCCTCCCCCCCCATCCCCCACACACTCTGCTCCTACCAGTGAAGAGGGTCAGGTGCAGAAGGTGCTGCGTATCCAGCCATTCAATGATTTCACTGGCTTTTACTTTAGTCTCAGTGCGTGCCTGCATCTTTCCCACTGTTTACACCACTCACCTTTGACTGCTGAGCACTGAACAGTGCTGCTCATCATTGAATTCCTCATATACCACATGAGCTCCCTCTGTGTGTGGTGTTTGTCGCACTCTGTCTTTCCTGACGTAATTTGCTGCTCGTTCTTTTTAATGGACACACTCACAGGTGGTTTCATGTGCTGTGCTTCAGGTAATTTCCTTTTTTCCCTTCTGTTTTTATGTCAAATGCATTATTGTGTACATGTGTCCGCAATGTGTGTCTGTGTATGTATGTATTCACATGGGCACGTTGATTGCAGATGTGAAGGACGCTCGCAGGGGTGTTGATGATCGTTTTTCTGTGCCTGTCACCAAGGCGGAATTCATTGTGGTCCGAACAGCCATGAATGTGAGTGAAAGGAAACCTTTTTTCTCTTGGTGAGCACTAGTTAAACCGCTAATTTGAGTTATTTCTGGTACTGTGAAAGCCAATGCTGCATTGTAACAAAAGGGAATCCACAGTGTTCATTCTGAGATCCCTCGCTGTTTCTAAGAATGATGAATGCCCCAACGTTGTCATTGTAACTCTGCCAGGGTGACCTGCGTGTGTTTTTCCATGTCTATTGATGCTCTAGTCATCTCCTTTTCATATTCCAATAATCGTGGTTTTGTGGCCCCATCTACATGCCAGCTAGCACAGGCTTTTGTCCCTTTTTGTGGATTGTGACACTGTTGTGCCCTCCCTCCCCCTCAGCCCCCCTCCCCCCTCCCCGACCAACCCCTGTTACCATCCATATAGTTGGCCCCTATTTCTCATTGCGAAATTGCTTGAGAACTACTCACCCCCTCCCCCCCCCCCTCCCCCCCCCCCCCCCCCCCCCCCCCCCCCCCCCCCCTACCCGCCCCCCCTGCCCCACCCCCGAACCTCTGTTGCAGTTCATCTTGCCGCATCTTATGGGATGGAATGCGTATACAAGTCCTGGCTCGATTGATCCTTCCATGATGGTACCGTCAGCACCCTCCAGCGATAACAACTGGCAATGATGAAACCATCCTTTCTACTTTCATACTCTCCAGTTTTCAGCCACCACCATATTCAGGAACCAATCAGGTCAGGTCTTAATTTGACTCCTGAATGTTGATGCTTTCAGTATAAATAAGCAAAGGATTTGCGGAGGCTCCAATCTATGGAGAGTCACATGGCACAGATAACTGCATCTGCTTGATTGAGCGAGCAGTGCGTTTGGTACACACCAAGACATCAGGAAGAAATGTGGTATCGTTTAGGGTGACTTATTGCCTTACTGAATGGCCATAAAATCTCACTCACGACAGATAACAGGTATTGCAGTGGCTGAGTCTGTGAAGTGACGCTTTTGATTGTCGAACGGGCTGAAAATACTCTCCAGGTACACTACTCCATCAAGCTCCAGCTGGAGCAGTTTCACGTGGCACAGGAAGAAACATTCACGTTGCTTGTTTGGCGTTTTCCACCGCCGCGAGTGATCTCAACTTATTTTCAGCCTGTGAACGCCAACAGGTCATTAAGGGGTTTAGGAAGCACAAAGCAACTGTCCAACATACCGCATTGCAGTCTTGACGAAGGAGTGCTATAAGAGCTTCCATCTCGTGTTTTAGCTCTCCTCGATTCATTAACTTGAACAACACGTTAGAGTTAGCGCACTTTCTCATCAGCAGAAGACCGTCACGAAGGGTAAAAGAAAGCGCTCTCATTTCGTCGCTGCCAGACAAGTCATCCGTCAGCACCAAGTGTGCCTAGTTACAAGCTCCATGAAAGTTGAACGAAATACCTCTTGGAGAATGCGTTGACAGCATCAGGGCAGACCACTACTGCTGTTTCAAGAATGCTTTCGAATTTCCGTGCATAGCTACCAAATTCGTGGCAGTGAGTCCGATATATCTTGGCATCGTATTCAGAGTCTCGAATGCCCTCAAGGGTGTTCAGGACATCCTGGAAGCAGCTTAGCTTTCGAAGTTTGGTCATTTTTCCTAATGACGCAACAAGGTGCCAGTGCTCAGGGCGAGGATAACAAGGTGCTGAATTCAGTGAGTAGCTGCAGCTCGGGAAGCTGGGTCTGGCAGTTGCTCTTCGATGATGTCACGAGTTCCTGAAACAGGCTTTCCGCAAAAAAGCTGGATCTGCTGTTTCAAATCGTTTATACGGTTTACCAGCACCTTTCAAGTTCGATACGGGAATCAATCTTGCATGACTAGAAGTTCTTTTACTGTATTATATAAGAATTAGCACAGTTTGTTAAGGACACATCTCTGGCTAAGGATACCCAGTGTACATCTATCATATATTGAAAATTTATCATTAAAGATAGGTTTGGCTAATGAACCCTAAGGTCGTGTGTACTAAGGGCAAAAATTGCCGAAGTTAGAACTTTAGCCAGAGTTATACCCCACAGGTGCACGCGCCCTAAAAAGGGTCAGGCCTGCATTGTGGTTATCCTCGTTAGTAAAATTGAAATCCTCATGTTACGGTATGCTTTCGCGAAGAAGCGTGAAACTGATGCTTCAATTTGAATTTGAAATTTCTCTACCAAATGAACCGAGCACCCTCGATTTCATCGGCTTGGCTCTTCGTGTTCAAACCAGGAGAGCCAGTTCATACTTTCCATCTCCATTTCCCTTCGACCACCCTCCCTCGACTTGCCGCTCCCTCGCTTATAGGCTGGTTTGGAACCACGTGAAAAAGTGTTTGTCTGGTGTGTTTAGCCCTCACCTGGTAAAGTTTGACCATGCGTGGTCATGGCTTGTGGTGGAGCTTTTTCTCGAGTTTATCCATAATCCTTGGCTACATGTTCTAACATATTTCCTTATTCGGTCACTATCGACCTCCACCTCGTTCTCAGGTTCAGTTCATTTGGCTCCGGCTCCACGCTAGGCATTCACATTACGCCATCAAACAACTATCAATTCTCTCAAAAGTCCCGTACTTCGACCTCTCCATTCACTCGCTTAGCCTACATCTACACCTACATTCGCGTCAGACATTACTTTCCTCTGGAACTTCCGTCATGTACGGCTCTACCGCGTCAACAGCAACCCTTACAGGCCAGAAGCGAGCCCGTGACTACCTCGCTCCCGCGTGGAGCCAGTACCATTCCGGCGGAGACGCTAGTAACGCTGGTACAGGTGCTGCGGGATACCACCAGAATGGCGGGAACGATCATCAGGGGGATGAGGAAGACGAGGGAGACTACCTTGCGGCTCTGCGCGGGCGCAACAGCGGGCGATGGCGCGCCATCGAGGCGGAGTTCAACCCCAAGGGCGCGGGGAGGGGGAGGGGCCGCGGAAGAGGCGCAGGGGGTCGCGCGGCAGGTGCGCCAGGCGGAAGAGGCGCAGGAGCAGGCGCAGGTGGGGGGAACTTCAACGGGGACGGAATAAACAGCGGGTATGGCGCCGCGAGTTGGGGAGGGGGTCACGGAGGGAGCAATGCTGGTGGAGGCACGAGGTCGGGCGAATGTTTCAAATGCGGGCAGCTCGGCCATTGGTCAAGAGACTGCCCGAATAATACTGGCACTCCCCATTCTGGTAGCGGAAGTTTTGCTGGTAACCCAGCAGGTTCTTGGAAACCGGGCACGGGGGAGGCGTTTTCCAACAGGGGGAGCAGCGGCGGAGGGGGGTGGAGCGCTGGTGCGTCTGCTGCAGGGGGTGACTTTGGTGGTGGGGGAGGCGGTGGTGACGTGCCGGAGAGGTTCTGTGCATGTGGCGCTGGGCGGTGTGCTGTGCTGACTGCTCGAACGGAGAGGAACATGGGCAGGCAGTTCTACAAATGCCCTAATAAGGTGATATGGGTGATATATCCTTGGCTTGGCGCCTCTGCCGCTCCCTTTCACGATGAACACTCACTGGTGCTCATGGTCAGTGTTGAGAGTGAGTAGTCCAAAGGTTACTTAACCTTCCAATGGAGTAAGGGTGTGAAAGCTAGTGGTGAGCCAACACCACAGGTTTGGAGGAGCATACTTGGTTCCGCGCTGCTCATTGCTTGGCTTGACATGTCCTCTGTTGGTGGTTCCTGTCCTGGTTAACTCGTTGCAACGTTCACATATCCCAGCATATGGCATATTCCCACCCTTTACCTCAGCAGAAACGACCGTTTTCTGTTGTGTGCCTTGTTATTCCTCCTCCCCCACTCCTTGTAGGATGCCTCATGCGGTTTCTTTGAGTGGTGTGATGCAGCTGCAAGCACCACCGGCTCTGCACCCTCTCGCCAGCACTCCCTCCCTTCCTACCCCGCATCCCCATCACCGTCATCCTCAGCTTCAGTCGCTACAGGCAGAAGGGCAAGCTGGGGTGGTTCTGGGACCACTGGGGGGATGGGCGCGGGGGGGACAGGAGGTGGAGCAAGCTGGGGTGGCGCAGGGGGAGGAGTGGGGCAAGCGGGCGTGGGCAGAGGATCCGGGGGGTCAGCAGCAGGAGGGATGGGGCACGCTTCAATGGGGCAAGGGGGAGTGGGGTCAGGAGCAGCAGCAGGGTCAATGGATTGCGCATGTGGCGGTGGGCAGTGTCTGGTTCTGACTGCACGCACTGCAGTTAATAACGGCCGGCAGTTCTTCAAGTGCCCCAAACCTGAGGTTAGCATGGGATGGGATGTTGGAAAATGGGATGCATGCGCCTGGTGGCCATCCCTGCAAGTCAGTCTCACTCCCTCACCCAGGCGCCCCCCCCGCCCCCCACCCCCCTCCTCCCCCCTCCCCCACCCCCCTGTTTCTTTCCTCTCTATCTCTTGCCCCCACCCCTCCTCCTTTTCATCCAATGCTTGCTCTTCCTTTTCTGCTCTCCTTGGCAGCCTTGCGGATTTTTCAAATGGTGTGATGACGCGGCATCAAACCCGGCCTCCTCTCAACGTCCCTATGTCAGCCCCAACGGTGCTGCTGCCAACACCAGCAGTTACGCTAACTGTAGCAGTGGATACAGCGGCATGCCAAACCATGGATTCGGTGCACGTTCAGGGTCGTTCTCAAGCCCAGGTGCAATTTCACGTTCAGGTGCTGGCTCAGGTGCTGGTGTGGGTGCATGCTACAAGTGTGGAGTAGAGGGTCACTGGGCATCAGCATGTCCATCCCGAGGGTAATTGATGGTGAATCATCGTTTTCTGTTTTGACAGTTTTTGGGATTGAAGCTAACTTGGATATTTGTTGTTAATGGGCAAAGCCTAGGGAGGGGCTATGGGAGGAGGAATTATAGTAGCAACATATGGAGATACTAATAGAATGAGATTTGAGTAAAGGCGAAGTAGGCTGAAGCGAAAATTCAAGGATTGATACAGGAACAGCAGAGGACTCTTCACTAGCTTGAGCATTCTATGGAGCAGGCATGATACGGTGTGCTAAGGAATTTTAAAGAGTTACATCATTTTTGTCTCTAGTAGAAGGTTTACACTTGCATAAGAAAGGTCTACAGCCGCAAACGAATTTGCGCATAAAACGAGTTCCATACTCTTCTTCCCCGCATGTCCGCCCTACCCGAGGAATTTCCCCCGCGTCTGCGCCTTCCCCCTTCTTCCCCGAACAACCCTCCTCCCCACTTTCCCCCTTCCCCTTTTTGCCCCTCTTGCTCCTCTCTATGCTTGCTCTGCTTTTGTAGGGCGACGTGGTCTGTGGTCGTGATTCGTTAGTCTGCTTGAGTCAGGCGACTAGGCGGCGCTTTCTGCGGATCTGCCATCTGATCCCCTTGATCCACCCGATCCATCCGTCCTCCATCCACCACCTTTCACCTTCGCCCGCTCCTTCGCCCCCCGCCTTGCTCTGCCTCGTTCCGCCAATGGCGCACGCTCTCGCCCGTTCCGCCGCGCAGCGCCTCCGCCTGTCGGTTGCGCCTCCGCTTCCCGCAGGCATTCGCATGCAGACCAGGGGCTTTGCCGCAGGTACTGTTGCCGTCGCTTTAGTTTGCTGGGCTCGATCCGCTTCCGCCCGTGCGTCCGCGTTTGATGTTTTCTCGTGATAGCCTCACCGCGTTTGCGGGCTTGCTAGGGTCAGCCTGTCGTAAAAGAAAAAAAATCATTGAGAACACGGAACACTGCTAACATACCTCACACAAGCCAGCTTGGTACCAGCAGGGACACGAGTCGTTTCTTGGTTCCACTATGCGCATGCAGCATTAGCTTGGCTCCGGCATGGGCATGTGTCGTTCGCGTGGCATGGAACATCAACTCGTTCCTTCTGACATTTGCCGCTGATCTATTCCCTTTTTCGTCGACAAGCCTAGTTTCGTTGAGATGCAGATTACGTGGGGAAGCGCGACTTGTGTAGTATTGCATTCTGAATTATTGCGTTCGCGTCTCGTTAAGTTGTGGTTCTTAGGGTACGGGCGGATTGAGTTAGGATATGTCGGTAAAAGGTACAGGCGGAAACTTCTGCTTCCGCTACTTTGATTTTCAGACTCTGTTGTTTTCAGTTCGACATCTCCTCTTGTCTATACTTGTGGTGTGAACCACCTGCTTTCCGCCGCAGATCATCATGGTCCTAAGAGGGTGAACATTTGGGAAGACCCGCTCAACCCGGGGAGATGGAAGGAGGAGCACGTACGTTTCCCTGTCATCTTAATTGTTTGCATACAAATGCGCCCTGCTTTCCTCTTGTTTTATGTCACTGTCGTCCTTTGTCTGAACATTCTTCACTTCATTTTTTTTTCTGCCAATCTGCAGTTCGTGTTCGTTTCGCTAGGAGGTTGGGGCCTTGTTTTCTATGGCGCTTACCGGGCTTTCTCGGGCGGCAAGAAGGCTGAGCCTGCTCAGGAGGCGGCACCAGCAGCAACTGAAGCAGCAGCTGTAAGTGTTGGAAATGCATGACATGTATGTGAGAATGTTATATCTGCATGCATGTCAGTCTCTTTCTGGCACTGTAAATTATGTCTGATTCTGCCTGGTGTTGTTTCCTTGCAGCACTAAACCGCGTACATGAAGCCACATGTGACTTGAAGGATCCTATGGAGTATTTGTTACTGTAACCTGCTCTTTTGTGTTACTATTCTGCTGTAAACCGATTAAAATTGTTGCTCCTTGTAGCATGTGTAATAGTGTAGAGGATGATTTCTGTCAGATTCTGTACAAATTACGCACCTTCACATGAAGGCAGCAGGAGCGATCTTGTGCTACTCAATGCATACACTATCTACAATTTCGGACAGAAAGTGGCATTTCTTGCCAATTTCACCCTACCTAGGGCAGCATGCAGCAAGCCCGTTTTTTGCCACAACTGCCAGGTTGTACATCTACACTAAATTCTAAGCTCTAGAGTTGTGGGAATATGCCTTATCAGGATTTTTGGCTTCAGTTCATTCCCTCTGAACTGGGCAGGGAATGCTTTGCTTTAGTCCTTACCGCAGGCAGCGGCTTGGCTCCCGGAAAAACGGATGCTTCAAAGCCTCTCGGGCTGTGAGCCGTTGTGCAGGGTCAAACTTCAAGAGCGAGTAGAGAAGATCAATGAGTGTGCCGGCCGAATGCTCCACACATTGCATAATTAAATCCTGCAAAAGGTCCAGTGCAATAAGAGACTCAGAATCTTCTTCAAAAAGGGGTAAAAATGGTTAGGCACATTTGCTATTGCCCTGAGGTTGAAGATGCTGAGATGTGCACATTACTACAGAGTGGGATAACCTACTCTTAGTCGAGGGAGTTTTCGGACTGCCCGAATGCTTTCACGTGAAGCAGCACCCTCTGGCCAATTGAGTTCTCTTCCATTTCTGAAGTACTTCTCCGCTCGCCGGCTGCTCAAGAAATTGATTAAAGAAAATGTCAAGAAGGGTCAACTGGAATGTCCAGAATTGGGGGGCAAAATAAATTGCCAACATCGACTCACTCAGCCTTCTTGATGATGTGTGGGGAAATTGGCCCCAGCAGTCTTTCCATCATGGCAAGGTGCTCAAGATTCTCATGCGTTTGGAACAATGCCTCCCCCTGAGTACACAAAGATAGGAGAATGAGAGCCATGTAGTGAGAGACACACAGAATGCATGCATTGAATGTCACAGTGACCACAGGGGATATCTTACTGTGACAAGCTCGACAATGATGCAACCTGCACTCCAGATGTCGCATGGATATGACCACCCAGTACCTGCAGGTCATTGAAACAATGTGAGTAAACAGTTTCAGGAGTAAAGAAGACATGTGTGGTACAAATCCAAACCTATTTTCTCACCAAGAATCACTTCTGGGGCTCTATAATGCCGAGTTGAAACTATGGAACAATGGTAGTGTGAATCGAAGGTTGCACTTCCGAAATCAATGACCCTGATCTCACTGGAGACAGGTACTCTTCTCATGTGATGCCGACTTTGGGAGCTTGGCTGGGTTGCGCTCTGCAAAGATGGACGAACATACGAAGTCAGCATGAAGGCACACAGTTCCTATGCAACGACGGATTGTACAAAAATCCAGAGAATTACCCTGTAGTCGGGAACCTTCTCATACTCTGACGAAACAAGTAAAATGTTTTCAGGCTTCAAATCCGTGTGAATCAGCGTTAGCTCATGCATAACTGAGGAAAGGGGGTAAACGGGGGGACGGACACAGGAGACCTGGTGAAGTTGGTAGGCAAAAACAATTACAGAAAACAATGGAGAACAGGACATCCACATAAACACGAAGGATGGCGTACAAGAGCGTAACGAAATACTGGACAAAGAAGCGACGCGAAATGGAAAAGAACTACAATGGCAAGGAGCCGATTCATGCCAAAAAAAATTGATAAAGAAAGGCCACAATGTGGTACCGCACCCACGGACCCCTGAAATTAACAATCGTTAATCAGACTCACACGCAACTGACTCCAGCAATTGCCTAGAAAACTCCCTCGCCACGTCCACAGAAAATGGCCGATAGCTGTTCTTTCTCAAAAAGTCGTACAGACTTGGGCCGAGCTTCTCGAACACCTGATCAATAGAAGCATCGTAATCACAATTAAAGACGGATATTGATCATCCTGCGACAATAAACTGACACAAAAAAGCAAATGGACCGATGAATACATACTATGCAGACATGGTCTCTGTAATCGAACCAGCCCTTCAGCTCCACGCACCCCCTGCAAACACGATCCGAGATGTGAGCCATGAACCATCAACCAACAAGCTACGCAAAGTCGACGTTTTGCAACAAATACATACCTCTGACCAAACTTGTCATGCTTTGCAAGAGTTGTCAACACATCAATCTCGATCATTGCTGCATCGCGATATTTCTGTACATTCCGTATCACCTTGATTGCGACATACTGCTGCATTTGGCGATCCCAGCATTCCAAAACTCTTCCGAAAGTCCCTGTCGAAGGAAGACGCAGGTAACAATGGTTCAGGGACGCGCTAAACGATGAAAGCAGTTAAAACAAATACGCGCAAATATACCTTCTCCGAGTTTGCTCAGGATTTTATCTGTTGTACGCAGCAGCACAGGTGGACAAACGATGTTAGCCAGGCCACAGGGATATGAGAGCAGAGAAAACAGAATGTCGAAAACGTACATCTGGGAGTCAGGTTTTCCCCAAGCTCGAAGACGTAATGACCGTCCTTGTCGTCTGGTCTCCAGGGAGGTGAGACCGCATGACTGCTCGGTGCGATGAAATTTCCTGAAGCTGTCGGTGGTGGAAGCGGAAGCGCGGCAGACGCACTGGGCACTAGAGGTGCTAAATGAAGCGATGATGGTGGAAGCAATCTTGAAACGAATGAAGGCATGGTCGCAGCGTAGTATACACCATCTCGAGAACTCGGTCCAGCATGTATCTGAAAAAAAAAACGCGTTAAGAGTGTAACAGATTCAGTAGTGCCATACAAGGTCATGACACAAGCAGATTTCAAAACTCACAAAAAGCTTACATCGTCATGGTATGGATCGCCTAATTTGAGGCGTTTTTCCGGTCGACCATCTGCTTCTGGTCTCTCCATGAAGCTCTTCAGACCACGCGGAGCAATTAAGAACGCCAGCAATTCCCGCTCAAGCGCTATTTTTGCAATCACGCTTTCCTCGTACGACCAGGGTAAGTCTATCGCTGGCAAAAACAACACTCCCACCGCAGCTCGCGAACAAACCTCAAGACCACGGCAAGCTGGACGGATCACAATAGCACCGCGAGCAGAGAAAGCAAGCGAGGCGTAAGTCCCAAGTGTAATGGCGCACAATCAGCACTAACCAAACCACTCAGCTTGGTTTCAAGGATGGGGGGGAGTGTAGCTATTAGTGGAGGCGGCGGTTGCAAGGTAGGTTGGGAGACAGCGAGAGGGGGAGGGAAAGGAAGGGATGGGAGGGAGGGAAGGGGGAGCGGAATGGGGATCCTCCGGAATTGCCTCTCGTGGGCCCACGAGAGGAATCTCCTGGGGGCTTGGTCGGGGTACAGTACCATGGAAGACTTGGGGCAGACAGGGGGTTCAGTCCAGAATGCGAGGACTCGGCGACATTGATATGCACGCTGTTTTGACCGCTGCATCCACGGAACACAGCATGCGAAGTGCACTGTGCAATCGGCGTCGGGGGTGCGAGAAACTGACGACAGTAACCCGGTTCTGCGGAAACGTCCATGCGAATATTTTCTGGCCAAATGAACGGCTGTGAGAAGCTCAAAGCTTGGTCGATGCGAAGACGTGGCGTCGGGGTTTGCTTTCAGGCAGTGACTCGCGTTAAGCATAAAGAGGGACGTCCACACCGCTCAACACCCTTCCTGGTTAGGCATTGCAAACCTCCAACAAGAAAAAGTGTTTCAGCTCCACCCTAGCTTACCCTAAAAAGACAACCATAAGCATAATTCATATTTATTTTTTGTATGCTACTGATTGCTCGTATCATTAGGATTTTGTAGATTATGCAAGTACGGTAGGTAGTGCATGATAAGAATCCATTGAAGACTGAATGTGCATGTACGTCATGGTTATTTTAATAGAGATGCCTTTTCTAATGCGTTAGCAGGGGCACCTAACTGATGTACTAGTTTCCAATTCCTGAATGGGCTGATATTGCAGCACTAACATTACACACATAACACACGAATGCTCTCTTTACCAAAAGCATGTCAACTTTGATCCTCTCTCACATCTAGCACCCTCACCAGCCCCTTGCCCTTCAAGTATTCTCCTTACTTTCTCGTCGACCGTCAAACCACCTCCTTACTTTCACGCTATCCCTCAGCCCTATCCCAAGCTCATGGACGACGATCTCATGATGGCTACAAACGGCGCCGCCGCCGGCGCTTCGTCTGCTCGCACCCGCACCGCGGGCGCCACCACCGGCGGAATTGGCGGCGGCGGCGGCGGAGGGTCCGCGGTTCGGCATCACGATCCAGTCGCGGACGTGTTAAAGCTCGAGCAGCAGCTGTTCCGCGTGCCGCTGGAGGAGATTAAAGCGTCCGTGCGACACGGCGCGAAGGAGTCGGAGCGGGAGGTCGCAGCGCTGGTCGCTGCTGTGCGTGAATTGGATGCGCAGGGATCGGTGAATCAGGCGGAGTTGGTATTAGCACAAGGAGGTCAACAAGGGGATGTGACTGTAGCGAAGGCTGCGGAAGTCGTTGGGGCGCTTCTAAATCGCGTACAGGAACTGAAGAGCAAGGTAAGGTCGTCTATTTTCTTCTATCTTCGAGTGATGAGGTGCGTTAAAAGGTCCTCCTTTAACCCGGAATTAAAGAGCAAGCTAAGGTCGTTGTTTTCTTCGTCCCCTCCTCCTCCTCCTCCTCCTCCTCCTCCTCCTCCTCCTCCTCCTCCTCCTCCTCCTCCTCCTCCTCCTCCTCCTCCTCCTCCTGTCTCCCTTACCTCTCTCTGTCCTCCCTCCGCCACCTCCCCTATCCCCCCAGATCAACGTCTCCTTCGCCCAGCAGCAGCAGCACATTCTCTCATTCTCCCTCCCTAACCTCCCTTGCCGTGCTTCCTCTGCTTCCCTTGCTTCCCTTGCCTCCTTCTCCCACCTCCCTCCCTTCTCTCCCCCCCCCCCCCCAGATCAACGTCTCCTTTGCCCAGCAGCAGCAGCACATGACCCACCTGCGCACTCGTCTGCAAGCCACGTCAGCACTCGTTGCAGCAGGAGCAGGAGGAGGAGGAGGAGGAGGAGCGAGGGATGGGAAAAGTGGCGCCACCACCACTGCTGCCACTACCACTGCCACTGCTGCTGCCGCAGCAGGTGCTGTTGGTGCTGCTGATGCAACCAACGCGTCTTGGCAAATGGAAGCAGCAGCAGACGGAGCGGGAGGAGCAGGAAGGAGTGGGGAAGGTGCGGGGAATGGGGAAGGGGACGGGGAAGGAGAAGGAGAAGGGGGTGTGAGGGAGCGGTTGGTGCAGGAGTGGAAGCAGCAGCGGCTGCATCGAGTGGTGGTGGATTATTTGCTGAGGGAAGGGCACCTGGAGACAGCTGGGAAAATGGCCTATGAGCTACAATTGCAGGTGAGACTTTGAATTCACCTGAATGAAGGTATATATCTTAAAAAAAAACGAAGAATTTTGTTATGGATTTCTTCTCATATAGAAAAAATGGTTTTTTTTTTTCCACTGAAATAAAACATTCTTTATACGTATCGATGTAGTTCTTAGTGAACTGAACAGAGGGCCCCTGTGTTGCACTTGAAGGTGCGCCACGCGCAAAGCTGCTGAGAGGGAAGGGGATGTGAGCGAGGAGGATGCGAGCTGAGTAGACTGACAATCACATTCCGTCTCGTTTCACTACCTGCCCCTTGGTTCCCGCTCTCTCTCCCTCACGCTCTCTCTCCCTCGCTCTCTCTCCCTCGCACTTTCTCCCCCACCCGCCCTACACACTCTCCACAACCTGCCAACACCAGGAGTGGGTGGACACCGGCATGTATGAGAGCATGCTCGCCATCTCCGCTGCTCTGCACCAGCACAACTTTAGGTTTCCAGGTGTCTGAAGTTTCGTTCCTTCTCCCTCTCTCCCTCGCTCCTCCCCCCTCCCCCTACTCCACTACCTGCCCTCCGTTGCCAACACCAGGAGTGGGTGGACAGCGGCGTGTATGAGAGCATGCTCGCCATCTCCTCCGCCCGCCGTGCCCTTATTTTCGCCTTTTCTCATCCTAACCTTCACCGCCCCCAATTCGTTAACTGCCCTGCCCCTCCATTACCAATCAATACCAGGAGTGGGTGGACAGCAGCGTGTATGAGAGCATGCTCGCCATCTACGCTGCTCTGCACCAGCACAACTGCGCACCCGCCCTGCACTGGTGCTCCCAGCATCGCTCTCGCTTAAAGCGTCTCAAGGTGCGCCTTCATTGCTTCACGCTGAGGCACATCCCGTCAAGGCAGATAGGCTGAGCCTGAGCTGAGGTATTTTTTAGGCGCCTCAAAAAACATCCCGTCAAGACAGATAGGCTGAGCCTGAGCTGAGGCACATCTCACGAGTCGTGAGGGGCCACGCCTTGCACTGGTGCTCCTTGCAGGGTGGTGCTCATTAGGGTAGTGCTGCGGGTGCTGCTGCTGCTGCTGCTGCTGCTGCTGCTGCTGCTGCTGCTGCTGCTGCTGCTGCTGCTGCTGCTGCTGCTGCTGCTGCTGCTGCTGCTGCTGCTGCTGCTGCTGCTGCTGCTGCTGCTGCTGCTGCTGCTGCTGCTGCTGCTGCTACTGCTGCTGCTGCTGCGCCTGGGGTTTGTGCGTTCGAGGCCCCTGCGCAACAATTCTGTGTTTCTTTCTTGAGCTCATAGAGATGGTGACGTGTGACAGCGGTACCTCAGAAATAAATTCTACCATTTTTCACACCTCCCACTCCCTCCCTGCATCCCACCACCTCTCCCTTCCGTCTTCTCCCCGCCCCCTCTCCTCTCCCACGCTCAGAGCAATCTAGAGTTCTGGTTGCGAGTGTAGGAGTTTATAGAGAGGGTGCGGCAGGGGCAGTTGAGCATTCAACCCTTTCACACGTTTCCACTACCTTCCACTCCCCGCCTCCCCTTCCAACCATCCCCCCCAACACTCAGAGCGACCTGGAGTTCCGCTTGCGAGTGCAGGAGTTTATAGAGAGGGTGCGGCAGGGGTAGCTGCGTCTACTCATTTCATCCCATTCATTCCCCTACTCCCCCTCCCTTCCGCGTTCACACCCCCCAATGCCTCAATGCCCCATTCCTTGCACTCAGAGCGACCTGGAGTTCCGCTTGCGAGTGCAGGAGTTTATCGAGCGGGTGCGGCAGCGGCAGCTACAGCCGCACTTCCAACCCCTTTTCACACCTTCTCCCTCCCACTTCCCTTCCAATGCTCAGAGCGACCTGGAGTTCCGCTTGCGAGTGCAGGAGTTTATCGAGCGGGTGCGGCAGCGGCAGCTAAAGGAGGCAGTGGGGTATGCGCGCGCGCACCTCGCCCCCTTTGCTGCCTCGCACCTGCCACAGCTGCAGCAGGCTCTTGCAACACTTGCTCTCCGCTCCTCCACCCAGTGCCCCAAGTACAAGGTAGGAAAGCGCGTGCGTTCTAGAATCGTTGAAGGAGTCGCCTACGAGCCTCCCCGCCTTTCCACCCTATTAGATAGGAAAAGGACCCGGTTCTCAAAGTTATTCTTGAGATTCTTGGGACCCACACCGACCCTATGGGACTTGAGAGGCAGTGATGCTACTCAACCCAATGCCCCCAACCCAAGTCCAAGTCTAATTCAGGAAAACGACTTGCCTCTGAAGTTTTTTCTTCTGTTTCGCTTTGTGAGTCACCTTTTCCTCCAATTGATTTGGGATTTACGCTTCTCTCCACCAATCAATGCCGCGGGTACAAATTAGCTGCTTGCGATTGATTTGGAAGTTACCCTTCCCTCCCACTTCCTCCCAACTCCTCGTCCCTTTGCCAGACCCTTTTCGCCCAGGCATATTTCCACTCGTTACAGCACCTGTTCCACTACCCTCGGCTTTGTCACATGACAAACCACAGCTCTTCCCACTCCTCTCCCCACTCTTCAATTCTCCTCTCCTATTCACTCCTCTCCCTCCCTTCTCTTCCATCCCCTTGCCAGGCCCTGTTTGCCCAGTCACAGTGGGGTTCGCTACAGCAACTTTTCCACCGCACTGCATGTGACCTGCACGGCCTGCCCCACCCCCCTCTGCTGCACATCTACATGCAAGCTGGGCTCTCAGTGCTCAAAACCCCGTGAGTCACTCTTTCTCTGTTGCAACTTCTCCTTGAAACCCTACAGTCCCTTTTCTCTGCTGCACCACCCACATGTGCCTCAACCCCTTCTCGCCCCCACCCTCCTCTGCTGCACATCTACATGCAAGCCGGGCCCTCAGTTCTCAAATCCCCATAAGTCACTTTTTTCTGGTTCGGAACTTTCCAAACTAACCCCGGAACCCTTTTCCTCTGCAACAACCTTCATCCCTCTGCTACCCCTCCTGTTCCCTTCTCCCTCTGCTTCCTTTTTCTCCTCCCTCCCCTCCCTCCCGTGCCTGCCTCCCCCCAGGCTGAGCTACGAGCCCGGGTGTCCCAAGGCCGATCCGCTCTCACGTGCCTCCTTCCGCCACCTCGCCCTGCCTTAGGGCTCTTCATCCCTCCACTTCCCTCATCTTTCTGCTACCCCTCTCCTCCCTCCCTCCCGTGCCTCCCCCCAGGCTGAGCTACGAGCCCGGGTGTCCCAAGGCGGACCCCCTCTCCCACGCCTCTTTCCGCCATCTCGCCCTGCCGCTGCCCCTCTCCAAGCGCAACCACTCCCAGCTCGTCTGCCGCATCTCCCACCGTGTCATGGACTACCACAACCCGCCACTGGTGCTGCCCAACGGCTATGTGTACAGCAAGCAGGTGAGGGAGGGAGGAGGGGGTTGGAGGAGAGAGAGCAAAGGAAAGGGATGGAAGGCAGTCCATCTCCCACCGAGTCGTGGACTACCACAACCCGCCGCTCGTGCTGCCCAATGGTTACGTGTACAGCAAGCAGGTGAGGAGTGAAAGAATGAGAGGAGCTACTCTGAAAAGGGTAGAAAGAAGGTGAGAGGGGGGTTCCGGTGAGGCATCTCCCACCGAGTCATGGACTACCACAACCCGCCGCTCGTGCTGCCCAATGGCTACGTGTACAGCAAGCAGGTGGGATTCATGTAGGGGTGTTTCTATCTTTCTATCTACGGGGTAGATGGAGGGTGAGGGGAATTCCACAAGGACTTCTCCCACCGAGTCATGGATTACCACAACCCGCCCTTGGTGCTGCCCAATGGCTATGTTTATTACAGCAAGCAGGTGGGTGGGATTTGTATGGGCGGGTAAGGACGGGAGGCGGGCGGAGGTAGGGATAAGGGCAGAGGGTTGCCCATCTCCCACCGTGTTTCATGCACGGCAAGCAGGTGAGGACCATCGTGGGAGATGGCCGGGGGGAGTATAGGTGACTCTGCAACGGGTGGGGCGTCATGGAACACCTCAGCGAGTGGGGCGTCACGGAAGTCGATTTCTGAGTCGACTCAAAAATCGAACAGCTCAGCGGGTGGGGCGTCATGGAACACCTCGACCCGCTGCAGGTGCTGCTCAGTGAATGTTTGTTCAGCAAGCAGGTCAGAAGGGGAAGAGTGAGGGTGGTGAGAAGAAGGGGGGAGGGAGTGAGAAGGATGGGAATGCCACAACACCCATTTCGTTTCATTCCAACCATGCCGCTTCGCCCATGCCACTTCACCCATGCCATGCCACACCATACCATACCATACCATACCATACCATACCATACCATACCGTACCATACCGTACCGTACCATACCGTACCGTACCATACCGTACCGTACCATACTGTACCATACCATACCGTACCAAACCATATCCTACCCTACCATACCATACCATACCGTGCCATGCCATACCATTCCATGCTATACCAAACCGTACCGCACCATGCCCACCACATCACCATGACCAACAGGCAATGGAGGAGATGGCACGACGAAACAACGGGCTAGTGACGTGCCCGAGGTCAGGGGAGACATACCACTACAGCCAGCTCGTGAAGGCCTTCATCTTCTGATTTGAAGCGGGTCAGATTGTGCACGAGTGGCCTAGTGACTTTCCAACCTGAGGCCAGGGGAGAGATACATGATACCACTACAGCCAGCTTGTGAAGGCCATGTATGCGGGCACTGTTACTGCTGTTGCCGCTGGTGTTACCACAGGCTCTGAAGTTGCCATTCTCACTGCCATTCTCACTGCCATTCTCACTGCCACTCTCAGTGGCGCTTTCCTAAATGTCTTTCCCAGCTGTGGTTCACTCTTTTGAGGTGTTGCATGTTCGACGACTTCAGGCATGGAGAGGGAACACTGGTGCATTATTGATGCAGTGCAGGTGCATTGTTCCACGCCCGAATCTGTATATACATACATGCAGATTTTTTTGGAAATGAAAGTGCAACTATGGTCAGACCCTTGTCAGCAATCCTAAACCTCTTCAGGTGTTGCACGCAGGGTACTTACTGAGCTGGCAGTGAAAAATGCAGTGCACATCCAGAAAGGGCTACTACGTTTGATACGGTAAGCATTGTGCAGAGAAACGCGTAGGGCACCATGGGTGATGTGATGTGATGTCCATGCAAGGACCAACCAGTTCCATTAGACATGCCTTTGATTGGAAGGAAATGCAGCAGCGGCTGCCATCCATCCTTTCTTCAGCGTGCTTGCTTCAAATCACATTGCTGTGCACCTATTTATCACATAGAATCGTATCATAAATCATTATCGCATCGCATCACGTCACAACAAAGAATCCTCGTCTCACCGAAGAGGGACCCTCTCCCCCTCTTCAATGTCCTCCTCCTCCTCGCTTTCCTCTTCCATTGAATCACCGTCACGCTCATCACCCTTCCCTCGACCACCACGGTCATAATACCTGTCGGGACGACGATCACGGTAATCCTGAAACCCCCCGTGACCGCGGCCGTTCAATGCATCATCATCCTCACCATTTTCATCACCATCATCGTCCCCATCACGATCACCATCCTCATCATCACAATTTTCATCACCACTACCGCCACCATTATCCTCAATATAATCGCGGCGCCGAGAACGCCTGTGCCGTTTTCTTCGCCGGTCTCTTCTCCTCTCCCCCCCTGCCTCCGCATCCTCGTCACTGTACCTGCCCTCATCCTCCTCCTCATGTGAGTCTAGCTCAACCAACTCCCTCTCCTCCACATCATCCTGTAATGCCCGACTCTCCTCCTGTAGTTCAGACCGGTTCAGGGAACAGCCGGAGAGAAAGGAGGAAACGGAGAGCAAGGGAAGACACGTGGGAGGGGAAGGACGGAAAGCAGAAAGTAAGTATCGATTGCACCCTCCTCTTCCGTCCCTTCCCACAAGTAAATATTCAACAAGAAGTAACTATTGCACGCATTCAGCTTACGCCTTCATGCTTTCCAAATTGCCTCTTCCCTCCCTTGCACCTCTCCACCTGCCAACCCACTCACCCCTCTCCTTAATCCTCCCTTCGCCTCCCCCCTTGCCTCTACCCTTTCTTCCCCCCCAGTTCCTCCCCCCGTGCCTACCCCCCATGCCCTACCCCCCATGCCTCCCCCCATGCCTCCCCCACGCCTCCCCCCAAGCCTTCCCCATGCCTCCCCCACGCATTGCCTTCCCCATGCCTCCCCCATGCCTTCCCACATGCCCCTCCACTGTACCTCACCCCGAAGCCTTACCTGATCAGCGATGTGCGAGAAGGAGGACATGGCCTGGTGCGCGTAGCAGATGTAGATCCACACGCCCAGGATAGACAGCATCCTCACTCAACCCTCCTCTCGCCCCTCCTGCCGTACCCTACCCTCGTGTCAGTCCCCATGCATTCCCCCCCCTGACGCCCTACCTGGTCAGCGATGTGGGAGAAGGACATGGCCTGGTGGGCATAGCAGATGTAGATCCACACGCCCAGGATCGACAGCATCACCAGCGCACCAAAGGCCCCCAGCACAGGCACGTACCACTGGGGTGGGGGAGGAGGAGTGGAGGGGATTGAAGTAGAATTGAGGGATGGGAAACAAGGGTTGAATAGAAAGCCTTACCAGCACAGCACAGGCACATACCACTGCAGCACACATGCAACCAATCATCCCCAGGAGGGGGGGGGGGATGGGAAGCAGGAAGTGTTGGGACAGGGGGGAGAGTGAGCAGAAACATGGTAAGAACAAGGAGTTGGTGTAGAACAGAGACACGAGAGGGCAATGAGATATGCACACAGAGAAGAGGTTGGAGGGAGAAGGGCAGGAGGGAGAGGGGCAGGAGGGAAGGGGACAGGAAGGGCGGCAGCGGGAGTGACAGGTGCTCACCGATTGGTCCTCCTCCTCTGCCTGGGAGCCATATGGTGATGCCTGCTGGTGGTAGGCTGGTGGGTTCATGGGAAGGAAGCACGCCGGATGTGAAACCAAGATGGGAGGAGGAAGGGGAGAGGGCAAGGTCAGTGTCGAAGTGATGAAAGAGAATGTGATGGGATGGGATGGGATGGGATGGGATGGGATGGGATGGGACGTGAGGTGACGTGACGTGACCTGATGTGATGTGATGTGATGTAGTTGTATAGATGGGAATCACACACACCCACTCTAGTTCCCCTCACAACGCACCATCAAAGAGCGAGAGAGTGCAGTTAGCATTCCCAGACCACTGTCTGGGGCACACACAGCTGGTCCCGCTGTGTCCACACGACCCGCCATTGAAGCACAGCAACCCAGAATCACCGCACTGCACCCCTCGGGACTCGCAGTGCTGCCCTCCGAACCCCACAGGGCAGCCCTCGCAGGTGTACTGCTCGCCCTGCACTATCTCCACGCATTGCGCGCCATTGCCACAGAAGAACGTGTCTGTGTCCGCACACATGACTGCTGGGACCTCACACTCCGTGCCACTGCCGGTAGGAGGGAGCAGGGGAGGGAGAGGGGGGCAGGGGAGAGTGGGAAGGGACGAGGGAGCGAGGGAGGAGAGGGTTGGGAGGCAACGGAGGGAAGAGAGAGAGGATGGGGACGACGGGAGACGGTGGAGGAGGAAGGATGGAATTTAGAGTCGAATTGAAAGTACTGCTCGCCCTGCACTATCTCCACGCACTGCGCGCCGTTGCCACAGAAGAAGGTGTCTGTGTCCGCACACATGACTGCTGGGACCTCACACTCCGTGCCACTGCCGGTGGAAGGGCGAGGGGAGAGGGGGAAGGAAGGGGAGAGAGGGAAGGGACGAGGGAGGGAGGGGAGGGAAGGGAGGAGAGGGAAGGGAGGGGAGAGAAGGGAGAAGGGGGATGGGAGGGAAGAGGGGGAGGGGAAGGGGGAGGGAGGAAAGGGGAGTGAAGGGAGGGTAGGGACGGGAGGGAAGGGAGAGAAAGGAATTAGTAGAGGGTGATGGAATGGAGAGGGGAAAGGGAACGTAGGCAGCCCCACAGGGACATGTATGCAGGGCGGTAGAGAGGGAAGAAGCGGGACCGGGCAGGGGTAGAGGGGGAACGGATAGAGCTACTCGCATGAGAAAGAGCGTGGGATTGGAAAATGGATGATGCGAGGGAAGATGCGTGGGTGGAATTCGAGTGCGCGGGAAGCAGGAGGATTGGAGGGGGGAGGGGGGGTCACATGGAGCTTACACGAAGAATTCGGGTTCCAGAGCCGAACGAGGGTTTGGACAGTCACAGAAATCGTCGCCAGTTCGGTTCCTGACACACACACCGCCATTCTTGCACTCCAAGGTGGACCCACAGGACAAGGCCGCGGCAGGCGCGCTCAGACAGGCCACCGCAATTAGGAGGAAGAGGAGGAGCAGGGAAATGTTGGGACTGAAACGGTGGCCGTCGCGTTGGTCGTGCTTGCGATGCGTGAACCCCGAGCTGGCATGGGTGTGCACTGCGTCGGGATTACTGAGACAAATTAAAGGCGATGTGAGGGTGATTAGAATCTCCAATGGAAAACTTCGCCCTCCTGAGTATGTTGGAAGGGCGTGAGGTGGGTCGCGGAAAAGAGGCATCCTAGAACCATGCAGGCAGAGTTGCTGGAGGGGTGGCGCGAAGATATGGTGGATGGCGTGGATTCACCGGAACGAGGAACGGCGGAAGACAAGGACAAGACTGAGGACATTCGACGACATTCTTGCTAGAAGTCGAACGGGACGCTCGGCTCCGCTGCTCAGTAGAACTACCTAACAGGACGAAATAAGCAGATGCTGGAGATTGACAAAATTTGGGCCAGTGCTTCAGGTGTCAAAAGCACAGCAAGAGCTAGCTGATCGAAGGAGCCGAAAGATGGGGTCTGCTCAATGACAACATTCCAGTAAGAATCTGTAACAGGCATGTAACAGATCTCACTGCCTTCTTGAATTTTATCACACAATCATTTGCAATATTTAATCATTTGCACGTGCAAGTTGCCAGCAGTGACGCAATCATAACTGGTATGATAATGTTTTTCATTAACACCAAACTGTATCATTCTCTCTGATTTGCATCAAGTAGCAGCTGCTCGAATTCATATGGTATCATGGTAGTATCCGTTAGTACTCGCTCCTGCGGTAGAACTGTGGTGGACGCCTTGACCTGAACAGGCAGAAAGGAAACAAGGCACATTATTATATTGTGGCATTCTAAAACCTGTCGCACGAGATGAATTTCCCGTACCATTCTGCATTGTTCAACCTTTGAGTCTGTTCCTTCCATTGAGCACACTCCACCTGCAGACCAACCAGATCGATCAATGGAAAGTCGAAAAGGGCTTAACGTGAGAGCACTTGAGCCGAGCAAAAGTAACAATACCCCACCTGGACATCAAACAGTTCGCATGAGAGACGGCCATTTGCAGTTTCCAGCTCAAGAAGCTTCTTCGACATTTCGGCGTTCTTATGCTTCAAGGATGCTGCTTCACGTTGCACTTGCTCGTAACCCTGCACTTTGGAAGAGAGACCCACAATCTGTTGCTTGAGAAGTGCAACCTCACGCTGTGAACCTTCAAGGCGCAGCAACTGGGCTGACATGCTTGCATTCTGCTTCCTCAAGGCTTCAGCATCATGGTAGACCGTTTCTGCCTGGCGCAGCTGGTTAGAAAGGTTAGTGACCTGTTGCTGCAAAGCAAAAACCTCTTGGTGCACCCGTTCGCTCTTGTGCAGGGCCTTCAAGAGCCTCGCATTCTCTTGTTTCAATGTTGCAACCTCATGATATGCGTTCTCAGCCTTCAGCAAACGATCAGACTGGCTGTTGTTTTGTTGCGTCAACTCCATAACTTTGTGCTGAAGTTCAGACAATTCAGTGACCAAAGCTCCTACTTCTGGGGCCTCTGGCAGCATGGTTCCCTCTTGCTTCCCCATCACATCAGCTGAGTTGGGGAAAAAAAAGTTGGACCTTACTGAAGAACACAATTCTGGTAATTCAAACTTGGCCAACTTACCTTGAATCTGCCTGGTTATGGGGTTCAGGAAATGATCATGCTCGCGTGAGCCCATGTCCTGATCATGTAACTGCCCAAACATGTCAGATATCAAAGTCACACGAGTGTGAGGTCTGAAATAAAGATCAGATGCCACAGGCTTACATACCTTTGCTTCATTGCAAGTCACTGATGTTCCACATATGTTTGCAGAACTGTCCTCTTGGAGCAACCCTGTCACAAGCACTAGACTTAGCTCACATAACAAAAGGTGACTACAATGCACGTGATGATGACATTGCGCATACCAGCATGTTCCACAAGGTTGCACTCTTGGAGAGAGGGTTGTCGAGGAAATTGAAACTCATAGCATTCAGTTGGAACAGCACTAGTCTCTACACACTTAGCACCGCTTTTGTCAACTTGACTCCCAAGTTGCTCACATCCCTGAGAAGATGCTTCCAGCGGGGCCACCACAGATGCTTTGGAAGCTTCGAAATGGTTGTCTTGAGATGCTCTGACAAGCCGATCAAAGGCCTCTTGTTCACTTCCGAGGCTCAAGAAACTAGAGTCAAGTTTGCCTGAAAAACAGTACAGACCGTCAGCAATGAAACGACTGGACTGCCATTTACGAAGCATTGTAAACTATTGCTCACTTGTTTCACTCGTGGCACCATCACATCCACTGGGTTGTGATGGATCGAAGAGTTTGCGAAATTTCTGAGCACCCTTTTCCTCTTGCATCTTAGATGCAGTAGACGAAGTCACCAATGCCTGAAAGTTGACGGTAATGACAATGTTTTGAGGTGTTTGAAATGAAATGACAGACAATAAAGCTCACCTTTTCTGCAAGAGACTGGTTACCCTCATCCGGCATAGGGAAAACAGCTTCTTTTGTGCTCGAATTTGTGTGAGGAACCATGGCTGCGTCTTCATAGTCGTCCTTGTTATGAACAACCGTCTCAGGTTGTAAGTCTTCAAGGTCATCAACGAGCAACTCTTCAAAAATAGAGCTCTCATCACTTCTGTCGGAAGGTTTAGCCTCTGATAGAGGCTTCTCAGCAGATAGAAAGGCAGTGCCCTTGCCATCTTCATGATCAGAAAGTTTTGACTTCAAAGGACCACTCTCAGGGAAGTCAGTGCCATTGACGTCGTTTCTTGGAACACAATCTTTATCCTCAGTAGGCTCGTCTGCCTCATTCTGGCCACTGCAAATGGAGTTCTTTCGAACTTCGCAATCTGACGCGCTTCCAACGAGCACGACATCTTGTGGCGCCTGCTATAAGGGGAAATGGTTCAGCAGATACAGTCGGGGTGGTCAATACCTTCGAATTTGTTGCCCACCTTAAATGACACCTCCTGACTGATGTTCGTATGCCCGTCGTCGTCATTATTATGTGTAGCCAAACCACTGCCTTGATAGTACTCATTTCCAATCTCAACAGCAGAAAGCACATCATCGCCATGGTCCTGAACGTCTTCATTGTTCTGGTTTCACAGAGTAGGCGTCAGAAAAGGTAGTTGTGCTGGCAAAACTCCAAAGGCGGTTCTGACCTCAACAGAGGACGGCTCAATGTGATTGTTGCTTGCATCCTTGTCTCTGTCGAGTATCCTTTGAGAACTGCTCTGGTCACACACGCCTCTTTCCGTCTGAACAGGAAAAAGAACACCATCGCCTCCGCGTGGGACGTCTGTATTGATCTGATTACGCAGCAAAAAGCGTGAGAAAATAAAGTTGTGATTGCCATAACTCGTAACAATGCTCCTTACCTTCTCAGCAGAAGGCTCGGCTTGACTGTCCGTTACATCCTTCACTTCGGCGCATGTGACGCCAGCGCTTTGATCACACTCCCTTCCAGTCTCAACAGCGGAAAGCACATCGTCGACCCGCTGGATGTCTTTATTGCTGTCGTTTACGCAGTGAACCTTGGTTTCCTCAGCATTGCCTTCAAGCGATAATTTAGCTTGATCACTGCCGACGGAAGGAGTCGTGAGAGTTTGATCGTCTGTATTGCATCGTCTCGCTTCAGCATCGAGCCCGCGGAATATGGCCTTCAAGCCCGTTTGTTCCTCGTTTAGCAGAATCTGCATTGTGATGCGTACTCAGATCGACAGTTAGAAGGAATTTTATTTTTATGCAGATTGCCGAACCTGTGGATTAGAATCTTCATTATTTTGGTTGTGCCCTTTAGGTTGCGAGCCAATATTCGGACAGATAGTAGGCGCTTCCTGAGGAACTTCCTCGACATCTGCCTCATTCGCCACATCCTGATTTGAAACAAAATCCGTGGCTTCTGACGCTGGCATTTCAGCATCGTTTTTCACCCTCTTCTTCGCTGTACGCTTTGCAGCCTTTGGAGGTGCCTTCCTCTTGGATTTTCGAGCCATGGCGACACCTTGGAAGGAGGAACAAGTAGCGGTGGTGGCGTGCTTCGCTAAAGTCTGATGAGAGCAAGGCAGGAGAGTCGGTTCACAAATGAATGTTCAAGTTGCGAGGTCCGAAACTCTTGAAGGGAGAAAACCGCTCTAGATTGCACCAGATCGTACAAAAACGATTGTATTAGTGAACTCGCCGCTCCGGCGGCAATCTCATGTCTCCGATATTGATACAACTCTCTTTCTGCTTTGAAACGTCTAAAAAAGTGTAGTAGAAGCAGCGTAATTTACCCGAATAAATTTACCTCTCATCCAATAATTGACTACTTTTCGCTAAAATTGCACATTATATATTTTCACGTTTACAGTCATTAATATGATCCGGAAATTTCTGTACAGCGGCATAAATATTTTAATGACATAGTGGCTAAACTTCCTAGCTCTCTCACGCAGGTAGGTAAATAATATTATTGCACGTAGCATGTGAATCAAGCTTGTTCTATTAATGACTGGAATCTTATAAAGAAACTCGATGTTGCTGTTGGGTTTCCATCCAACCAATCGTGAAGCAATTTGAAAGATGTCAGATTCCTCCCTCACACTTTCCCCTCCAACTCCACTGAACTGAATGCTGTATTTCGGCATCACTCACCTCCCAGTGCTGCTTGCTTCAATGTCGATCTGATCTCTCTTCATTACGAAAAACTCGGCGAACATGAAACTCTTCTGGCTCGGCAATTTACTCGCAATTCCACATCTCTCTTGCAGATAGTCCGTGTTCTCCTGGGCGAACCCTGTCCTCGGTGTCCCTCATTTCCATCAGCACCAGCGAAGCATGGCATTCCTTCCCGCCTCTCTCCACCGATCTTCACCAGTCTCCCTCCCGGCGGTGCTTCTCCTCCTGCTGCTGCTGCATGCAGCAGCCATTGCTCTTTTCACACGCGGATTCCTCCTCACGCGCGTGGAGCTATCAGTCCGAAGCACGCCTTCAGATCGCACGGCGTGGCGATCAGGCACTGGAGAATCCCGGAAACACGCAGGCGAAGCAGAAAGCGCGGAGACCAGAAGAAAAGAAGATTCAGGAGGGGGAATTGGGAGAGGCGAATGCGGTATTAACCGAGATGACGGGGATCGGGATTCCCAGGGGAACGAGGATTTTGAGCAAGATGTGGAGGGGTTGAATGCATTGTATGACAAGGTTGTGATCGTCGTGATAGACGCTGCGAGGTTCGACTTCGTCGCCAACACGACGAGCTATAACCAAGGCAAGCAGGACAACCCCCCTGCTCCTACACCTCACCAACCTCTTCTCCTCCCACTCACCTTCTCTGATATTCTCTTCGTTATCTCCCTCCCTGGCCAACCCCTTACCCTCCCTGGCTTCCCTGTCTCAATCCCCGTCGTCCCCCTCTACTCCCTTCCTTACCTTCTCCACCCCACCCCTAACCATCTTTTCACTTGTCCCATCCCCACCCCACTCCCCTCTCGTATTGCACATCCTGATTCATGATACCCGTTCAGGGCGGCCTGGGTCGTGGATAGGCCGGTTGAAGGCGGTGGGGGAGATACTGAAAGCCATGGGGCATGGCGCTGCTCTCTTCCGATTCACTGCTGACCCTCCCACCACCTCGCTGCAGAGGATTAAGGTGGGTGTGTGGGCTGATGGGTGGATGGGTGGATGGGTGGATGGGTGGATGAGTGGACGGCAGTGGATGGATGGATGGGTGGAAGAGTTGTGCCCTCGTTACTGTAGTGTCTCTTTGTCTTGATGAGCCTCATTGATCTGGGTGACTTGCTTATGCCACCTTGCCGCGCCGTGCATGCATTGTTCTCTGGGATAAACCACGACGTGTCTTAACTGTGGGTTGGCATGCCACCCACGCGTGCATGCGTGCAGGGGCTCACAACGGGTGGACTGCCCACGTTCATTGACGTAGGCAGCAGCTTTGGAAGCTACACCGTCACAGAGGACAACTTGCTCTTCCAGGTGTGCGCTTTCTGAGGTGCTGTGTTCTGAGGTGTTCCTAGGTGTTCTGAGGTGTTTCGATGGTGTTCCAAGGTTTGCTGTTTCTAGAGCGCTTGAGTATCACCATTGGCAGTTACACCGTCATCATCCTTGCCTGGTAACACACTCCCCTGCTCTAGCCTTCAATGTCCCCGATTCCTCCCTGATGATTCGCATCCTGGTATTCTTCATACCAACCCCTTCCTTCACCCCCTTCCTCCTCCTCGGCGTCCCTGTTGCGTGTGTACATGCATGCATGTTGCATGCATGGATGGGTGCAGCTGCTGAGTGTGGGCAGACGACTGGAGATGATGGGCGATGACACGTGGCTGGACGTCTTTCCTTCCTCTTTCAACCGATCCACGCCCTTCCCCTCCCTCGTGGTCAAGGACATTCACACAGTGAGTGAGTCAAGGAGATAAAAGCCTGCCCTGTAGACACCGTGTGTACACACAATACTGCATAGGATTACCCAACAAGTTAATGCAGTAGAGAAGAGTTCTTCTATCTTTTCTTGCCCACTTAGGGAGAAACAGAGGGAGGTTGGACAAGACACTTATCGCTCCAACCGTGCCTATGAGAGCATTGATATTCTTGTCGCTCCTCTCCTCCTGTCTTGTCATGTGCGTGTGCTGCGGTGGCCTTGTGTGTGTGCACGTGCCTCGTTGCTCCACAGGTGGATGATGGTGTGCTGGCCAACATATTCCCAGCTCTCAACCGCGATGACTGGGACCTCCTCATCGGCCACTTCCTGGGCGTGGTGGGTGGGTGCTATGTGCTGCCTGCTGCATGCTGCCTGCTGCTTGCTGCCTGCTGGGTGCGGGGTGGTGGGTGGTGGGAGGAGCCAGCCAAGTGTTCATGTATGATGATTCAGGGCATGGGATGGGATGTTATTGCACTACATGGGACGATATGGAATGACATGGGATTGGATGGGGTCGGATGAGGGTGTGGGATTGGATGGGTGGGTTGAGATGGTGTGGGGCAAGATGGGATGGGGTTGAATATGATAGTCACTGCATCTAGCATGGGATGCGACATGTCATTGTCATAGTATAGGCATATGTCCTGCATATGTCCCCTTAGCAGTGGACTCGCCAATCATGGGCACCAAGCTACATCAGATAAACCACAAGATGCCCCTCCAAACTTCCTCCTTCCCCATCTCACCTCCCTATTATCCCCTCCCGTCCTCACCAACCCCCGTTGCTTTCCCCACCCCCTCGTCCCTCCCCCTCCTCTGCTCCCCCTTTCTGCTTTCCCCTCTTCCCTGTTACCCCCGTCGCTCCCCCCCCATCTCCCCCGCACAGGACCACGTGGGGCACACCTTTGCAGTGGACTCGCCTATCATGGACACCAAGCTCGACCAGATGAACCAAATGATGCTCGTGCGTCCCTCCCCTTGTTGAGAATCCTCAGCCCTCCCATCGCCTCCCTCCCCTCCTCGCCTTCCAACGCCTTCTTCCCTCTCTCTTTCCTTTCTCCCCCCCTCCGTCTCCCTTTTGCATCCTCTTGCCTGCTCCTCATCCCCTCACCCGAAGCTGCCTGCCTCCCTCCTCACCCCTTTGCCCCATAACATCCATTGTTTTGTAAGTGTTTTCTAAGACTCAATTCTCTCTTCTTGCCTTTTCCATCCTTACCCATGCGCGCAATCGACTGCCCTCTTTTCCAATCAACTGTCCTACTCTCGCCCTCCCATGCAGCATACTCTCTCTTCCCCACCATCCCAACCCCCAACTCTCCTCTCTCTTGCCTGGTCCCCTTGAGCATTCGCGTATGCTCATACCTGTATGTGGCCTGCATGCATGTGCGTGTGCATGCCTGCGTGCCTGCATGCCTGCGTGCCTGCATGCCTGTATGTGGCCTGCATGCATGTGGTACGTGTGCTGTCATGCGGCATGGCATGGCAGGACGTGGTGGCAGCAATGAAGGCACAGGCGCACAGGGGCGGCAGGCACGAGCGCTCGCTGCTGCTCTTCATGAGCGACCATGGGCAGACGCTCACAGGGGACCATGGGGGGGGCACTCCCGAGGAGGTGCGTGGGTTAGTTTGGATTGTGCTTGCACATACCGAGACCCGCACCTGTACCCGTCCCGTACCCACAAGCCCTTCATGAGCGACCATGGGCAGACACTCACAGGGGACCACGGGGGGGGGCACTCCTGAAGAGGTGCGTGTGGATTGTGCTTGTCCACATCTGTACCTTTACTGCACTCACCTGTACCCATCCCGTATCCCTGCTGCCCTTCATGAGCGACCATGGGCTGATGCTCACAGGGGGGACCATGGAAGGGGCAAATCTGAAGAGGCGCGTGTGTTGAGTTGTGCTTGCGGTGTTTGTTTTTCTGAGTGTGGGTGCACGCACTCCCGGAGGGAGGGATGCCTGTGTTTCTTTGCCCTTGCTCTGCGGTCATGCGTGCGTGCGTGTGTTGGGCAAGCATGCATGTGTGTATGTGCCCTCCCCACACACCAGTTTCCAGACATCTCAAACGTATGCCCTCCCTGCTCCATCCATGATCCATCCCCTGCCCTCCCTCCCCGCTCACCAGGCACATGCCTTCCTCCTCGCAGTCTCCATGCAACCAGCACCGCACCCGCTGCCTGCCTTTCTCTCTGCCTGCCCCTCCCCTGTACGTCCCACTCTCTTGACCACCTGCCATGTATCCCGTGATCCCACCCCAGCCCAGTCTGGTGTGCAATGTCATTTTCAATGTCGTTATTACAGTCAACGACCCTAGATACAAACAACCCTGACAACGGCAATGACTGATCGTGACGGCCAGTGTCACAGTCAACGACCCTAGTTTCAAACAACCCTGCTGTCTTGTCTCACAATTCAGCAGAATCTAGAGCACGGCCTCGCTATCTGTCCTTTTTATATTGCCTCAATTTGCCGCTCTTCCCTTACTGTAAATTGCCTCATTACCACACGGAACGTCCGAAATCCTTTCCCCTAAGTGCAACCCTGGACCCCCGCACTCGCCCTCGCCTCACCCGCCATTCTGCAGGAGCAAGCAGGGGATCTAGACGTGGGACAAAAAGCTGGCGGTGCTGATGGTCGTGGGCAGCAGGAGGAGGAGGAGTGCTATGAAGAGCTTCCTCAGGTGGGTGTTTGTAGGGAAAGCTGGGTGGGGAGAGGAAAAGAGGGGAGGGGAGGGGAGGGGAGGGGAGGGGGGGAGGGGAGGGAAGGGGAGGGGAGGTGGACCATGAAGGGCAGGAGAGGGGGGTGGAAGGGAGGCAGGTGTTGCATGATCAAGTATGGGCTCCCCTCCCCTCCCCTCCCCTCCCCTCCCCTCCCCTCCCCTCCCCTCCCCTCCCCTCCCCTCCCCTCCCCTCCCCTCCCCTCCCCTCCCCTCCCCTCCCCTCCCCTCCCCTCCCCTCCCCTCCCCTCCCCTCCCCTCCCCTCCCCTCCCCTCCCCACCCCACCACTCATGAAGCTCCGTTGCACAAGCCATGTGACCATTCCGCCTGTCGCTTTGCGGATTGACTTCCTTCCTGTGCTCGTGGCATGTGAATTGCACGTGACAAAGATTCTGTAATCGCGCATTCCCTTCCTCCTTGTGCAGATTGATTTCACTCCAACGCTCTCCGTTCTTGTGGGTGCTCCCATCCCCTTTGCCAGGTAGGGGTTCCAGATGTTCCAGATGTCTGTGTGTGCCTGTACAGATGTGTGTATGTTTTCCGAGAACTCTCAAAAAACATACGCAGCATGCTTGTAAATGCCTGCACAGTTGTCTGCGTGTCTGCGTGCATGTTTAGCATCATCTTAAAATTCATGAGCGCATCATTTTCCTGTCGACTCATCTTCCAAGTAGTTCCCGATTCAAGTTCTCTCTTACTCAATCTCTACCCCCCATTCACGCACTCATTTTACCCTCCCCCTTCCCCTCCCCCTTCCCCTTCCCCTCCTGCCTTCCCTCATCACTGCAGCGTGGGAAAAGTCAACCCGCGCATGCTCGCACTCTCCCCTGCCGCCTGGGAACCACTGCAACCCCCAGCGCACACATGCAATCACACAGAACAAGACTCAAAGAAGCTCACTGAGGAAGGCGGCACGGCCGACCCATCTGTGCACTTCCTCTCGCGCCTCTCTTTTGCTCTCATGATGAACGCCTGGCAGGTAGGCTAGGGGGTGGGGTATGGGGCCTGGTGGTTTGTAAGGAGTGAGCGGATTAATGAAGCAAGCAGCACGGCCGACCCAGCTGTGCATTTCCTCTCCTCTGCTCCAATGATGAACGCCTGGCAGGTGTGGGGATATGGAGTGGGGGAGTGGGGTGGGGGTGGGGAGTGGGGTTTTGAGGCGCGGGCATGGGGTGGGGGTATGGTGTGGGTGGGGTATTTTCTCCCTCTTCTCCCTACTCGTCCCCTACCCTCTCCTTTGTTACCCTCCCGCTCCCTCCCTCTCCTTACCGCCCCTCCCTCACATCCGCTCCTCTCTCATCTCCTCTCCTGCATTTCTTCCCATCTCCTCCCTCCTTGTTCCCTCTCTTCTCCTCTCCCTCCCCTCCCTTACCTCACCTCCCCTCCTTTACCCTCTCCTCACATTCGCATCCCTATCTTTCTGTTTGAGGCTTCTCAAAACTAGACTCTTCACTCAGCCCCTCGCTTCCCCTCTCACCCTCCCTTCCCTCACCTCCCCTCGATCCCCTCCCCTCCCCTCTTCTCTCCCCCCCTCACCCCAGGTGCATCGATATCTCTCTCGCTACTCCAACGAAGCCCCTTCTCCCTTCCCACACCAACCTTTCTCCCACCTGCAACAACTCTACGCACACGCGCAATCCACAGCCACCCCTCTTCTCCCCTCCTCTCTCCCTCACTCCTCCTCCTCTCTCATCGCCTCCATTAAAGCCCATCTCGCCTATCTCGATGCTGCTGCAGCCCTAGCTAGATCCCAGTGGACTCAGTTCGGGATCACTTCAATGCTCTCTGCTCTCGCTCTCCTCCTCCTCTCTCTGCTTCTCCACCTGCTGCTTATCCTCTGGTGCATCATTCCTCGTGTTGCTGGTTTCCGTTCTGCTGCTGCTGCTGCTCGTGTCGGCAATGGTGATGCTGCTGCGTCTACCACTGGCGCTGCTGTTGTTGGTGGTGCTGCTGAAGGTGGTACTGTTGGTGATGCTGGCGGCCGTTCTAGTCATGGGCAAGTTTGGATGGTGCTGTGGGCGCTGGTGATGGTGCTCATGCACTCTCTCAGTCTCAACTCCAACAGCTTCATAAGTACGTTACACTCACTCATACACTCTCTCACTCCCTCATACACTCTCTAAACTCACTACTTCACCAGCTCCCTCCCTCGCTCACTCACTCACGCACTCAAAACATTCTCTCACTCACTACTTGGTTTCTTGATTCCCAACCCCCCACTAGATTTGTACCCATCCCTCCTCTCTTTATTCGAACCCATTGATTGTACCTCTCCTCTCCTCTCCTCCTTTCTCCCCTCTTTCCACTCTTTCTCCCCTCTGGTTCCCCCAGTGGCGGAGGGACACGTGGCAGCTTTCCTGCTGGCCACGTCAGCACTGCTTCACCTGAGGCAATCCCTCGTGGCGGGTAGCTGGAGGGGCGTTGTGCAGGTGCTTTGCTGGGCTCTCCCACGTACTCCTGGGTTTTCTTCTGGAATGTTCTCCTGCAGTGTTGCCTGCTACTGCAGGCCTTGTTGCTACTGCAGGCCTTGTTTCTGCTGCAGGCCTTGTTTCTGCTGCAGGCCTTGTTTCTGCTGCAGGCCTTGTTTCTGCTGCAGGCCTTGTTTCTGCTGCAGGCCTTGTTTCTGCTGCAGGCCTTGTTTCTGCTGCAGGCCTTGTTTCTGCTGCAGGCCTTGTTTCTGCTGCAGGCCTTGTTTCTGCTGCAGGCCTTGTTTCTGCTGCAGGCCTTGTTTCTGCTGCAGGCCTTGTTTCTGCTGCAGGCCTTGTTTCTGCTGCAGGCCTTGTTTCTGCTGCAGGCCTTGTTTCTGCTGCAGGCCTTGTTTCTGCTGCAGGCCTTGTTTCTGCTGCAGGCCTTGTTTCTGCTGCAGGCCTTGTTTCTGCTGCAGGCCTTGTTTCTGCTGCAGGCCTTGTTTCTGCTGCAGGCCTTGTTTCTGTTGCTAGTCGATGCCTTACTCATTGCCTTGGGTCTCTCCACCTCTTGTGAGCAGCCTCAGAAGTTCAGGCGTTCGCACTTCCTTCCCTTCCCATCCCCCCCTGTCCCTTCTGCTACTGCAGGCCTCCTCTCTGCTGCTAGTCAACGCCTTGCTCATTGCCCTGGGTCTCTCCGCCTCTCACAAGCTTTCCAATCAGACTGCTGCGAGTGCAGATGCCACTGCTGCTACTGCTGCCAATACTGCTTCTGTTTCTGCTTCTGCTTCTGTTTCTGTTTCTGCTTCTGCTTCTGCTGCTTCTGCTTCTTCTACTGCCCCTTCAGCTACCCCTGCTGCTTCCGCAGGAGCGGCTGCCTTAGAAGCCTTCTCGTCCTCCCAGTTCCTCCATGCGCTTCCTTCCGTACTCCTCTCCTATGCACCACTGCTTCTGACTCCCCTTCTCCTCCACACTCTCTCAACCTCCCTCCTCTCCGCCCTTCGTCGAAACCCTCCTCTCACCCAACCATCCACTACCAAAGCCACCCAAGCTTCGAATCACCAGCCAGCAATAGAAAAGCTCGGGCAGGTGTTTTTTTCACTAGCTGCCCTAGTACCACAGCTGGGCATGTGGGTGGGCTACGCACTGCTTGCTTTCCTCTGGTATCTCCATGACTCCCCTTCATCCCTCTCCTTTCTTTCTGGTTACTCTCTGCTGCAACAGCAGCAGCAGCTGAAAGCAGTCCTGCAAGCAATGTTCCCTGTCTCCTCCTTGCAAGAGGCTATACACCTGGGTGTCCCCCGTCTTGTCTTTGCATCCTCACTACTTTTCGTCACCCTCACTCTTCTCATGCTTACTCTTGGATTCTTCTGCCGTTTTCTCTCGAAAACGCTCCTGCCACCTCCGTCCGCTGCTGCTGCTGCTGCTGCTGCTGCTGTTGCTGGTGGAAGCAAGCAGGAGGCGAGTGGGTTAGGGAAGAAGAAGATCAAGGATGGCACCGTAAGCACGGTTGAAGCGGCTCCAGAATTCAAGCACCAACTCAATGGTCAGGTTTTGCCACCACAGCAGCAGCAGCAGCAGCAGCAGCAGCAGCAGCAGCAGCAGCAGCAGCAGCAGCAGCAGCAGGTGCAGCAGCGCAGGAGCAGAAGCTTGGTCGTACACTTATTCATTTAATTGGACTGTTTGGCGTGCCCATTATACTCGTCGGTGGTCGGTCCATCCCCATAATTCTGCTGCTCGGCATCCTCCAAGGTATGTGGCTTCGCTCCTCTAAATCTGCCAACACAGCGACATGGCTTTGGTTTAAAGCCAGCCTACACGGTATCCGCTTGCTGCTTCTTTGTGAGTTGGGGCTTTGGGAGTTTCTGTTTTGCTTCAGTCTTCTTCGTCTTGTTGTTAAACGTACCCTTTTTTTCATTCTGCCCTTCCACTCACTGAGAACCTGCCCCATCCTCCTGCTCCCTTTTTTCACCAACAGGGATGCTTTTTCTCAGCCTGAGTCGCAGCCATGCTTCAGTCCCATCATTCATCCTGTGCTGTGTTGAGTGGAGCCTGCTGTCCTTCCTCCTCTTCTTTGCCTCAGGCCATGCGTGAGTGTTCGTGGGTTAAATTCTTGTATTTCCTGCTTCACACTCCTCTTCCATTCCGGCTTCAACTATTTCAGTTTCCTATATCCTGTATCTTGTTGACGTAAGCTTGTTTGTGTCTTATCCAGGTGCACATTTGACGGATTGAGGTACACAGCTGCCTTTACTGGGTACGTATCTTGACCTGTGCCATGTCTTGTTGCATTCTCCGCATTTTTCCCACCCAGAGTATTGTCAGCAGCTGGTTCAAGTGCCATTGGTGTTTCTCTTTGCAGGTTTAATGACTTCCAGTACCACCGCCAAGGAGGCTTGCTCGCGCTAGACACATTTGGCTTCTCCCACCTCATACCAGCCCTTGCCGTACCATTTTTAGCTTTACTGGCTCATCCACGGACTCAAGACTCGCTGACACAAAAATCAATCAAGGTGGGCACTTTGCCAGCAATTTTTACTGTCATTTTTGTGCTTCTCACAACAATACATGCTCTCTCTGCAACCACTGCTTCTCTGCAGGCCTTTTTGTTGTTCCTCTTCCCCCGAGTCATGGCTACTTTCACGACTACAGCATTTGTTGCTGGAATGCGACGGCACCTTATGGTAATCAAGCAGCAGCACTTCATTTGTTTAGCATCATCATTCCTGATTTACTGCTAACATCAAGCATTCTGCTCCTATGCAGGTGTGGTCTTTGTTTGCACCAAAGTATGTTTTTGATGCTATAGGGCTGGTTGTGATGGATGTTATGTTGCTTTTTGTTTCATCTCTGGTGATGGCCTTTGTATAATCCACGTAATAATGTTATCAAAACCACCACCACCAACCTCTGCAACCACTGCTGGGTCTGAGTGCATGGCTTCAGTTTCTTGAAAAGCCCTCCTTGGTGACTGTATGCATTGAAGAAAAAAGAGGATGCCGGTGCCCGCTCGTAAAACAGTTTCCAGCTCAATCTGCTCGAATCAACATGTACATTCCTGACAATCAAGGGTAAGATCCAATCTTGCGAGAGTACTAAAGAATCGTTGAACAATAAAACATAGTGCTCAGATTACCGATATTCCCTACTCCTCCATAGGGTTGGACTCCTGGGCTTTCATTTGCTCAACCTCAGCAACTGCTTCTGACATCATGGACCTGCTCGACTCCATTGACGGGGCATGCTCTGCAAGCTTCATTGCCAGCTTCATCCACTTCTCTGCCTCTTCAAACCGCCGGAAACGGGCAAGTATAGGTGCCCGGTTCCATGCAGTTGAGATCAGCCAGTGCAGCTCATCCTTAGGGTATGCTTCAGCTGGCAGACCAACCAGGAGCTGGTATGCTTCTGTGTACAGATCATACACTTGCACGCCGTCCCTGGTCTGAACATCTGCCAAAGATATCAGCTTCCGATACATAGCCGCTACCACCCTGTAGTCAGGCGACTTGCTGGTCATCATCAGGTGAAGCCCGGCACTGAATGCTGCACTTGCCACTGTGCTGTCTGCATAATCGCGTGCCGAATGCAGGCCCATCTGGAAAAAGTGCTCAGCCTTGAAACCAGGCATGGCCCTGCATCTTTCAATTATCTCCTGTTGCCCTCTGCAATCCTTCTGCCTTCCTTTCACATCGAACATGAGTAGTTGGAAAAAAGTGCCAGATGTGTCTTGCCCTTCGGCCTTGCATTTACTCATTATCTGCATGGAAACTTGTGAGTCACAGGGCCGAGGAAAGGATGTAGGAAGGTTACGGGAATAAAGAAAGTACATGAGTACATGAAGTGTACAGCTAATTACTTACCTTCTGACATTTTTCAAGTGTTGTTGCCGCCTTGTTCATGCTGGCTTCACTAGCATCACCATCAGCCAGTAACGCTGCCCCACCCAGAAGCAAAGACAGCTTTGTTGATTGCAGTGTCTCTTGTGTCTCTGGCAGCAACGGAAAAAGTTCAGCTGCACAAGCCAGGAAAGACGCGCATGCTCCCCACATTTTATGCTTCCCAGCTTCAATGCCATGATTCCATGCTGATGCAGCGAACCAGCTTGCCTCCTTGAGTCCAGCAGGAGGTTCACCAAAGAATCCTTCATTTCCGATGGCTGCAGCCCTGGTGATTGCGACTTGGAAAAACTCCAGAGCTTCAACCATATTCCCAACTTTCTCAGTTACAAGAGTGATGATGTTCCTGATCACAACTGCTTCGACCATTCCAACTTTGGTTCCAGCAGATATAAGCTTCTGCAGCTGACGAAGTGCTTGAACAGCAACCCTGCTTTGCCCACTCGCCACAGCCTCATGTGATGCCAATGCGAGGTAATCAGGTTCAAAGTCCTTGCAGGATAGCATCTTTTCGACATCTTGGGCTGCCTTGGACTCGTTCTTTTGTTGAAGCGATATTTTGTACTGCGAAAAAAAGTTGGTTGTAGAGCAAATTCGGTGACAAAAAAGAAGCCTATTGTACATCATACCTTCAAGAAGACGGAAGCAATGCAGGGATCAATCTGCAACAAGAGAGGGTCCATGTTAGTTTATGGTTTTGTGTGGCTTTTAAGGGCTTTGCATCAACATCACTTTCTCACCTCTTCAGCCAGCTGAATGCACTCAGAAGCTCTATCATACTGAAGCAACCCCATGTGGCAGAGACAAATAACACGAAGTGCTTTAGCTCGTTGCTCTTGCCTTCCGTCGTCAAGATAAAGCAGACTCGTTTCGAACAGCTTCACGCTCATGGTGTAATTCTTCCGCGAGAATTGTTCAGAACCGCTGCAGCAGCCAGAGTAGGAAAGTCAGAAGGCTGACACAACTCGGTTTGACAAGGAAAACGGATGCGAACAATACCAGTTCCAGAAAAGCGCGTGGACACTATGTTGATCGCCGCTGTCATCGTGAACCAAGACTCCCAAGCTTTTGCTTTTTGATATCAGGGATGCCACGACCCTGTCGTCCTGCCCTATCTCAATGGCTGCTTCCACACACGCCGGGCGCGACGCTCCTTGTTGGACAAGAGTGGTAAGAACTTGACGTGAGAATTTTCCACAGTTCGGAAATTTGTTCAGTGTGCTGAAGAATGCCGTTTTTGCAGCTGAAACTGAACTCGAGCTTCCCGAAGCTATAATGACTTCAATTGCTGCACCCACGATATCGACTTTGGCTGTGTCTCCCTCAGTGAGCTTAGATAGCTCTTCTTCAGCAGCATCATGCTTCCCAAGTGCAGAAAGAGCCTTCAATTCCAAGAAAGGGACGCTCGGATGAATGGGGAATCCCGACTTAAGAATCGACGTGCACTTGAGTGCGTCTTCGTAACGGCCACACTGGACGTGAGCTCCAGCCAAATATCTCAAGGTGCGATCGCGAAGATCCGCCATTGCCTTCTTGCAGGCAATCTTTCCTTCGAACTGCAAACTGACAATGCCGTCAGAACATATTTCAAAAGCCTTCTCGAAGTACGGCGTTGCGTCCACTGCACTCTCAGAACCAGACGATGTGTTCAAGACAGCCTTCCCAAACTGGAGGTACATATCAGCAAGCTCGACGGATTTCTCTGGCAGCTGTGGAAGTAGTAGCACAGCGCGACCCAGAATGTTACTGGCCAGCGCAGTCTGTTTGACTTCCCATGAAGCTTTGGCCCTGGCGACATGAACGTCAAAACTTAAGACTGTTAACTCTTTCTGAATAGCAGGATCGTCGTCCTTGATGACGTCCTTGGCCTTGGTGCAGAGTTCAGTAGCCTTCGCCAAGCAGGCCTCCGCGGTCTCAAACCGACTAAGCTGGATCCACAAGCAGCCCGTTTTCTGAAAGAACATAGCAATTTTTAAGAGGCTGGAATGTACGGCAGTACTCTCTCCAGCGGCCAGCAGGACGTCAGCGGCAATGTTCCGGAGTCTGGCATTATTCTCCTTTTCAGACGTGGTTAGCTCCTTTCTGTTAGATATGTCGACACACGCGTTCCATATTCGGTAGCTAAGCTTCCAGAGCTCTGTTGTCTTTCCAGCATCACAACTAGACGAGATTGCTTTAGCTGCTGAAGCAAGTGCATCAACTTTGTTCTGTCCGAATGAGCTTGGTCCTTGTTCCAGCTCCTCAACCAGACGCTCGAACTCATTCGATTTATTTGGAGGAGCTTCAACGGGCTCCATCATGTCAGGTGTTAGCTCATGTATCATCATGGTCGAAGTCAGTAACCAACAGCTAGAGATAAGAGGAACAGGTCGAGCAAGCAGAAGCAAATGCGACCAGGTAGTATAATCAGATTCAGAAACTGTTGAAACCAAAATGACTGGCGACTGGTGGTGTTTGCCCGAACCAGCCTGAACATGTGAGCGCTGCCGTCATGTTTTGGTTCGGTTCATAGTTGTTGAGCCAAGAGACCAACCAACCAGGCCGCGACCTGGGCCCATGCCCTCGAAGTTGGTGAGATTCAAAATTTCGCGGTGGAGCACCACCGCCCTCGGGTTTCCCGCCACTTATTCAGAGCAGTCTTGCAGTACCCGAAGCCAGTCACAACTGCGTACGCGCTGAAAGGGTCACTCGATAAAACAGACAACAATCTTAGCAAATTCCTGAACCACAATCTCACACTAGCAACCGCGGCTATGCGTTTTCCCGCGTCACCTGATCTGCTACCCCCTGGCCTCCATTGGTCATGTGTGCCCTCCACAACCGAATCCAGCCTTCAGCACGCAGGTTGGTCCGCTAGGTGCTGGTGCTGCTAGTGATGGTGTCAGAAGGAAGCCTAGGTTCCCATCCGCACTTGACTGATCATATTGAATGGAACATTCGGTGATCGCGATGGATTCCTTTGCACGGCTGCTTTGAGACCTTTTTGGCATGGCGGCTGTCGGTTCGAGATTAATCGTCGTCGTCGTTTAGACCTCTAAGTAACCACTATGCTGGTCTAGTTTGTCAGCTACCCTCTTTCGTGATAAGATCGTTCAGAACTTCAGCGAGCAGCACATCTGGCCCGTTAAGCCTAGGATTTTTGTTTTTGTTTTTTTGTTTTTCCAATTCTATGCCGTTAGTGCTTTCACGACAAACATCGGCCGACGCTTGCTCAGGTTAAGAAACTGGATCGTCACTCATTCATAAAGGATCATATCTTTCTCCAGCCTCCCGCTTCTGCGGCCCTCTCATACGCTTCGTCCCCGTCCAAATTGAAGCCTAGCTAGCCGTGTCGCCACGCACGCTCTTTATCTCCCAGCTCATCAGCGTACCGACGGGATTTGATTTCCACGCGAGTATTGGTTTGGCACAAGAGCTGTGGCCATGGAGGCCTGGCTCGCCTCGTGCGTGTCACGCTCGCTCTCTCTCCACTGTGTGCGGAATGCGACTTTCTTAGCGGAACGCCTCTGTGCGTCGTTCCCGAACGAGGTGAGACCGCTTATGGATCCCCGTTACAGGTCACAACAGCTGCTATTAACGGCACACGCTTACCTGAATGGATCTCCGTTACAGGTCACACAGTTGCTATGGATTGCATACACCTCTCCGATTAGTCGCAGTAGCAACGCAACAGGCATAGATGCGTGTATGCTAAAGAAATATGTGAAGGCTCATCGTGGATTCAATTGACAGGTTATACAGCTGATATAAAGGCATACATACTTCTTTTTGGTCCCAGACTCACCGCATCAGCCATAGTTAAATCAGAACTCATGAACTGTACTCCGTTGTTTAAGGCTTCAATCTTGTTCGTACGCCTTGCTGTCATTCTCCGTGGGTCCCTTGTTCCGCAGCCCAACTTCCAGTTACTGGCTTCCTGCTACTTGAGGGCTAACAAGCCTCTGCTTGCACGACACGTTCTCAAAGGTAGATCTGGGGCATATTATCTCGTTCGACATGTAATTTTGTTCAGATTGGACTGCTCTGCATGTAACTTGCCACCTTGTCAAATCCTTGCTGTGACACAGCTTGTTGAACCTTGTGCTTTCCTGAACTTGCCATCACGGTGATCACATTGCTTGGTTCTTACAACACAATAGCGTGGTTCGCCGTGCATTCTCTATCATTCTAAATCAACCCAACGCCACCTATTAAACTCGTTACTGCTGTTCAGGGCTACCGTCTGACCAGAGCCGTTACCTGCTGGCACTGGCGTGTTACGACCTGCAGCTTCTCACAGAAGCAGAAGCAGCCCTGCAGCCCAACCTTGCGTCTATGATCCTACCTCCCGCACTCCACTCCCTCATTGCCTCCTCCTCTCCTGCCTCCTCGCCTTCCGCTGCCTCAGCACAGCGATCTCATGAGGTGAGCGATCTCGGCACATGCTTTCTTGAGACTCTGGCTCACGTCTCAGGCAGCAATCAACATCCGTCCAGACAAATTTAGTGAAATATAACTCTCTGTCTCGGCTCAACCTCTTCTGTCTTTTGCCTACCGCAGCCGCAGGTGCCGAATGGAGCAGCAGGCCTGTACCTCCTTGGCCTCATCTGCAAGTGAGTATCGTTCACCCATCCAGATTCGACTTTTCGTCCTCTCTCATGCTCGTTTCGTGCTGCTGCTCCTCCTTCTCATCCTCCTCCCTTCGTCCCCTTGCTGTGTGAACGGCAGAGCTACCAACCGGCGTCAGGTGGCCATTCGGCATTTCACATCTGCCCTTGCACTGGATCCCTTCTTCTGGTCTGCATACGAGGAGCTGTGCATCCTTGGTACGTTACTCCTCCTCCCTCCTTTCCCTCCACATTCTCCCGTACGCGCACTTGTGTCTCTTTCTGCCCCACCTAATCAATCTGTGTCTCGTTACCTCCGCTTGTGTCCCATGAGGGATGCGATAAAACAATGAGGACGAAGGTCGGGAAGAATGGGATACAGGCGAGACAGTGGATTTTTGTAAAGAAAAGGAGGGGGAGGGGGGGGGGGTGGGGGGTTGTTTGATCGGTGTGGTGCGAGTGTAGTGGATGCGGGGATCAGCGGTGGATATGGAAGGAAAAGCGGTGGGGATCAGCACTTCTACTGCTCTCCCTTCCATATCCACCGCTGATCCCCGCATCCATTATACCCGCACCACACCGACCGGATCCCCCCCCCCTCTCCTTTCCTTCCCACACTTCCACTCTCCCGTTGTATCGCACTCATGCACCCCACTGGTTTGCTTCTGGCTCTACCTTAAATACCCTCTGCGTCCTGCTGTTCCTCGCTTGCTTAACATCCCCATTGCATTCCCCTTCCTTCAGGAGCGGAAGCAGAGGCGTCACAGGCTTTCAACGAAACTGCAGCCCTGCACATGGAACAGCAGCAGCAGAGGGTTCAACAGGAAGTGTCAGTCCAGCAGCAGCAACATCAACAGCCACAGCACTGTTCTCAGCCGCAGCAACAACAATCAGGACAGGGTCAGGAGCAAGGGCAAGAGGGGGTAGCGCCACCGCAGCAGCAGCCGGCACAGCAAGGGCTGAATCCAGCTTCAAACTATGTCACACCTCCTGTACGTACTCCTGCTGGGATCCTCAAACCCGGGAAACATGGTGATTTTCCACTGCTTTTGCACGGACACTTCCTAGCGCATTGTGTATTCGGGTGGGATGTCATGTGCTGTGATGTGAGCACGTGCAGGGACACGGCCAGTGCCAGTCTCAGTCGCCATCCCCAAAGCGCATATTCCCCATTCCCTCTTTCTATCACATCTTTCCTGCGGGTCATGTGTGCAGGAGGCAGTGGTGAGCGCGTGGAAGGACACGGCCTCGCCTCGCACCCCTGCAGGGCCTGTGGCGCCTGCTGTGAGCGCTGCAACGCGCATGGCGCACCGCCGCAAGATGGTGGACGAAAACAGACTGCGCAATGTGAGTTCGCAAGGGAGTGTGGGCTGTGGGGACGGACAGGGATGGTGTGTGGGGGAGCTGGACGAGGAAGATGGGGGGAAAGGGTTGCTTAGCGGGGGTTGGAGAGGAGGGTACAGTTGTGTGAGCGTTGGGTGGTGTAATGCACATTGTAGGGAGTGGAGAGAAGGAGGGGGTAGGTTGTATAGCATTTTGCGCCGCAGCACTGGGCTAGCAGAGGGGTTTCAATCTTACTCAAACTCCTCCCTTCCCGCTCTCCTTGCCTTCCAGGTGGCTGGTCGTCTGTTTGCTGAGCCCAGCACCTTGCGCCGCAGCACCCGGCTAGCAGAGGGTGGAGCAGGTGGGGGCGCTGCTGCTGCTGCTGGTGGTGCTGCTGGATCTGCTTCAGCAGCCCGGGGAAGCACGGGGGTCGGAGGAGGAGGAGGGGGCGGAGGAGGAGGGACGAGCAGGGGCTCTGTGGCTCGTCGGACGACCGATGGGTCTAGCCCAGGTGGGAATGGTTGTGCATCAAGTGAAGAGAACGCAAAACACTCTCTTGCTCTAAGAGGCTTGAGGTGACGTGACCGTTCAATAGTCTGGCTTTTCTCGTATTATTTCTGGCCACCCTTCATCTCCCCACCCCTTCCCCTCCCGCTCCTCTTGCCCTCCTCTCTCCACCCTTCCCCGTCCCCTTCCCCTCCGTCCCTTCCCTTCCTTTGCTGCCACTCACAGTTATTATCCTCTCCTTTCTCCTGCTCTTGACACGCTTCCCCTGCTCTCCTTCGTCCTCTCTCCATCTCCTCTGCTCTCTCCTCCCGTGCATCAGCCCGCAAACCACTTCTGCATACTATCCCAGCAATGCCCTCTCTGGATCTGGGAACCGATGCTGCACCTCCTTCCAGTGCTGCTGCAGCTGCTGCTGTTGGGGGAGGAGGCAGGGCATCGATAGCATCAGGTGCGGCTGCCCGTGCTAGTGCTGGTAATATGTGCCGCTGTTGTTGCTGCTGTTGCTGCTGCTGTTGTTGCTGTTGCTGCTGCTGGATTTGCTGCTGGTTCTCTTGCTGGTCTATGAGTAGCAGTCCCCACTCTCCTCGCATTCCCTATTCACAATTCCCTCCTCCCTCCCTTCCAATTTCCCATCCGCCACTCCTCACGCCACAGCTGACCTTCCGGGAGCAACGCCGCAGGATTGGGAGCCGAAGCAAGTAGCTCGGGAAGACGACAAGGAGGCTCGGCAGCGGCAGCAGCCTGGGAGAGAAAAAGCCGGAGGGGGAAGTCATACCTCCAATGGTGCGGCTTCGTCTGCTGATAGTGCTGCTGGGGGGATGGCGGGAGGGGGAGCAGGAGCAGGTGACGAGGTGGAAGGGAGAGGCGCGTTGGGAAGAGGGAGCAGCGGCGCAGAGGGAGGCGGTAGAGAGGGGGAAGGAGGGGATGAGGCGGAGAGTGGGCAAGGGGGGGCGAAGAGTGGTGGGGGAGGGGGGTATGGGGAGGCAGGAGAGGATGGGAGTGCAGGGGGAGGGACAGGAAAAGGAGGGGAGAGTGGGGCGTTGCTAGCAGTGCGGCTGCTGAAGCAAGTGGGACGGGCGTTCCTGCTGCTCTGCATGATGCGATGCCAGGTGAGGCTTGCAGTGGGGTGCGATGCTGTTCTGTGTGGTCTCATATGGTGCTGTTCGGTTCTGTCAGTGTTGTGGGGTGCTGTGGGGTGCTGTAAGGTGACGAGGTACCTAGGTTGAGAATTGTATGTACTTGACTGACGTTTCCGTTGGTCCCCCGTGGTGCTCTTGCGTTTTTTTGCTTTTCAAACTGTTATTGAAACGCAGGAAACAGGTGAGTGAGTGATTCGCAATTCACCCTTCCTGCGCCAAGCAAGCCAAACCCTACCAGTGTCTCCTTGTCCTCCTTTGACCTTTCACAGTGCCTCCTTTGGCTGCTCTCTGTCCCGCTAACTCCCTCCTCCTCCATGCATCACCTAGTGACCCAGCACCACTCACCCTGCTCTCCTCCCGCCTCTGCCCCTTCTCCCTTCTGCTCTCCCATCACGATCTCCTTCCCTTCCCATTTGTGCTGCCCGTTCGCCCCACTGCTTCCCTGTGACTCTGTTTTGTATCTTCCCCTTTGCGTGTCTGTGTGGTGCCAGGAGGCAATCGAGGCCTTCTCTGAGCTCCCGGCTGCTCAGTACAACACACACTGGGTGCTGGTTCAGGTTCGTTACGCTCCAGTCAGTCAATTCTTGGTCTGGTGCGTGCGTGATGTGCACTGTTGTTGCTATGTCGTAATACACATTTGAATGTAACAGAATCCGAATTCCAAGTGCATGATATTTACGATCAGTACAGATGGTGCAGTGCAGTTTGGTGGACAATTGCAAGTCAACTCTGTACATCCACTCAAATTGATATTTTTATACATCTAGATTTCTTTATCTACACTACACCTGCAGGTGGGTCGGGCCTACGTGGACATGGTGCAGTATGCAGAGGCGGAGAGAGTGTTTGAGATGGCACGCCAGGCCAGCCCTTGCCATGTGGACGGTCTAGACATCTACTCCACGGTGCTCTTTGTAAGAACCCCCCTTTTGTCCCTTATTTCACTCAGCAAGATACTCACTCACTCACTCACTCATGGCCCGTTCCTCCCCCTGTGTGTCACCCCTCTCATCCCCGTGGCCCCTGTCCATGTCACCAGCACATGCGCAAGGATGTGCAGCTCAGTCTGTTGTCGCTGAGACGTCTAAAAAATCCACTTCCCCCACCTCTCTTGTGTCACCCCTCTCATCCCGTTGGCCCCTGTCCCTATCACCAGCACCTGCGCAAGGATGTGCAGCTCAGTCTGCTGGCTCAGGAGGCAATAGCAGTGGACCGCATGGCTCCGCAGGCATGGTGGGTTGGGTTGGGTCTAGTGTTGCCTTCCTCTCTTCCCTCGTCTGGTGTGTCAGTAAGATTTTCAGTGAATCGCGTGCAACAAGGTCTTCCTGTTCGAGGAACCTTATACTGCAATTGAATCTGGAACCTATTGAGTATCAGCCATCCGCCTATCTCCTCTCCATCGCTCATGCCCCTCTTTGCCGCCATCGCTTCCCCTCTTCCCCTCTTCCCCTCTTCCCCCCTTCCCCTTCAGGTGCGTGAGCGGCAACCTCATGAGTCTCACCAAGCAGCACGAGGCAGCGCTCAAGTTCTTCCGAAGAGCCACGCAGCTGGACCCCTCCTTCACCTACGCCCACACACTCTGTGGCCACGAGTGAGTGCAGTTCCACGGGGATGAAAGTTGCTTGCACAACAACAGTGGGAAGTGGATGGGGAAAATAGGTGTGGATGGGGGGGACTGGATGCATGATGAGGGATCGCAGATGAATGTATGCAACTCTATCTTCCTTTCAATGCCCTTAACCTTCCACTCCCCCTCCTTTTTTCCCTGCCTCTTTGTCCTCTCTCCCTCGTTTAGTTTCCCCCCTGCTACACTTCCTTTTCCCGCTCGCTTTCCTTCCCCTTCTCCATCCCCTTCTCCATCCCCCTCACCCTCCCCCTACCCCTCCCCTCACGTTCCCGCTCCCCCTCCTTCCTCTCTCTCCCCGTGCCCCATCTCCCCACCTCTCCCTTCCCTTTGTGCCTTATCAGTCAACTCAAAAGTCGTTCTCTCTCCCCGTGCCTGCTCCCTCCACCCTCCCCACCCCTGTATGCTGCCACCCTTCCCTGTGCGTGCGCCATCAGGTATGCAGCAATGGAGGAGCTGGAGGGCGCTGCCCTCTGACTTTTGTATCTAAGCCTCACTCCTCTCTCTCTCTTCCCATTACCTGTGGCCCCCCGCCCGTCCCTTCCCTGTGCGTGTGCCATCAGGTATGCAGCAATGGAGGAACTGGAGGACGCTGCCCCCTGACTTTTGAGTCGACTCACACGTCGTTTGCTCTTCCTGTTCCCTGTTCTCCCACCCATCCCCCCACCCATTCCTCCCCTGTGCGCCATCAGGTATGCAGCAATGGAGGAGCAGGAACGCGCCGCTCTCTGCCTTCCGAAACGTCTCTTCCTCTTCCCATGTCCCGTCCCTCCACCCTTCCCTCCCATGTATCCCTGTACCCTCCCACCCATCCCCCACCCATCCCTGCCCTGTGTGCCATCAGGTATGCAGCCATGGAGGAGCTGGAGGACGCTGCTCTCTGCTTCCGCACGGCCATTCGCCTCGATGCCCGCCACTACAACGCGTGGTGAGAGGGATGGTGGAAGTGCGTGCAGGCAGGGGTGCATTCTCGTGCAGGCCATGGCCTAGAGAGAGAGGACCGATTGTTTAGTCAACCAAAAAAATGCTGGCCATGTCGTAGAGAGCACCCAAACAGACCCAAACAGACCCAAACAGACCTAAACAGACCCAAACAGACCTAAACAGACCCAAACAGACCTAAACAGACCCAAACCGACCCAAACAGACCCAAACAGACCCAAACAGATCCAAACAGACCCAGACCCAAACAGACCCAAACAGATCCAAACAGCCCAAACAGACCCAAACAGACCCAAACAGACCCAAACAGACCCAAACAGATCCAAACAGACCCAAACAGACCCAAACAGATCCAAACAGACCCAAACAGACCCAAACAGACCCAAACAGACCCAAACAGACCCAAACAGACCCAAACAGATCCAAACAGATCCAAACAGACCCAAACAGACCCAAACAGACCCAAACAGATCCAAACAGATCCAAACAGACCCAAACAGACCCCAAACAGAACCAAACAGACCCAAACAGACCCAAACAGAACCAAACACACCCAACCAGACCCAAATAGACCCAAACAGAACCAAACAGACCCAAACAGACCCAAACAGAACCAAACAGACCCAAACAGACCCAAACAGACCCAAACACACCCAAACAGACCCAAATAGACCCAAGCAGACCCAAACAGACCCAAACAGACCCAAACAGACCCACCATCAAGTTATTCTGTGTATCCAATCCCGTTCTTACACACTACACCGGTTCCCAAGTGTTTCCTGGTGAGCCATCCCGCAGCCATTCCTCCCACCAGTGTCTATATCTCTGCCTCCCTGCACCTCCAAGAGGTAAAAAAGCCAATCTGTCCCTCTTCCTGCTGTCTTTCTCCCATTCCGCTCCCTCCCCCTGCAACCCCACCAGGTACGGCCTGGGATCAGTGCTGATGAGACAGGAGCGGTTCCACCTGGCAGAGCACCACCAGTGGCCAATCTGTCCCTCTACCTGCTGTCTTTCTCCCATTTCTCCCCCTCTGCACCTCCACCAGGTACGGCCTGGGGTCAGTGCTGATGAGGCAGGAGCGGTTCCATCTGGCAGAGCACCACTTGCGCACGGCACTAACTGTCAACCCCCACTCGTCCGTGCTGCATACCTACCTTGGCGTCTGCCTGCACTCCCTCAAGGTATCCGATCGCTCTTTCCTGCACTTCCTTTTTTCTTCCTTTGCGGCGCCTCAACAGATTCCCAACTGTCCATGCTGCACTCCTGCTGCACTCCCCTTTGGCGTCTGCATGCACTCCCCCAAGGTGCCCCCATCACTCTTTATCCATATGTTTGTTTTTCCCCTGTCCCCCATTCCCTGCCTCTTCCTCCGTGCAGAGGAGCAGCGACGCCCGCGCGTCCCTGCAGCATGCCATGCGGCTGGACCCGCGCAACCCGCTGCCGGTGTTCCAGCACGCGTACATGCTGCTGGGGGACGAGCGCCTGGGCGATGCGCTGCACGCGGCCAAGCAGCTGCTGCACGTGGCGGCCAGAGAGCCCTCCGTCTACTTCCTCCTCGGCAAGGTGAGACGAACCGAAAGCAAGGGTTTTGTTAAAAGGGTATCGGTGGCTGGAACGAAGCTTATATAGCTTTGCAGTTGCCATCCCAATGGTTTGTCACGCCCATGTATGCACGAAGCTGGATCCTCAGAGGTAAGTCATTCCCTGGCAATGGAGATCTGCTGCAAAATTGAACTGTAGTATGAGGGTCTCTTTCTTTTTCCTTACCCCGATCTGCTGTGTGCTTGTTGCAACAGATTTGCAAGAAGCTGGACCGACCAGAGGAAGCGCTGATGCACCTCAACTTTGCGCTGGACTTGAAGCCACCGGCGCAGCAAGTCAACCTCATTAAGGTGGGATTCGTTATATGGCGATAACCCATTGCATGGTATGGTATGCATGCACTGAAGTATCATGCTTTGTTGTGCGCTTTGTGTTACCACCCCCCCTCCTATCACCATCCCTCGTTTTTTCCCCCCTCATCCCTTACCTCCCTCCTCCCTGACTCTGCCTCGTTGGCCAACTCATCCCTGCATTCTTTTGCCTGCTCTTCTCTGCGGTTGCTTGCTCTCATCTGCCAGGCCTTTATAGAGAAACTTAATGTGCCGGACAATCTGGAAGACGTCGAGGAGGAGGAAAGCATGTAAGGTGCTTGAAGGCATGAAATGGGAGGGAAAGGCTGGGTGAAGGCATGCTGGGGGATTGATTAATGACGTGTAGAAGGTTGAGTGAAGGTTTAGCTGATTAGTACTGAAGGCCCACATAACAGAGTAGCCTTTGTCATTGACTAGGAAATCGAGCTGGAAACTTGTTTTTCTAAACACATATCTATACGGTTTCTGTAGTAGTGTAGCCATACCAATCACAGCTACCATGGCAACTTGGCATCTTCGCTTGCCACGAAGAACAGCAGCCAACCGTTACTGCTACTTTGTGTCGGAATTGAGGGAGATAAACACCCAGAAGTAATCACTCAAGAATCGGCGATTCTTGACTAGCTTAGGAGATAGACACCCATAAGTAATCGCCCAAAAGCACCCAAAATTTGCGATTCTTGACTAGCGTAGGACAACTGAGGGATCAGAAAGTTTGATAGTGGGGAGTCGGGGTAGCCGTGGAAATGGAAAACCGTAATACACCCTCATTCTCGATCATCTCACCGGCGGAAGCACTGGCTACAGTGTTTGGACGTAGCGGGCTGGTGAGATAACTTGGTTGCGGGCAAAGTCGCACGTGGCGAGGAAGCAGGACTTGGGCAAACAAAAAATCGTTAACGCTGAATATCCGTCTTAACCGCTTTGAAAAAAGCAATAACATTCCAGAACGTATAAAACCTTGACTCAACGCCTTGGGTCAAATTGTCACTATAACGCATGTGATAGGACCTTCTTTGGTCCGGTGCGGCTACACTAAGCGTCCTGGTCGGTATAACATATGCCAGTCTATCGAGAATGAGGGTGTAGTTTCCTAGTCGCAACAGCCCGAGAGGGGCTACTTCTCTTGCGGTCACTCCTCGTTGCAGGTACTTCACACGTCAGTTTGTGAAACCCTACCTTGTCGTAATCAGCCACAGACAGGAACCACATTTTTGTGACAGAAAGAATGCTCCTCACACTTAGCGGGCGGAGCAAACACCAAGCGGACGAAACTGTTCGTGTACACTGTCGTATTGTACTGTAAAGTGCACCCTGTACCTGCTCGTGTCTTATCCTCGCCTCGCCCCGCTGCAGCCAACAGCCAACAGCACAAGACTCATCCCAACCAATCCCAAGGCCCCAAACCAACCCATCCCCCAACCACCCCAACCAATCCATTGTACCCATATCCCACCGCGCCCCCCTCCAAACCTCCGAAAACTTCTCCACACCTCGGTTTCCCACAATATGTTCCCCTGACGTGACTAGTTTGTGTCTGCCCCCGCCCCGCCCGCCCCTCCCGCCCCACCTCGGTTGTTCCGGTTTACAGCACGGCTTTGCGGCTTTCGTTCGTGCTCCGGCCTGGTCAGGCAGGACGGTTCGGTTCGGGGTGAAGCTGGTTGGTTTGAATGAGCCGAGTCGATTCGAGTCGATTCGAGTGGTGGTGGTTTGGTTAGGTGGGAGGGGGAAGGGAGCGGAAGCGGAACCAACAAAACCGAACCAACTACGTACGTTCTTGTCCGCTTCGATTTGCGGTATTTATTGGTGGGGTGGCTTGGGGTGAGCTGAAGTGGGGTTCAGTAGAGTGGGATAGGCTGGGGTGGGGTGGGGTGGGCTGGTGTGGGATGAGTGTGGTGTGGTGGCTTGCTTAGCTTGGTGGGAGAGAAAGAAACGAGCCCACACTGAAGCGCCTCCTGCGCACTGCGCACTTATGTGAGGAGAGCACATGCTACTTTACCATCACTGACGGACCCGCCTGATAACGATAGTTAGGTATCACGGATGCATGCGAGTCGTAATGCCGTTCTAGCTCTTGCTTAATTTTCCGGGTTGGCGCTATAATTTGTTGCCGCATTTTCCCTTGTGTCTTCGTGCTAAGCATATAGATAGCATCAAAATGATTTCGTCCACCGTCCGCTGCGCTCTGCACAGCGCGCCGACACCGCGACGATAGAAAACCATCGCGCCGTAAGGGCCGCCACCGCCGCCGCCGCCGACGTTTGCCGCGATGGCCGCCGTTCCCGCGCTGAGCAAGCAGCTGAACGGCTTCGCGGAAACTTCCGACTTCGCCGATTACTCCGACTTTAGAGGCGGCCCTCGCGGCGCGCTGTCTCACGGCTCCGATTATAACGCGCGTTCCTCCGCGGCGAAACAGGCTAATACAGCCGGGGTAAAGCAGGACGAGTCAGCCGCCTCGAAAGCCGCAGGTAGCGGATTTTCAGGGGCCGTCAATAGGGCGGCACCAGGGACGGCGGTATCCGGAGGGGGTAACAACCAAAGTAGCCAGGGTAACCAAGGTACCCAGGGTAACCAGCCCAAGTTAAAGCTTTCGCAGCTATACGCGCAGATGGTGGAGCAGCAGCAGAGCCTTATAGAGCAACACGGGCTCGCTGCCGCAGGCGCAAACGGCACTCACCCCGCCGCTTCCGCCGCCGCCGCCGCGGGCGGAGCCGGCTCGAAGGGTGCTCGAGCTCGCGATCAGGGCGATTTGGGCGCATCGCTGGAGCAGCAGCAGCTGCAGCAGCAGCAGCAGCTTTCGCGGAAGAGCGCGCAACACTCCTCTCCGCCGACTGTATCAGCGCAGGTGCGAAGCCCGCAACGGGGGGGAACGGCGGATACGGGGAAACAGGATGGCGGAGCGTCTGTGCGGCGGCCGCCGCCTTTGCAGCTTCAGAACGGCAACTCGTCAGAGCATGACACGTCAGCTGCATCGCTGTCGCAGTCGCAGTCGCAGTCGCAGTCGCAGTCGCAGTCGCAGTCGCAATCGCAGTCGCTATCTCAATCGCAGTCACATTCGCACGGCGTTAGCCGGGAAGAGCGTGCGACGAAAATGTACGCGCATCCGCAGTCGCAGTCGCTGGACGAGCGGAAACTTTCCGCCCAATCCGCCCATTCTGCGCATTCCGCCCATTCAGCGCACGACCCTTCCGCGGATCCCATGCGCGCGGAGCTCCTCCGCGAGGCCGCGCAGGCGCACCACGAGGCCGCGCGCCTGCGCGAGGACATTGCGCGCCTGTGGCAGGAAGTCGCGCGCGCGCGGGAAGAGTGCGCGCGGATGGGCGAACGCGCCGCAGCCTCCCTCGAAACCGCCGCCGCGGCGCTCGAAAAGGCCGCCGCAGCCGGCGGCGGCGGGGGAGGCGCGGGCGCAGCAGCGAGAGCCACGTCATCATCCTCCTCCTTGCCAGTCCCCCGCCACGTGCGCACGGAAGGCGGAAGCGGAGTCCTTTCCCCGTCCGGGCTCATCTCCCCCTCCGCGCGCTCCCCCAGCCCCGGCGGTGGCGGCGGCGGAGGCGGCTTGCACCCGTCCGTCCGCCGACAGCTATCCAACTCGTGGAGTGACTATGGCGGGGGAGACGGTAGCGCGAGTCCGGGGAGTGCGGGGCAGGTGAAGGCGTTTCAGCGCTTACAAGCGGCAAAGTCGCTAGGTCTCCTCCCGCTTCCCCCCGGGGAGAGCGTGTCTAGCGCGGGTCCGGAGGATCCCGGCGGAAGCGGAAGCCCCCCCGGGTTGGCGGACAGCCCGCCTGGGCTTGCGGACAGCCCCGACGCGGGCGGCAGCGGAAGCGGTAGGTTTAACAGCCGCGCGCTGGCGGAGAGCGTCGAGCGCGCTTCCGCGTGGACGGCGGGGCTTGAGGCGATCGGCGCATCTGCGCCCGCGGCAGCGGCGGGGAAGGCTGGCGGAGCAGGCGCGTCCGCCGCGGGGTCGGGAAGCGCGGGAGGGAGTCGCGGAGGGGGAAGAGGCGCGCGCGAGGCAGGGGGCGGGGGCGGGGGAGACAACTACTCGCCGTCCAGCCCGGATTCGGTGACGTCATCGCGGAGAAGCGCGCGCGGAAGCACGGTGAGCGGAAACAGCAACAGCTTCCCCCCACTCCCCGGACTGGTGCAGCTGCAGGCCATGGTCCCCGCGGGGCGGAATTCCGTTCCGCCCAGCCCCGCCGCCAGCTCCTCAGACTCGCACGCGCCTTCCGCGGGTGGGGCGCGGGGGGGTTTTGGCGGAGCAGGCGGGGGAAGCGGCGGGGGCGGAAGAGCAATCGGCGGAGGAGGAGGCGGGGCGCGAGCAGGGGAAGGCGGCGAAGCGGGCGCGGGCGGAAGCGGAAGCGGAGGCGCAGGCATGGCGCGGATAGAGTCCCTGCATTTACCGCCGTCCTCCTCCCCCTCCGCGCTCTCCTCCGCCTCTTCCGCCATGCAGCGCTATAGCTCCATGGACGTGGGGGTCCTCCTTTCCGCCGCCTCCCTTCCCCCCGACTCCTCCCTCTCCGCGGGCGTTCCGCACTCCACTCCGCGCCTGCTAGGCCTGGCGGACACGGAACCGGAGCTCACCGCGCGCCTGCGCACCAGCAGCAGCAGCGCCGCGGGCGGCGGAGGGATGGGCGCAAGGGGCGCGGGGGGAGCAGGGGGCGCGGGGCGGTCGAGCTCGTTCGGGGCAAAAGGGGCGGGCGGAAGGGCTGAAACAGGCCTGAGCCGAGCCTTATCAGTAGCCTCGGGACAGGCGCTCCCAGGTATGGTGACGGGGCAAGGCGGACGGGCGGGGGCGGGTGGGGAGGAGAGAGGCGGGGAGGCGCGCGGGGAGGCGCGCGGGGAGGCGCGGGGGGAGGCGCGGGGGGGGAAGATGTGGCGGCAGGGGTCGTGCACAGACTCTCTGCTACAGCCGTCCATGTCATTCGAAGACGAAGGGGGGAAACCGGGGCGGAGGGGCGCGGCGGCGGGTCTGGGGAACCTTCAGGTGCCAAAACGGCAGGGGGCGGAGGCGTGGGGCAGGGGAGGGGGAGCGGGCGCGGGAGCTGCCGGGGGCGGGTCGAGGGGGGGCAGTGGGGGTGTTTCGGTGGCGCTGTCCCCGTCGTTTGACGGTATAGTGCATCACGAGCAGGAGATGCTGTCCGCAGGGCTTCAACAGGGTAAACACCCGGGTGCTGGTGCTGCTGGTGGTGCGTCTGGTGGTGCTGCTGCTGTTGGCGGCAGTGGTGGTGGTAGCGGCGCTGCTGCTGCTGGTGGTGGTGGTGGTGGTTCTAGTGCTG